CAAGCGTACCGTCGACGGGAGCGGAGGTGTGCCCAGGTGATGAGGAGTTGGGCTCGCCAGAGACATCACCGTGGTGCCCAGGTGATGAGGAGTAAGACTCGTCAGGGTCATCACGAGGGGGAATGCCAAGGGGATCAGGGCCGGAGCTGGACGCTAGAGCCTTGAGAATGGCGGTGGCAGCGCTCGAAGGCGGGCCGGCAGACTCACAGTCATCAGCAAAGGATATGGCAAAACAGCCTGCCGCTGTTTCAGAACGGTGGGAGTAAGATCCAGGCTGAGGCCCTCCGAGAGATGAGGCGTCAAGGAGATTTGTTGCTTCATCAACATCACCACAGAGTGAGGGAGTGGGTCGAACGTGTGCCATGACGTTTTGGCGAGACAGCTTGGCAGCAGGAAACGCAGGCACAGGCCGGCGGCCGGGCCTCACAAGACGGTCAAGCAACCCAAGGTGAGCAACAAGGCCAGCTGAAGGTCTGTCACTAGGGTAGCACCGGACGCCAGGGTTACCAGGGTTCTCCACTGAAGCGACACGGTAACGATCATGGTCGAACGAAATGCGCAGTTTGCTGATGTATCCGGTGCCGAGAATACACTTCATGCTGCACTTCATGACACAAAATGTTTCAAGAGTAACGACACCCAGGAAAGTGACAGGGAGAAGCGCCCAGAAATCAACTTTTACCTTGGCTCCGTTTGCGACTGTGGCGTGGGACTGTCCGTCAGAAAAAACAATCACCCGGTCAGGGGTGACACCAGCCTTCGCGAGTACAAGGGCAAAGAAATCAGTGTCGATGACGTTGTTAGACGAGCCACTGTCAAAAAGGGCGCTGGTCTGTTGGTCGAAAAGAGCAATGTTGTCGGTGAAGTGGGGCGAGAGTGGCCTACCAACTTTGTCGTCGTACAGCTGACGGTCAATGGTGGTGAAAACCTCCTGAAGACGACCGAAGGTGCCAGAGTTGAGCTCATACGGTGTGGACGAAATCACGTTGAGCGCAAGATCCATGGCACACTCCATGAGATCGTCCCCGAGCTCAAGAGCGATGGCTTGGATGTCAGGACCCGCAAGCCGGTGCCGCTGGTGACGGAAGTTCTTCCAAATGTACTTTGTGAGGTCAGGGCACACCTGGAGAAGCTCAAAAAGAACGAGGCCATCAACATCCGACGCCTTGAGGATGCGCTCAAACAAGTCTGCTTTTTCCGATTCCGGCAGAGCATGAATGGCCTCAAGCTTGAAGAGAGGGAGACGCCCAGCCTTCAGCAAGGCATTGTCGTAACGAGGATGATCTCTGGTGAAGAGAGCCTTGGAGTCCTCTAGGTCAGACGGGAGGCGGTCCAGAGCATCCTTGTAATCTTTTAAGGGTGCATTCTCCGCAACGGCAGAGGCATCGTGGATGTGGTTGGTGACACGGGTTCCAGGGCTCACGTAGTGGTTATCACCCAGACGGGGGGGGTGAACAGCCACACGAGAGCTGGGGACGTCAACAACAGCGCCCGTGGAGGATGCGGAGTCAGTCGGCCCCACTGAGGAGGGATTGGCTACAGCCTTGGTTCGCTTAGCAGTGGGGGGAGCAGCGGAAGATACCGTAGAAGAAGCGGCACCACGTTTTGTCGCTTGAGGCAAAGCAGGCGGGGGCATGTCTTCACGGACATCACGACGGGGGCTGCGTCGCGGCAACGGAGCCACTGGTCTGTCAGGGTGCTTGCTGTCGACAACAGTTTTCAAGGCGTTGATGTTGGTCTTGAGAGACTGTCGGCGAGGATCGCCTTCGGTGGCGTAAGCGGGCTCCATGAGGTCATTTCGGACTGTAGCGAAACACTCGTAAAGCTTCGTAGGCAATACTACGTTGTACTTGTTGAGCAATCGCTGGACCGCATCAACAAAGTAGACACGGCCGGCAACTGGGGAAGACGGGGCCATAACAGCACCTACAAAACCCGCTTCAAGCGTGGAGGCTTTGAACGTGCCCGGGGGAGCAGTTAAGCGAGCTACGAGCTGCATGAAGGCTGGGTGTGCCACAAGGCGCTTCATGTTGCCACTGTAGGAGCCTGACACAGGCGCATCAATTGCGTAAGTGACGGGGAGGGGTGTGGGCTGTTTTGCCATCTGGAGAATGTGCTGGTGGATTGCCTCTTTCGTGAGCTCAAGCTGGGAGTCAGTGGAGTCAATGATAGTGCGAGGCTCGTCGTAGGAGGAAAACGTATCAGACAGAAGATCTCGAGGCACCCCTCCTAGACAGACACTGAACGTGCCGGGTTGGAGAAGGTCCTGGAAGTCATAACCAGACGCAGATGAGTCAGAGTCATAGCTGTTATCCAAAGGCCCGCCTGGGTCTTCAACGTGTACAAATTCAACGGCATTTACGCGGCCAGCTAGGGCAGGACGCCACTGCGCATTGAAAGTTCGAAGTCTAGGCTCCATAAGCGGATTCGACCATTCCTTCTGCTTCCAGGAAGTGTAGAGAGCGCTCTGTTTTAGAGGGAAGTCAGCATCAACAGGCGATAGATACTTTTCAAAACCCTGGTAGCCAAGTCGGGTGAAAGACTTGAAGCTGCCAAGGTACTTGGCCTTGACCAAGGGGCTGCCTTCGGAGTCATCGCAGTTGACCAGTGCATGGGCAGTGGAACCACAGAAAACACAAGGAGCCTTGTCAGCTGCCCAGGAGGTTGAGGCATCCGAGGCACGGATTGTGGGTTTCTGCACAGTCTCAGTTGAGACAGGGCCGTCGGCAGGCTTCCTGGTGGAACGACCACGTCCCGCAACGTGAACGACGACTTTGTCAGGTTCAGGCGTGGAAGGCTCAGGTGGGGCGGAAGGCTCGACCCACATCCACACGTCTTCGAAAGATACCGTGTGCTGTCGCCATCTCAGAAGAGCCTCATCATTGAGATCGTCAAGTCGTTGGACATGTTGGGTGATCATCTTGGCGAGGGGCTGGATGAGCTCCGTGGCAACTTGATGGTCACGCTCAGGGTCGGAGTCCATGCCAAGGCTCAGCCAACGAGTGTTGTCACGAGGGATCTCGCGTCCGAGGGCGGTGCCCAGGTGAGTCGGAGCGAGCTTCTGCAACTGGAGACACCGAGAGAGAACCGGCAGAGGTGAGGAGGTCAGAGCGGTGCTCAGAGCAGAGAGGTACGCACGTAGTGTCTCGATAGAGAAAGCGGTGTGGTAATCTTTGAACCGGAAACGGAGTTCCTCCTCTTGTTCAGCAAAGGAGACAGCAGGTTCGTGGTCAAACCCGCGCTTTCGAAAAAGGTCCCGGAGGAGACGTTCGCAAGCGGTGTTCAGACGAGCGTGGGCACCTGGCTTGGTTGATTCATCAGCAGTCTCTGCTTCAAAGGTGCTTCGGAGTTGGAGGTACTGTTGATCGAAGAGGGGCTGCTTATCGTTGACACCGCACCAAAGGTGGAAAGCCCGAGCTCTGGTGCTCCAACGGATGTCATCCTGGAGTAGGATAAAGGTAGCCACCCGGGAATCAAAAGATTTGTAAGCGTACAACTGTTTTCGGAATTCTTCGCTGGACAAGGAGGGGTAAACCTCGTTCCGGATGATGGACTTGAGGGCGTCGGATTCTTTTCGATAGTCAACAGAACCCGTGTCACTGGCAGCAAAGTCCATGCCATGTAGGACAGAGTTACCCTTCTGGGGGGTGTCGGGTTCAAATTCGGAATCAGCCTTGCCAATACGGGAAATGCCTTCAAGGGAGCTGGTGCTCGGGGGTGAGTCGACACGCTTGCTGAGGTTCGCGATGGTTTCGTGCTGGGCCGACACCAACTGGTGCAACTTTTCAAACTCCCCAGCCTGATGTGTCTTGAAAGACTCATTTGACTGCTTGAGCTCGTCTAAGGCTGAGCGGAATTCCTTGGTATTAACCGCGGTAGCGAGAGTAGTGGTGATCTCCTGGTGGGAGAGCGTCAAGGCGTCCATCTTCGCGGTGAGAGCCTGGAACTCGTCTTTTGTTACTTTCGACATGGTGAAAACGAAAGAACGGAAAGGGAAGTAAAATACGCTGGTACGACAGTAAAGGCACAATAAATCTGGCAGGCTATCACTCGAAACAAAAACGAGGTGTCGTCCACCAGATGTGAGAAAATAAAGTGCTTTGTGCGTACCAGGGATAGGGTAGGTAGTGAAATCTGAGTTAGTACATCAACTCTAGACGATGGGCGTCGCCTGTGTAGAAGAACAATAACTCACCCGGTAACTAACACTATTTCTCGGTGGTCAATGCGTCAGAAGATATCAAGACGGTCCGTTTTGCGTTTAAGCCGAGTGAATGTTGCCTGCCGTTAGTAAATTTATTATGAAAAACCCCACTATGAATACATCAGCCTATACTGATATACCAAGAAGTGCAAGGGAGGTGGTCCTGTTCCACCTGAACGCGGTTCCCGACAGGCGGCGGTACTGAAGGGCTTTGTGAGAGAGGTAACGCCGATTCTCTCTGCAGTCGTAAGACCCAGGTGGTGTGTCCGAGGCAGTATCGCTTTCCCAACTCTAGTAACCTCGGTAGTGTGAGACACACTACCCCTAACGGTAGGACAGCCGGACGACGATGGCGCAGCAATTGGCGAACGCTGTTATAAAACAATTCACTTACGTGCAATGAAAGTTGTTTGGGCAATAAACAATAAATGTATTAGAGCCAGACGATAGACAACAATCCAGCAGATGATGAGCAGGAAAATTGAGTAAGATCGACGTGGCAAGAAGAGTTACAGTTACGCAGAGTTAATAAGGTGTTGGGAGATTAGAGTTACCCTGTCGGATGACTAACTCTCCAGAGCGAGTGTTACACATATCAACGATCGCAGAATAATAACATTGCTTGTGCTGCACCCCAGAAGCGAGACCAAGCCTTGACGTGAGAGTGACAGCGAGCAGCATGGTGTGAGACAACACAAACCACGTGCAACTTATAAACTCATACGGCAGGAATAACAGAAAGGCAACTACAACTCACAGGGTCATATCAAACATAAATAAACAATTATAGTACCTCCTAAATCTTGGAATTCTTCTTACCGCCTCGCTTTTTGCCCTTACCGCCAGAGACCTTGACAAGAGCATCGTCCAATGGCCGCGAGGCCTCGTCGATAGACATGAGCTGTCGAGTGGTAAACTTCTGGGCAAGATCGTCAGCCATTCGAATAACTCGCATATCGGTAATGTTTCGCTGGGACACCTTTCGTCGACCGTACGAAATGGCCTCCAAGAAGTCATACAGCTTACCAGCGGGAGTGATCTCTCCAATCTGGACCACATTGGTGGAGGTGTCCAGACCAGTGTTCAGTCTGTTAAAGGCGTCGAGCTTTCGAACAGCTCGAGAGGGCAGCCAGTCGGGATTAATGGCCACCAGGAGAGGCGATCGACCAGAAGACGATCGCCGAGCAAGCAAGATACCCTCAGCAACAAACTGGGTCAGAGCATCCTTCAGCATCTCCTTATTGACAGACTCATAGTAGTTAATCTGGCCCTGGTGGTACAGAGACTTACCAAGCACCTGGGCCTGGTTAATAAGCTCCTTTTCTTGCACCCACAGAGTCAGAGGGTCCTTAGTGGCTGTAATTCGAGCCGAGTCAGGAACGGTGAGCAGGTACTTGGCCCGCTCCTCGTAGTCGGCCTCGGTGGGCACCAGGGCAAACATGGCCAGAGCAGCCAGCCAGTAACCATCAGCAAAAGGCCAGAGAAGGAAACCGAAGAACTCCAGAGTCTGTCGGTCTCGGTCAATCTCCTCGAGGGTGATGGTGATATGACCGACTCCCTGCTCAACATTGAGGTCGGGGGAGCACTCGATGACACCCATCTGCTGCAGAGAAGCCAGGGTGTGTTCCAGGTTGGTCTGAATACCATCAATGCCATAGACGAACTCTCCAGAGAACAGCTTTGACAGGAACTGCACTTGAACAATGAGATCGGAGATGTTGACACGGGGCAGAACCTTACCGTTCTGGTATCGCTTGATGAGCGAATGCAGAGCCACAGCGACAATAGCATCAGAAACAAACAGATGAATGACCTGGTTTCTGTAGTAAGACAGCTGGAAGGTATCCTTGGCGGAGTAAATGGGCTCAATGAGACCCTTGGACTCGACAGACACAAGCTGGGGGCCCAGCACGGTCAGGCCGTTATCGACAATGTCTTCAGTCTTGGCTCCGAACGAACCAACTCGGCCTCCCTGGAGCTTGATGGTCTTGATGAGCCAATCGACACGTCGAATCAGGTCGCCTCGAGAGATACCAGATCCCTTGAGGGTTAGCAGCACGGTACCAATCAGAGAAGTGGGCATAATGATGGCCACCTTGTTGATATCGTTAAGAACCTTGTATCCAACGGATCGGAGGATTCGCTGGTGGATGGGAGCAGGCAGGTTCTTTGCGTCCACGGTGGAGGCCTGGACACCCACTCGAACACACTCCTTGTTGATCATATCAAAGGCAAACTCCTTGACAGACCAGGGCTCAGCAAATCGGACATCGATTCGTCCAAGCTTGAGGTTGACAATGGAGCCCGCGGAAAGGAACGCAAACAGATTCTCCTTCTCCTTCTCCTTTCCAAGCAGCTCTCGAACGTAAGACTCAGTCTCGACCACCTTATCGTACTGGGTAGAAACAGGACAGATCCAAGTATCGGAGACTGCTCCCGACAGAATGGCGTCAAGCACATATTTGATGATACCAAACTTGGGAGGCAGAAGCTTTCCGGTTCGACTTCGGGTACCCTCGATGAAGCACTCCATGTTGTAACCCTTCTGGAGCAGGGTGGTGATATAAGCTTGGATGACAGAGCCATACAGCTTGTCGTCGTTGAAGGACCGTCGGATGAAAAAGGCGCCGAGGTTTCGCAGAATGGGACCCACGCCGGTAAAGTTAAGATTGTCTCCAGCGACAATAATTGGCATGGAGATTCCGACTCGGAAACACAGAGCCTGCAGAGCAATGTAGTCCAGATGGGACTTGTGGCAGGGCATGAAGAAAATGGACTCCTTCTTCTCCTGCAGAACCCGCTGCCTGGCCTTGAGCATCTCAATCTCCTGCAGGTTGACGTGGAGACCCTGGTGGTAGGTTCGGCCGAAAATCTGCTTGGTCAGGTAGTAGACCGTCTTGACAACCGACTTGTGCTCGAACCGGCAGGTCATGGCCTCAAAGTTCTGTCGGGCCACGGTCTGCAGCTGCTTCTCGAGCTCGGCCTTTCGGGCCTTCTTGTCCGACTCGCTCATGTTGCGGTCCTCTGCTTCCTTGGCCACTCGCAAGTCAGCCAGCTGTTCGATTCGGTTAGTCACAGCCTTGTTGTTGAGCGTGGCGTCGGCGATCTCCTCCACGTGACCTTCATAGAACAGAGGCTGGCCAATGTAGTCGTCGTAGGCTCGCCATTCCTTACTTCGAGCATGTCGGCCTAGATCGCGGAAGAAGAACACGGGATCTGCTCGGAAGTTGTTAAATTCGCTCCACAGGTTGTCTGTGGAGGTGTGGGATTCCTCAGCGAGACCCTTGGGCGGCTCTCCGGGAAGAGGACCGTCTTGTAGAATGTTGACCGACATGTTGTTGGAGTGTGTCGACAGAGTGGGGCACTGAGGGTGTTTTAAATCACACTAATTGCAGGGGTTTAGAGTTGGTGGTGTGTTTGCGTGAGTCTGTGTTTGTACTGTGGTGAATATTGCGAGGCGTGTGTGGCGGTGGCGATAAAACACGAAGAAATAGTCACGGAAGACCGTTCGTACTGATATGCAGATGTATCCTGTGGTTAGGAAGTAGTTACTTGGGTCTCGTCGCGACCAGTCAAATTGTCTATATATATACTCGCTCTATATCCATAGTCTCTTCCAATGTTGAGTGCAGATCTTACCCTTTTGAGCCATGAGTTTATTGGCTCTTCCAGCACCAAGGGATGGGATGGGGAGGAACAGAGACAAGATTGAGGGGATGCAATTGAGGGGGTGATTGAAGAGATAATCGAAAATCCCACCATGTTATTATTCCGCTACTAAACGACTCTTTTGCTGAAAGGTCCATTTGGAGTAACTTAGTCCCCACCATACTAAAGGCATGGCATTCGGGACCACCCCCCCCCACCCCTCACTCACATCCTCTTGTCCCCTCTCCCCAACAATCCGGGGTGCATATGGCCGTGAAAATTAACATGCCCCAAAGTTTAACATCTTTTGGCACAACTTTAGGCCACGACACGTGTATCAGTTGGTGGTGAATACACAAGGAAGTCATGATAACAGACATGTGCCAGGACAAACTAATGCCCTCGGGTTGCAAGAGAAACAATCACGTTCACCACACGTCACGTGACAACAAGAACTCGTCCCGGCTAAATGTCTCACTAGCTGCACTATCGTATGATGTCAACCTCAACCTTGTACCTCGCTATCTTGTCGGGGGGAGAAAAATACACGGGAAAATGATAAAATATTCGCCAAAAAAACGGGCCGAGCAGGGATTTGAACCCTGGACCTCTCACACCCAAAGCGAGAATCATAGCTACTAGACCACACGGCCGACACGTGACTTCAAACTTTACGATATCCAATCAATGCCGTTCGTCAAGTCACGTGCGCGCCGAAATAATGGCCTTTTTGAAGATTAAACGGTGTTAATATGGTAATATGAGCTCGTTTACTTCAGTAATACGATAATATTTGGACTTGCTCACCAGAGACACCTCAAAATTTGCTGAATTGCTATCCTTGAAACGCGTCTTAAGCTCCAATGATCGACATGGGACGCATATACGAGTGCCACAGAAGGGTTATGCCACAAACAAGAACAGAAATGCAACCTACTTCTTGTGGGTACCGTGCGATGGACCGGATAGGTTATGTTTACCTGCTGGTCGAAAGCCTGATAAGAGAATGAGGTGATTTTTACGTGCGGTCCCTTGAAATGAACCTCCTGTGCATCACCGATTTGGTTGCCCATTAATCTTATACAAAGCGGTTTTCTTTTGGATTTGCATTCTGTCGGCTTACATCAATAACCGGCCTCGGCTTATGGGTTAATAAGTTCTTGGCCGTGGTCAAACATCATGTCGTCCGCTGAAGATTCCAGAGACCATCGAGTCTCACTCAACAGTTGAGTTTACCGGATTACAGGGTGTTCTCAACATTTGCTTGTCCATGCACGTAATGCACTTAAGACAGGAAGCGTGAAAAAAAGAACGTGGTTGTGGTGGCGGGGCGGTGCAGGTCATCTCATCTTATCGCACGTTATAATCATGCCGATCACTGTAAGCCGAGGTAAAAAATAATAATTGGAACCAGACAGCCAACGTTTTTTGCCACAAAAAAATGGCTTCCAACTCTTGCAGCCACAAATCCGTATATCCCCCGATCTGCGTACATGCCATGAGTGCATTATCGGATTTGGATTTTGGTGGGGCACATTTTTCATGCTCGTGGTTTAAATTACAATATCATCGAATACACGCTTGCATTTTGAAACATCAACATAAGCTTTGGATATGCCACAGGTTGGATATGAAAAACCTCCAAAGACGTCTAAATTTGCGGACTACTCGTAGTGACATGGAAGATTTTCATGCATTCGAAATACAAATGCTACAGCTTTCTCATTAAATGCATTGTTCTATTGTGTATGATGGTTTGTTTACACGAAAGCCATAAAGTCCAAGTTAGGCAGAGAGTTAACAATGTCGTTGACCAGCTTGTCTTCCGATTGCTGCTTGTACTTGGATCCAGGCTGGAGAGGACCCATATCAAGCTCGAATGCCACGGGCTTCTTGGCCAGTTTCATAGGAGCAATTGGAGACCGAGAAGGCGACTTTGACTTGTGTCGCTTGTCCATAGCCGAATCCAGAAAAGTGGTGTCGAACAGAGACTGCGTGGATGACTGCGAGATGGACTGGGCCACCTCGGAAGAAGGAACGTTGTGAGTGTTGGATGATACTCTAGCAGCACTGTTGTACGAGTTCTTCCGGGGTCGGTTCGTGGTAGCCACTGAGTCAGTGAAGTCACCCCATTCGTCGTCTTCAGCTTGGCTGCTGTCGATTTGGATGGATGGTGTGGATGAAGGCTTGTCGAATATTTCAAAGCCTGACAACCTCGCAGAAGATTCCTTCAGAGGGTCAGCAGGCGGCTGCCAAGTCTGCTTGGTAGGTGCCGCGTTGAAGATGTCGAACTCCGAGCCGTTATCAGTACTTGCGACAGCAGGTTTGGGAATCGCTTTAGCCTTGGGGTCATCGAAGATGTCAAAGTCAGAGCCCTTATGGGCAGGTTGAGTAGAGCCAGAACCAAATATACCCATGTTATTGCCAGCGTTGGTGGTGGGTGTCGTAGAAGAGCCAAACAAATCATCTAGTTGGTTGCCAGTTGCACTTGCAGTGGTTGCCGACTTCTGTCCATCGGCAGTGCCCAAGTATCCAGAGGCTCCGCTGTTTTTCACAGGCTGGGGATCAGGCTTCTTAGTGGTGGAGCTGAAGAAGTCGTCCAACGGGGATTGTGCGGGTTTGTTAGGAGCAGGGTGCGCTACTGGCTTGGAACCAAAGATGTCATCCAAAGGAGATGCGGCAGGCTTCATTCCAGCAGGCTTTGAGCCCCCGAAAAAGTCATCCAGAGCATTCGAAGGCTGTGTGGGCTGTGTAGCTTTTGTGGCAGTGTTTGTGTTGGATCCCAACAGATCTAGACCCATGAGGTCGTGGTTTCCATTTCCAGCCAAAGGAGACGAGATCTGAGGATGGGACATTTTCGGAGAGGTCACCTTGGATCCAAAGGGGGATCCAACAGGAGAGCCAATTTTAGGGGAAGATATGGGAGAGTTGTTTTTAGACGCAACAGGTGTGGCGGAGACGAAGTCAGCAAAGCTATCTTCTGCCACTGGAGGGGCATTACTAAGTGGAGTCCCTGTTCGACTTGGTCCACTTGGTGGGGTTCCTGTCAATGTAGGAGACAGTGAGGGCACGAGATTGGTCAAGATGGGTGATCCCAAAGGTGAGTCAATAGGTGAGTCGATCGGGGAGTCCAAGGGAGAAGTGATCGAACTGACCGAGGATGACTTTGAGTGAGTCTTAGACTTGGACCGACCAAAAACACTACTCAGCGCATGATGATGATGGTGGGGCGCTGAAGGAGATATGGGGGACATTGTAGGAGACATGGAGGGTGAGCTCGAGACCACCCGCTGACCGACAGCTCCAGCAATGGCGGTCTGAACCAGTCCAGGGGGTTTGTTTCGAGTCATGTCCCTTCCTCGTTCCCTTAACGAAGAAGATCTGGTCAGCCCACCGCTTGGAGGAGCAGGGGAAGTTGTAGAGGCACGAGACATTGTAGAGGAACGAGACAAACCCGGGATTTGGACAGCAGGTTCACCGTTCTTTGGAGGAGGCATGCTGAGAGGTCTTCCTCTGGAGCCAGATCTCTCCGTACCCCCATTGCTCCAGCCAAACTTGAACACCCGCTTGAGATTTTTGGAGTCATTCTCATGCAGCTTCCTGATCTCCCCCTTGAGGGTACTCTCAAACTGGGATCCCGTCCACTTGACCACATTATCTTCGCTAGCTCGCTTGGACTCGATGAACTGACAGTTTGGGCGAATCAGTGAGTTGTACAGCTTTCGCGATTTTTCTCGGTACGACAGGATAGGCGTAACGGTTTTCACCTCTTCGATATCGGCACTGTCAGATCCTCTCAATTGAACGATCAACTCTTCTAAAGGTTGGGGAAATTCGAGTTGTGTAGTAGGAACGGCAGACTTCTTTACTGAGGTTACTGGGATAACATTCGGTGTGGCAGTCGCCTCGGTAACAGGCCCAGGATCATCAAATCCTTCGCCCTCCTCGAAATCACCCCAGTCTCCTCCATCTCCTCCATCTCCTCCATCTCCTCCATCTCCTCCATCGCCCCACCCTTCATCCTCCACGACAGGAAGAGGAGCCTCTGTCTTCATCGCTTCTTCCACAGCAGCAGTATCATTGTAAGATGCCATTTTAGAAGCTGAATCTGGCTCTCCCCATCCTTCTTGCAGTTCAGCCGCGGGAGTAACGGGCTTCACTGCAATATCGGACTTGCCCCAGCCTTCATCCTCCGTCACTTCCACAGGCGAAAACGGCTTTATAGGCACGGCCAAATCTGGTTGTAGATCAGATAACGTCTCTGTAGCTGCCTCTTTAGTGACTTCTGTGACTCCCGTAGTTCCCGCAGCTTCTGTAGTTTCTTCCGCTTCACTAACTGTCGCTGGTTCCGCCTCAACATCACTACCCCAGTGGGGATCGTCCACCGAAATGGAAGACATTGAGATCGGAGGTGCTAGGCCTAGAGCATTGAGCTTTGTATCATTCTGATCCTTTTCCTCTGTGTCGTCCTCCACCTCTGATTCCTCCAGCTGCATCTTCTGTAACTGCTCAGTTGCTTCACCCACAGCTGCAGACTCTGATAGATCAGGCTTCTCATCCGTTTCAACTCCTCCATTCCTCCGCACATCACTGGCATCCTTTGAGGTAGGCCGAGGGCTACTTCTCTCTTCCAACACGTCGCCCCAGGCGTGAATATCATCAATTTCAGGGGTGAGCACCGCTGTCGGAGAGTCCTTTGGAAGAGGCTTGAAAGCGCTGAGCACTTCTTCCTTGGCCGGCTCAGCAGACGTCCATTCCGAGTCAGCCCATTCGTTTCCTTCCCAATCCATTATCGAGAAATAATGCCGTTTGTGTTGTTTTGGATGGCAACCGTGATATTTGAGTTCTGTGCGTGATTACTAAGGAAGGGGCAGAATAATAAAATTCTAGGAGATTAGGTCGAATAAAAGCTGCAGAATAAACACGGAGAAAATCAAATCAGCTCAAACAGCACCGATTAAACACAAAGGTGCCAAAAACATACTACTTGTAGAAAGCCAGTGAATACGAACAACACCCTTCTTCAGGCACTCTCACAAATCATACATGGTGCAGGTACCTTCATTACTGTACTGTACATGCTGCTGGACATGCGATCACCCTAAATACAACATTAAATCGGATTAACCGCTCACATAAAACACTTTTAACCGCTGCTTAATTAGAAAAAGGTAAATGATTTCCAAAAGAACCCGGCACTTTCACTTGTACTGATACTGTAGCTTTGAAACGATCATCTGTTTGTTTTTTATTTTAGATCACATGACCACACGTGCGATATGTGCAATATGTGCGGCTCTCGGTTAGCACCATGACGTAACGGCCCAACCTTAAAAAAGAAGCCTTGCTTATTAACCAGGAACACTGAGTCATATTTGTGAACACATGTATAACATGTATCATTCGAATATCGTCATGGTTGGACGATATATCTTAGTATTTCCATTTCCAGGCAAGGTTCCTCATCATAATCGAAAGATACTGCTTTTCGACACATGTGAAGCTTGTCTCGTTGCCAGGGACGAATAAAATGGAGCCGAATAATATCTGACCAAAAAAACGTAGACCAGGTACGAGTCTCGGACATACATAACTGTAGTGGATGAAGTACAATGCTTGTACTTATAAGAGGTGAAGGATACTAAATACCACCTAGTAGACACGTGCATTTGTGTTACTTGTAGTATTATGATCTTCAATAGTTATGACTCGCACTGAACTCGTACACCAAACAGTCGCTCTATGTGCCTGTATGCTTCCCGCATATGCACACTGAGTATACGGGGTAAACGAGGAAGATTTCCGACAAAGGTTTGAAAGTCTTGGTGGCGACTGTAGCAAAAATAAATTACTAAATAATGTAGCCTATTGTAATAAGTGTCGATTCATCTCTTTAGATCGCCACTTTAGCAGCCCTGAAACGTTTTCTTGGACTCATCCATTTTCTTCCCCAGAGCACGTGCCCGGGTCAAAGCCTAACTCTACTACTAAAAAGTCCCAAGCTCAGGTATTGTGAAAAATTAATTTTGGACAGGAGCCAGACACAATCAGAAACGTGAGTATCGAAACATACCCATTTGTTTTGCGATCCAAAGCAACGCCAGTGCCATCTCTTATAAAGAGTTGACTTGATTTCTGCTCACTTCCTGCGCTTAACTAACAAAGAATGTCTGGGTTTGACGACGACGAACGAATCAATGCATTCGAAAAACGACATGATTCGACCAACACGATTCGACCAGAGGTGAACGGACGAGTTCCCGCACCGCACCAGCCTCAGCCCCAACACCCCACCGTCAACACCTCCCTGCCTTCTACTCGATCTAGCTCCGTTTCATCGTCTCGATCCAAGCTGTCGCAATACTCTTACCTTGGACAACAGGAGGGTACTCCTCTCAACACCCGAGTGGCGAGCCCATACACGCTCAACCCCCCCATAGATTTCGACGGCCTGTCGTGGCCTTCTGTCGGTGCTAGAGCTCGTCTTGAGCAGACTGAGGAGGAGGCCAAAGCCCGTGAAGGACGTATTGCAGATGCAGTCAAGACGATTTTGACAGAGCTGGGAGAAGACCCAAACCGTGAAGGTCTCTTGGAGACGCCCGAGAGATACGCCCGAGCCATGCTGTTTTTCACAAAGGGCTACGAAGACAACGTCAAGGATGTTATCAAGCGGGCTGTTTTTGAAGAGGATCATGACGAAATGGTCATTGTTCGAGATATCGAAATCTTCTCGTTGTGTGAGCACCATCTTGTGCCCTTTTTCGGCAAGATTCACATTGGCTACATCCCCAACTCGCGAGTTTTGGGTCTCAGTAAGCTTGCCCGTCTCGCAGAGATGTTCTCTCGGCGACTGCAAGTTCAGGAGCGACTCACCAAGCAGGTGGCTATGGCCTTGTGGGAGATTCTGGAGCCCCAGGGAGTGGCAGTGGTGATTGAAGCCTCCCACATGTGTATGGTATCCCGAGGCGTGCAAAAGAGCGGTAGTAGCACGCTCACCAGTTGCATGCTTGGCCGCTTCAGAGACGCCCAGAAGACTCGAGACGAATTTTTGACACTCATTGGAAAAAGATAGGAAAGACAGAAGAGATATTATTTATTCAACTAACATGTGCATCGATTCAACAGGCACGGAAATAATGTAGCTGGCACAGAACACCACCAGCTATGTACATAATAATACTATATCGCACGTGAAAGGACATTGTCATATATAGTGTAAACATACCGAGGACTGCCCATTATTGCACTGTTGAAATTTCACTCTAAGAAGTTCCGGTTACCCCCTTATTTACTGTACATACTATACATACTATGGTTCGTGTCTCATATCAGACGGAGATATCCGAGACACCATCCGTTGGAATATCTACAAGAGGGCCATGCGTCAGCTACGAAGCGTCAATGAAGATTCCGGTAACATGTAACATCTACTTCAGTCTTCAACACAAGACAAACGACCGTCAGTACAGTACGGAGGAAGTCGTCTCAGAGTGTACTCCATAACGAAACTACAAGTAGCCACCCCGAGTCGGGAGTCTTCAGTGTCATTAGACTCGGGCTAACTATATGAGACATGTGGTTAATTGGAAAAGATTATCACCTAGCAATGTCACCAGTCATTTTGCTGCTAGAAAATGAACGTGGAGGCACGGGTTACATAAGACCAAGAAGAGAGAAACCAGTTTAGTGGAAGAAAGAAAGAAATAAAGAGAAAGAAGCCCCTATTTTACGCCACTAACAGTCTCCTCCGTTCCTACAGATGAGTTGTGTGGTGCTACCACTTACATAAGACGCGTACTGTACATTACTCTTTCAATCTTTCTTTTACCATAGTCGGTTAGATTGTAACCCTAAGCGCTATCAGCTTGAAAAGAAAACCCAAACACCGATAAACTTCAACTTGCAAGATGTAAATTTGGGGAGCTCGATATGGGACTTGCTGTACGAGTATCTTACTGTAGCTTGGAGTCGATGCCCGTGATTCTAGAATCCGTCTACAAATGATTGCGCGCCATGCATTTCCCGATGCTCACTTGTTTGGTGGGTTCATGCTTGAGACATGCTTATTTATGCTGCAGCCCAACAGGGTAATTTTGAGTGATGAACAGTCGACTCGACCTACGATATACAACACATGTACCGCACAGGACTCGGAAAGATTCTTGTACTCCATGTCGCATTTCAACATTATGTTCACAACGAAATACTCGACGATGTGGGAGCATCTAATTGAACAAGCATCTAAAACTACAAGTAGACCGTGGCAAGACATTCGAACCCATTTGAAACACACGTAAGACATTGGAAACGAGATGCTAACAGAACTCAAATAAATCATGGGAACCTCGACACTGGCTCACGAACTCATGTAATTGAGTACTGTGGTGAGTCTGAACAAGAAGTACGTGAAGGTCCCAGAGAGGCCAGCTAACGGGTAGTAAAGCACTTTCTCGGGATGTATGGTGTGTTCAAAACCATATGTAGGATTATTAATTATTAATATTTAGTTATGTACGATACAGTATGAGTATTAATAACTACTTGAAGTACAACCCACTTCCCAGGACACCCCGTTCAGATACTTGTAGTACAGTATGTACATTAGTGCACATCAGAAGGGTGTGCACTTGTCCACATTGGAGACTCCAGACCAATAGGTGCTGCTATCTACAAGACACACATTAATCAACTACAGTACATACCAGAAATGCCACCTGTTATCATAATATGTACCAGGTTAGAAGTACTTGGCTATTTAGTCCATCTCACAGACGTCTTAGTCACAAGTATTAGTTTCTGGTTAGTACGAGTAAAATTGAGTCGTCTTTTAACACAACAGCCGACAGGGTACCCGTGTACGAGTATTTCAGCTCATAATTATACCTATTCGAGACGCACAACAAGCTGTTGATACGAATTCCTGATTTCCAAGCTTCAAGTACCAGTACAGTATGTACATACATCTTTCAGCAAGAATGTCAATTGTTTCCCTCAACATTCACAAATTTTGTGGGTGCATAGTTTGACGTCACCGAAATCGCCATTGTCGAACTACATTTTGACGAGATCATAATTGCAACTTCCTGGTCGTGATATAGACCACAACCCTGAGTCCATTGGAGAATCAGTAAACCGGAACTGTCCTAGGAGACAATCTTCTACTGCAGATCAGCCGCTTCTGAAGTGAACTAGGAATATTATGACGATTACGAGGCTGTTGAACGATTGCGATTGCGGAGGAGCTCTGTTCGATTGCTAACGATATCCTGCTGTATGACGATTGCTTCATTCCTGAGCCGTCCCAAAGAACTGTTTTTGCGATTGACAAGTATCGTAAGTGGGTTGCTGGAGGCCAGCCACTAAGGAGACGTTCTTAGGCGACTAAGTTGAGAACAGCCACGGGTATGCTGACGATCGAGTTTCTATCTTGAGAAGCAAGAGTGAAGGGGACCAGCAACCATATCTCATTGCCTGTCTCAAAACGGCTATTTTGCCGTTGCATCAGGGGTCACCAAGTGGAGATCTGGGCTATGGAGTTTCAATTACGGCAGTCCCGTTAGATGTGGTTCAACTCCTGGATTAATGTACTCGTAATTCATCTCACCAAAAGTGTCATCGTATCCCCACAGCTTCCAGTAAACTCAGCGATGTGAAGCTCATGTCCGGGTTCTTAGGTTAAAGATACGCGAGATGTGCCGTGTAGGCGACATGGAGACTGGGTAGATAAGCGGGTAATGGAGCTCCCTATGTACACAGTCAGCCAGACATCTCAAGGAACAAAGAAGATAAAAGAAACATCTGCCCGAAGCGCAAGTGAAAGTGCGTGGAGGCAGACAAAGAAAAAGTTAAAGAGAGCCGGGTTACAGATCGTACTGGGGACAGAAAAGAACAACTCCATGGGGTGATCATTCCGTTTTACACAAGAGGATTGTTTTGGATCTCGCAAGTTACTCAACTAGCAACTACATAGCAGGAGCCTGAACCACGTGAGTGGAGCAATCGATGCAGTTTAATGTACAGTAATGACAAGACATGCGCTACTGCGGCAATAACACTCGCTAATGCAGCAATAGTAATAACAGTCAGGTACAGTACAGCCTTTTATAACTACAAGTAGGATCATACCTCTTGTGGTTAATAGAGAGTTTCAGTCTCACGAAACCGAGCAACTCTCATAAATGCCATTGCATCTAGTTGTTGTACCTGCACGTTATTCACATGCCAAGTCAATCGCACACACATCAATGGGGGGGGGGGGGGGGGGGGGGGTGATAACAAACTTACAAGTGGTTTCCACCGCAAGCTCAGAGTGTACGTTGAACTTCGATTGCTGGTGATGCCGCTCGAGCAAACTATGGTCAGTACTGTACTGATCCGTGCCATCCATCTCACCCCGGTCCTATTGGGTGAATAGGATGTATTTATGAACGTCGGAGTCGTCGTTTACGAGGTTACGAGCACAAAGAGTTCCGTTGTATCAAACCGTAGTTGCCACAGCAACAATGGCAATGATGTGTGACGTAATTATACTTATTTGGACCACACACACCAGACATCAAATACGCAACAGCATGTAGTTTAACGGTGTAGGTTGGGCTGGGGAAATTAAAGTTTGAATGAAATTTGGACTTTGAAGAGTGCTGACCCCGTATTTTGGCACCAAGGGGTATACATTCAGAACATGGGTCTCAAGCTATACGGGAGACTTTTTTTTTTTTTTTCCTTCTGAGGCCTTTTTTAGCGTACTTTGTGTCCAGGACTGCTTTTGTTGCTACTAGCTTTTTAGAATATTTAGAGTCGATCTAAAAGTAGCAATGTACTTTTGGACAGCTGTCGCCAACTCACAAAAAACCTATTAGCCATTTCAAACATGTCTTCGTATTGTCTGTAGTAATAAAATGGCAAATATATAATGTCCCCGCCTCCTCCTAGATTTTTCCTCGCTCATTCCGATCTCTGATGGCCTGAAGTCACACCATCGCTTCCAAAAAAAGAGTTAGACGCGAGCGCTGCGCCTGACGCGAGCAAGGTAACGACAAAAGGGCAAGCGATAGGCAAATAAGCTCTATCTGCCAATTCTAGGTTCGCGGAACGCTCCCCTACGTTTTAGTAGTAGTCCCAGTGAGCTGCTTTTGAATACGGCTTCTCGCCTCATGCGGAAACCAGAAAATATCACCATTTCTTTCCCCTTACCGACACACTCACTCCAATGCCTCCGAGTATTGATATCGTGCTGAAGCTGGCCCAGCAGGTGCATGGATCGACGCAAGTCTCCCTCGCAGTCAAACAGGCCGTGGTCACGACTCTGGAGTTGTGGAGTCGCAGAGTCATTATTGAGATTGCTCAGAGGGTAGATATCATAACGGCCACCGAAGACCTTCACTCTCTCGGACACAATCCATATCCGCTACCGACTTTTGCCAAGCTGGATGGTGTCATCAGCTTGTCTACAAGTGACCCCACACCCTCCAAGATACTGGACAGTTTCGACTGCGTCGTGGAAGAAGACTCACGTGAGTACTAATCTAATCTAAAGGCCCTTTCTGGTTTATGTCATGTTTTCCTATGTTTCGTTCGTCATTTCATCTCTAGGTGTTAATTAATTTGCCCTCATTATCTTGACTAACACAGAAATCCAACCCTTCTACTCCAATGGAGATCTAGCAGCTCGACATCAAAACCTCATTGCTACAGTGCACTCTATTATCACAGACATCCCAAGGACAGGAACCTTGGACGAGTCCAAGCTCAGAGCACTTTACACAACAGCCTTGGAAGGATACCTGTTCGCAGGGTGCATGGCATTCTCTATGAAGCTGTTCGACAAGAGTGCCTTTCTCAACTCTGTTATTCTGCTATTTGCACCCAACTACGCGGAAGCCCTTTACAACCAGGCAACTACAATGATTACAGCCGGGCATAAGCAGGACGCAGTATTTTGGTGGAGAATGACGCTAAGGGCAAAACCAGGGTACTGGGCTGCCGCCGAGCAACTCTCCAGTGTTTTGATGGCGGAATCTCGACCTATAGAAGCTGGTACCACACTATGTACCTGCATCAACGCGACGATCGCACAAGACATCGCCCCCAACACTCTCCAGTCGTGGCAGAAGCTTCTGTCGCTTTACCACACCCTCGGAAACAACCACTACAGTCACAAAAAGGTAGGTCAGGCCGTGCAGGTATTCGCACAGGTCGTAATTCTAGCGTCACTACCAGATCATTTGAAGCTAGGACCTGATCAGTTCTCATGGAGCAAAGTAGATGCTCAGAAATTCATGGTCAACTTTGCACTCGGCAAATCTACTGATCTTGCTACATCCGAAATTGAAACGCTCACGGAAACCATTTCAAACGTCATGCTGGCATGGTACATGGAAGAGCGGGACCATGTAGCAAGCGTTCCGGTTTCAACAACCTCTGCGCTTCTAGTGAGCCCCAAGAAGGCCATGAGGGTTCGATTCAAGCTGTACGGAGACATGGGTTTGCCCCCTTTGCTGCTCCGCCTAACACTTCTGCAATGTCCAGGGATTGGTAGGCTTACGAAGGACAGAGAATCAGGGTACGAACTAGCTTCGTCAGATTCGGACAATGGCCGTGTGACTGTTCCTCCTTCTGTTCTTCCGTTGTTCCAATCAATCACAATTACCATTGCTAATGCACTGTTGAATCTGGCTAAAATCTTACAGGACGGCATCCACTCGGGAAAAACCGACCACGCAATCTCCTTCAACAACCGCTCCCCAACATTATACGACATTCTTTCCCTGTATTTATTATCGCTATCTCTCAATCCCTCAGCTTCGACCGCTAACAATATTGGAATCTTGCTCAACTCTCTCAGTACATCTATGCCCAACCGAAACCATGTCAGAAGCCTGGCCCTTTCTTACTACCAATATGGCCTCTCCCTCGACCCCAAACACCCCCATCTGTACACAAACTTGGGCTCACTATTCAAAGAGCAAGGAAGACTTAAACCTGCTATCGACATGTACCTCAACGCCGTTAAATGCGACGCTGGTTTTGACACAGCACTCGGTAATCTTGCAGCGGCTTATCAGGACAACGGACAAACCAGTCTTGCCATTCAGTACTACAAGAAGGCTGTGGCAGCCAACCCTGGTTTCGCAGAGGCCATATGTGGACTGGCAAATTGTCTCAGCACCATTTGTTCTTGGGCAGGGCGCGGAAAGTCACCTCAGGAACTCTGTGGAGTGGACGACGATGGGATGGTGTGCTTCGATAACACCCCTGGCTGGATCACACGACTCATTGGCGTGATTAACGAGCAGCTCAAGGACGGAAAGATCTGGGGCCATGGCATTGTCTACAAGAGCCCTTCTCTAGCTCAAGACATCACCAACGCCACTGGAGACTTGGACAACGACATAATCAACAAACTACTGCCCTATTTGTCCCCGAAGTGCCAGTTGGGAGGAGAGGGGACCCAGATTGTCAGAGCCATCGAAGAAGCAACCCGACTGTGCCAACTGAGATGGTATCTTGATCCTGATGCTTCTTCTGATAAATTTCCGCGACCCAAGATCCCCCCTTTGCTACACGTTCCTGCAGCCTCAACTGTAAGCCCATTCCACACATTCACGCTACCTCTGGACCGTGAACAGGTGTTGGGCATTGCTCAATTGACTGCTCTGCGGATCTCTGTAAGCACCCTACGCCAGCCCTGGATGCCTCGACATGTTTTCAAACCCCCAAAGAGCCCCGGGCAGAATGGAGGTGTTCTCAACGTTGGATATGTGAGTTCGGACTTCGTCGATCACCCCTTGGCCCATCTCATGCAGTCTGTGTTCGGTCTCCATGACACAACAAAAGTCAGGCCGATTTGTTATGCTACCACTTCGTCGGATGGATCTTCTTACCGTCATAGAATTGAAAAGCAGGCCCTGGTGAGAGACGTTAGCAATATGTCCACTCATCAGGTTATTGAGACTATTCTTAAGGACAATATCCATATCTTGGTAAACTTGAATGGGTACACAAAAGGAGCCAGAAATGATATCTTTGCGGCTAGACCTGTCCCTGTTCAAGTCAGCCTGATGGGATATGCTGGTACTTTGGGAGCAGGATGGATAGATTATATCTTTTCAGACAGTATTTCAAGTAGGGAGAGACAGCGAGACTCTTTCAGCGAGAAACTGATCATTTGCCAGCCCAGCTTCTTCTGTTGTGACCATCGACAGACAGCCCCAGATTGCTTTGCAGTGAGAAAGAGCGTGTCTCGAGCTCCTGTTGGAAGCGGAAAGATGTATGAACAGGGTTCTACTCTCTCTGAAAGCCTTTCTCGTTTTCACAGCAAGGTGCGTAAGCCCAAGTCACCTCGGTCTTGTGGTACTGGTACTGTTGCATCTGCCCACAAAATGGAATATAGCAACATTGATATCCAGAAGTACGCTCTTTCTCAGCTGGAGAACTCCCCTTTGGTTGATGGTTACTCCAGCGACGACTATTTGTATGGCAAAAAAGACGAATGGGAAGATTCCTTCTCTAGAGACTTGGACTCGAAAATGGATAAGAGGGGCAGCGATGCAAGCATTGAGGAGGAAGGAGACTCCACTGGCACGCCTCGTCTGCCTCCATTTGACCACGAACTTTCCAAGAGAGCCAAGTTGAGACAACAGATCTTCCCCGATATTCCGAAGGAGGCTGTTTTACTTGGAAGTTTCAACCAGCTGTACAAGATCACACCCGAGACACTCTTCATGTGGCTTCTGATTCTACAGCGACAGCCCAATGCATACCTATGGCTGCTCCAGTTTCCTCCCGCTGGAGAGAGTAAGATCCGGGAGATGGCCTCGAAGTGGTATCAAGGGACTGACGATATCAACAAGCGAATTTTGTTCACGCCCGTCACTGATAAAAATGTTTTCGTCACGCGATCAAGAGTTTGCGACCTGTTCTTAGACACCCCTGAGTGCAATGCCCATACGACAGCTGCAGATGTGATTTGGAATGGAACCCCAATTCTGACATTTCCTAAGCATGATCACAAAATGTCGTCACGGGTAGCTTCTAGCATTATTGCCGCCAGCATTCCTCATCCTCCTTCGGCAGAAGCTGAAGCTATGTACCGCGATCTTGTGGTTGACTCCAATCAGAAGTATGTCAACAACACTCTAAGTCTGATCTCGGAACCTCAATTGCCTACCTTGATCAAATACAGACAATTATTGTATAGTCAGCGAGAAACTGGACGATTATTTGACACGAAACAGTGGGTGAAGAAGCTCGAAGAAGGATTGTGGAGAGCCTGGTCTGACTGGACAGAGGGTGTCTACGAGGACATTGTTATGGGCTAGTTACTACTTGTAGTTACTTGTATATAATTAAGTGATGAACTTTTATGAGTCGGCGATGCTTTAGACGTATGTACAATACTTCAACACGTACTCGTACGTAGTTTCTTGTCGAGATACAAAGTACATACTATAGAGCTACGTCAGAAGCAGGTGTCTGGTCCAGCAGACATACTAATACTCTTTGACATGTTAAGCAGAACATGTCCAAGGGGTGCCACTTACAAGTACAAGTACAGTACATACAGTACATACAGTACTTGTGTTGCTACGCCTACAGTACCTTGTATCTCGACGCCCATGCTCTCCCTGCTCTGCTGGAACATAAGCCCGCGAAAGCTGATAACGTCTTAGAATATCACTTACGATGAAGAAGAGTAAACATAATCACCAACTACAAGTGCAGTATGTACTGTACATACAAGTACAATCATTTATTCAACTTTGTCGCCAAGAACATGTTTGTCAGCAGCAGACTTGCCGAAACTGCTGTGCCAGGCTGGTGCGGGGGTTCGTTGTGATGTTTGCCGGTTAGAAGAGAGCTGCTGCCCCGAATATACAGAACTGTACATAACGAACAAGGGGTACAAGTAGAGGGCGCAACTCCAACTCATGAATGAGGAACGCGCAACTTGAATGCAGGCTCTCGGTTGAAACCAGAAAAGGACGCGAAGCCCAAGCCGCCAAAGAACGTAGGTGATACCAACTAGAAAGCCTTTTTTTCTCGCTTCAGTTGCTACTTGAAGTTAGTACTACTGTAGTGTAGAGTGTGCTATTGTACATCATCTACGAGTACAGTTACTGTATGTACTGTACAGTTGGGGAGGTTGAGCGGCAGGTATGAGTGCAGACATGGACACCACGATAGGTCTCTCTCGACACCTATGAAGTTGATAGATTACGCGATTGTATAAAAAGACAGAGAATGTAGGAGATTTTCAAAGTAATAACTTTTTTATATGAGCAGGGTGGCAGCGACAACTGACGGTGTCGGATCCGAAACCTGTGAGTGCACTGGCCTCTGTAGGACCGATGCTATTCTCATACCGTAACCATCGCCCCCATCATCTATTAACAACCTCCAGATAAACACTGGGGGTTTCCCAAGCTAACCAATCGGATCGGGTATTCGGCAGCAAGCCCATTTGTCCAAGCTTCCACACTCCAGCACCCATAGTTGCGAGCAGAATCAGGACATACACTACCTCGCACATGAGGATCTGCGACTTGTTGGTAGGAGAAATTAAGCTAGCAAACTGCTTGTGGCATGTGACCAGCGACTTCAGAGGAGTCATGAAGAACATCATGGCAGTCATTGTGATGGGGATGATTTGCAGAGACGATCCAGACATGTAAGACATGAATAAGTTCATGGGGAGCGACTTTCCCGGAGCAAGGGCAATGTCCCATGCCTTCTTGACCTTCAAGACATCCTGCTCGTGTTCGGATGCCTGCTTGCTGACAATCTTCTTTCCGCTCTTTCCGAACGAGGGGGGCGTCTGTGGGTTGGCGATATTAAGTGTTTTTCTATCGTTAGTGAAAAGAATCACGCCATCGACAATCGTGGAAATACTCACACTGGCTTGGTAGTAAGCGTACTGTACCATTGAGGCAACATGTTCGTGATGTTAGTGTCTTGTCGTTGATGTCCTTTTGTGTGGTGGCATCAATGATGCAGTGGTGCGTTAAGGTTGATGATTACTAAGTGCTTTCAAGGCTGTCAACAACGTGTCCAAGTATAGAGACGAGGGCTACTACAGTATAATTGTATTCAAAAAACAGCATATTGAATTTATCGCGTGGAGTAGCTGATTTATTTGACCCTGTTAATTTGTGGGTGATATGTTCTTAGACGGCGATATGAGGATTTTTTTTTTCCCTGAAATTGGTCATTCTTTCCAATTTCGAACAGAAACCCTACAAGTAGCTACAGGTAACATATTCATTGCACTGACACTACTACCGATTATGTACATACTGTACTTGTACTTCAAGCTGTCTTTCAACAGCCTGGATCGCACACTGGCAGATAAGGTTTTGTCTGTCTTCGCGACAGTGGCAGAAGCAGTGTTTTCATGCATGCAGTATGCGGATCACACAAAAAATATCACCATCTCATCATCATTATCAAACATTATGGTATCAGCACGAAAAAAGAAGGAGAAGAAAAAGGACTTCCAGAAGACCAAGCTCAAGGTCGGAAAGACCGCTCCCAAGAGCAACACACACACGGATCTCAGTTTCAAAGCAAAAACTATCTCCCTGCCGAACCAGAGTATCGTTAAAGGCATCACTGGCGCTGGAGGAGTCCCTGTTGGTAGCACAGTATCGCCTCTGAACAACGAAGACTTTAAGCATCACATTTTGTTGCTGAAGCATCACTCGGCTGGTACTCGAAAAGAGGCTCTTATCTATCTCACAAACGCCTGGAACAAGTATTTGGCCAGCAGCGACGATCTCGGCGTCAACATCAAGCCAATTGTCGACGCAGCCGCTCCGCTGGTTCTCGACCTTTCTGAAAAGGTGCGAGCAGAGTTGCTATTGCTACTGAGAGCTCTGTGTTTTGAACCGGGTCAGGTTGATCCTGTCCCTGCGAATCAGCTGAGTGACATCAGTAAGCCCAAATTCACTCTGAAGCCTGAGTTCTACACCGCCAACAGTCCGCTTTCGTTGCATATTCCTAACTTGGCTCTGTACATCCATTCCGCCATGACTCACATTACTCCTGATATTCGAGCAGACTCGACAAAGTTCCTGCTCCTTATGGTGACCCCCGCTACTGGCGAATCGCACACTTTCAGCCACTCTTTCGACCTTTCCATCTGCTCTGTACTTCAGCGTCAGTACTGGGCCAAGACACTCAACTGCTTCTTTGCGCTATTTGGATGGTCCCATGAGAAGACTGATCAGCAACTCACCATGAGCTCCAGTTCAGTCACGGCAGGCCTGGCGTTCGGCAAGCAGGCCGCTAGTGTGAAGAAGTCATTCCTGGAGTGCCTACAGTTGTTTCTGAGAAGTGGTCTCAGCGAGTTTGGTGTGAAATACAAGGAGATCAAACTGCTGGATGCTTCTGGAAACGATGTCGTCATTGAACAACGACAGCCTGAAAATCCACTGTTCCACCCCATGAGCAGACTTTTCACACAGCCCCCCAACTCAGACCCTTTCTTGCACCTCAACCTTTTCAAAAGTACAAACACCTCGGCCACTACTACCTCCATCACTGAGGACGTGGAGGCTAGAAACCAGGTTCTCAAAACCTACCTGGGCTCTCTTCACCACGGCCTGGAGTTGTTGGCAAAGGAGGGAGGTGAGATTGGACGGTTGGCTAAGAAGACAATTGAGGTTTCTGTTTGTTAGAGGACAGATTATAAGCACTAATATAGACATTTGCACATATTTGAATGAGTTATTAAAACATTTGGAAAACTGCCGGTGCAGTACATACTACTTATAATTTCTTATTTCCCTTCGAAGATTACAACCCCAGTATTTACAATACTTCTGAAAAAAGCAAACAGGTTCGATGGGACAAAAATAGCAGAGATGAGGTATAGCCGGCACGGTATGGTCGGGACCATACTGACATACGAGTACAAGAACCCTCTCGTACGATAGTAGATACTGTGTTTTGTAACTATGATATGGTATTTCACACAAGTAATTTCATTGACAATTTCGCTTAAGTGCAGTATTCGTACAACATGGTGCCCATGCGGACTCCTCAATTTACACTCCTATATTGAGCTATCTAAGACATGAAGTCAGACATCGAGCTAAATATCATCAGGTCTAGCCTCTGCTTGGAGGACGGCAATGGGACATAATAGCAACAAAAGCCACATGGATTGCACTGGGGGAGATACGGCTGTGTGAAACGTCCATAAATAGGCAATCTTGAAGAATATCATCCCCAGAGTTCAACGTGGTGAGATAGCTTATAGTGTACCACCTACTTGTCCTCGTACCAGTTTATTGTACATACTGTACTGAAATTAATGAACTCTAAAGCGTCGGAGATCGTGTGCTTCCCAATTCTGCGCATGTGGACAATACAATCTGATTTACTCGTATCTGAGCAACTTGGGTGATATTTTCCGACATACCACATGGCCTTTCGCTGTTTCTATATTTGTTCATGAAAATAGCCCTAGTAGTACTGTCGTATCATATCGTACGTCCCCTCTCTTGTACAAGTGGTTACGATGCTGGTAGCTGTACAAGTAATTTAACTACACTCCTACAAATATCGTACATTTTACGTACAATGTACTTGTAGGTTATTTTGTACAACGTTGTAAATCCGAGAAATGCCACAGTCTATTATTAATAAATGAGTTGAATGAGAGTCAGGCACATGCTGCTTGGAAGCAATGATGCCAAGTCGTGTACAGAATGCGCGAGGATATTACTGCTGTGTACTACAGTACATACAGGTCTTGTACGCTTTGACTGCCGTGTTTTGCCGCCATCCCGCCTTGTCATCGAAGCCATTGCTCTTGACCTTTTACCACTGCAAATTACAAAGTGTGTAGCAAATTACAGTGTGTCGCCAATGTCACGAACAAGATTTTGGATCCAAAACAGTCAACACTGACGTCAGACCAGCCATATCACCTGGAATGTGTGTGTCGGACAGTCTGAATCTGTTGCTGGTGAGACCACAAACTCCACATTGTTTATTCCATGACGACGCCATAAATGACCAATGTACATACAGTACTGTAGGTATTGTGCAAGTTGTAATTTCGGGTCAGCTGCAAACTCGGCTGCTTGTCTCAGTTCACTGTACTTGTAGGGCAAGATTAGTCCACTTGAAACTGGTAAGCACAGCACCAAATGGCGGGCGGTATATTGCATTAGTTGGAAGGTGCAGTTTATTCGGGGACCAGGTCTAGCTCTTTTGTCTACTTGTAGCTATTCTGAAGACTGTTTTTACTCGCGGATTCGGCTGGTATTTAATGTTGTGCTGCTCACTGTAGAACGTGCACAGTCCCAAGCTCGCGTAGCCGCCCATTCTACATCATTATCTTTAGATCCGCTTATTCCCGACCAAGCGTTCCCGGCCAGTCATTTTTAAGCTTTCAACGTCTTTTTTTTCTGGCCGACCGGGAAAGGATTGGAGCTGTCTTGTGACGTCACGTGGAAGTTTATGCGATCGGGATAGTGTAGAGATCGGAAAGGCAACAATCCCCCCTCCGCCCTAATTTTTTGTCCCCCGTTTCTTGATTTATGGCTGCCAGGCTTGGAGGATCCAGAAAGTATAGTCCATTTGTCATGAAGTTGAGTTGAAACTCTAACAGGTGAGACGATGGTTGAACCTGTGAACCAGGAGAACCAGGTGATGTTGTAGATGTTAATTGTTACAAAGCAAGGAATTTGAATCAGAATCTGATCTTATGGTTTTTATAATCGATTTAGTTTCTTGTAATATAGCCACTTTGGTGTTGTAAGGGTCCTATCTTACACAGCAATCTTGTGGGGAAGACTGGAGATGCCATAATAATGTGGGGGGGTGTGGAGCATTAGGTCATTACAACAGTTGGGGGCTTGGCGAAGCCCCAGAAAGTTATGGGAACTACTACAGCCTCTCCGAGGAGCTACAAGCTGTCCCAGCCGTCCATACAAGACCGTAACTCCACCAACTACAAAACCACCACATCTAGCCATTAACATTAAGCTCAGTGGACTAATATCCCGCACAGATCATCATGGCACGGCCTTCCTCTCTCCCTGTATTAGCACTCGACACCATGACCAGTGTCAACAACAACACACACACCACTGGCATGTCTTCGCTGAGCAAACTGCTGGGCTCGCAACCGGGCGGATCTCCAGCCCCCACAGATGCAAACATGACCTATTCAACTTCCCAGTCCTCGCAGGACACCTGTCACTACTCCACTTCAGGACACTCAGAGGAAACGGCCCACAACGGCGTCAACCACGGCAAGGCTCAGTTCTCGCTTGGAGGCTCATCTCCAGCAGCAGCGCAACAGTCGTGGAACGGAAACAGCGCCTCGGATACTCCTCCCAGAAAAGCAAAGGGTATCCAACCCGGAATTGCTGGAACCTCCTTCATGAGAGGCATGTCATCCACAAAGCAGTGCGACATTGAACCTCGGTTCATTGTGGATACGTCTCGGCTGTCGCTCGGCGGATCTTCTGGAGGAGATAGTCCAGGTGGCTCGTCATTCGGCAAGAGCCCTTCGTCACTGTCTCTTTTCTCGAGATCGAGAAAAGACAGTCAAGCTGACCTTATGGCCTCCAACAGCCCTCTGCCCTCATCGGGCTCATCTGCATCGCTGTCCAACTCTCACGGATCAACTTCGGACCTCAAGCGGTTCTTCCAAAAGCCCTGGAGACATTCTAGCAACAATAAGCTCCCCAGCGACAACGGTGAAATATTTGCTGTTACAGGAACCGCACCCGATGGTAGCCATGCCTCTAGTCCGACCGCCCAGTCGCCGGTCCTCGGGTCAAACTCTACCATGGGGGGTTCTAGCTTGGGGTCCCAGTCATCCCACTCCTCTACCCCTAATCTTAAGGCCCTGTCTTCGTCCGGACGAGCCCGATCGGCATCCCGGTCATCCATCACATCGACTTTTTCATCGTCCTCCAATGCAATCAGATCTCTGCACGACGACCGACGTACTTCGCTCACTAAGCATTACTCCAAGCCCGGAAAAGCCCTGGGAGAGGGAGCTGGAGGCTCTGTTCGTCTGGTGAGCCGCAACAAGGACAAGAAGATTTTCGCCGTCAAGGAGTTCCGCCGCAAGAATAACTATGAGACTCAAAAGGATTATTCAAAGAAAATTAGTGGCGAGTACTGCATCGGACTGACTCTTAAGCACAACAACATTGTCGAGACAGTCGACATCATCTACGAGGGTGAGAAAATTTACCAGATTATGGAGTACTGTGAATACGACCTGTTCGCAATTGTGATGAGCGGTAAGATGACTCGGGAGGAGGTTTACTGCGATTTCAAGCAGATCATGGCCGGTATCAAATACATGCACGACATGGGTCTTGCTCATCGGGACCTGAAACTCGATAACTGTGTAATTACGGCTTCTGGAATTGTGAAGATTATCGATTTCGGCTCCGTTGCAATCTTCAAGTATCCCGAATCTTCCACCATTCACGAGGCCTATGGAATCGTTGGTTCCGATCCATACCTTGCTCCCGAGGTGTGCCAGAATGTCAAATACGACCCACGCCCTGCCGATATTTGGTCTGCCGCAATCGTCTTTTGCTGCATGTTGATGCGAAAGTTCCCTTGGAAGGCTCCCCGGCTCTCGGATTCGTCGTTCAAATTGTTCTTGGAGACTGCTGACAGTCGCTCGGCCAGTAACCCCGAAAAGCTGGTTAAAAGTACTTCCCCTGTCCTCAATCTGGCTCCCCATATCCAGCCTGGCTCTGGCGCTGAGAAGCTCTTCTCGCGCCTACCCCAGGAGGTGCGGTTGCTGGTTGGCCAGATGTTGCATGTTGACCCTCTGCAGCGAATCGACATTTCCGACGCATGGAATGACCCATGGTTGCAGACGGTTGATTACTGCACTCATCAGGCATGTAAGACTCATCCCCATACGGTAGTTGCGGACGATGAGGCCCACATCGCGATGCTGGAGAAGAAGAACAAGAAGAAGAAGGCCAGCGAGAAAATGTGGTAACCCAGTATATACTGTATATTATTTATCTTTATTACAATTGTAACAATGTACTTGTGCTATTCAGTAACATATGATCTAATACCGTGAGCCAGCACGATATGTGTCCACTCACTACGTGTGCAAATTCCAGGCCAGGATGTTGGGAGTGTTACCCTTAAGACCAGTGACAAGACCGGTATTTCGGGTGAGCAAGTATTCCAGGTTGGCGTAATCCAAGTCACTGATAGACATCCAATAGGATACCAGACCGGCGAAAATAGGAGTCGACATGGAGGTGCCTGTCCAGTATAGATACCCATTATCAGAGTCTTTGGATGCTCCCTTGATACCCTCACCTGGAGCCAACAGCGTGACGCAGTCGCCCCAGTTGGAAAAGCCGCTCTGAACGTCCTCATCTCCTGTAGACCCCACCGTGTAGACTCCGATATTACCCTTTGACGACTTCGCAGGGGACTTTTGGCAGGCATCCTGGTCGTTGTTTCCAGCAGCCACAGTAACAACGATGTTTCGCTCCTGAGCAATTTCCATGAATCTATCGTAAATATCAACAGCGCCACTTCCAACCGACATATTAATGACAGCCTTCTGATTCCTTTCGGTGGCATGGTTAATGGACCATTCTAGACCAGCTATGATCCAGGAGAGAGCTCCGGTGTTGAGTTGCAGAACCTTGACACCCCAAATAGTGGATTCGACAGATACAGCTGCTGCCATACTAGCTACAGCAGTTCCATGGCCACCCAAGTCGCGATCAATGTCGTCGGCAAAGTTTGCACCCCACTGGGCCCTTCCTCCGAACGCTTCATGACTAGTTCGAATACCACTGTCCAAAACATAAATGTTGGTAGGGAAGCTAGTGTATTGAATGTAAGAGTACTTTCCTGCCTCAGTGGTGCCTTTGGGATTCTGTTTGTGGGAAATACGAGCCAGGTGATAGGGCTGGTTGGTCACAGTTTTGTAAATGTCCTGACGCTCCTCCAGCTGGCCCTGAGCGTAGACCAGAGTATCTGCAAACACAGAGTCAATAATAGTATCAGAGTCTTCAATAGACTGTACTTCTCTTTGAGTAAAAGAACCAACGTAACCAATCACACCGTTTCCTGCAGTATTGTTGGAGATATCGTAGAGCTTTGTGATAAGGATGCCCTTATCCACCAAGGATCCAACGTGAGCTAGCTTTTCTGAAATAGAAGCTTTTCCACTGAACAAGACAATAGTTGAGTTTTCAGACTTTTCAGACTTTTCATGGGGCATTGTTCGTTTCTCCAGATGCTCCATGAGACTCAGAAGTTTGGCATAGTCATTTTCGAGCTGGGGGATGGCCGCGCAGAGACCAATTGAGATCCAGAGAAGAATAGAGAGTAACTTCATGGCTGTTGCAGTTGTTTATGTCTAAAAACCTGGTGGTCTCTTGGTATTTATACATCCCCTAAAGATAATGGAACAATCACACTCTCGTACCCTCTTGTCTGCTTGGTTTCAATGTCACATGGATTGCGCTTTCAGATACGGCTCTGTTGCATATGAAAAGACTTCTTAAAACAGCATTTCCTCTCGGTCATACCATTCTTGGACATTCCCGACTCTTGGTGTTAGTCTTGGTTGCATGTCGTGATTTGTATGTTGGTGCTTCCATGTACCAGGATGTTACCTCATTGAAACACTAGCCCACAGAGAGATAAGTCATCGCCATGTTTCAAAATTTTAATGCAACATATTGTCTGTGTCTCTGATCTTTTGCACTGTACTTGTATATATCGTTTCTGCTCTTCCATTGGTTTCAGCTGCGTAACCCCGCCTAGACCTCCAGCCCATGCCCATGTAATGCATTGTCCTACTGTACTTGTACTGTAGCCGTGGTGAAGGTACTGTTCTGTACCATACAGGGGTTTTAGCGGCAACGTTAGACTAGACTAATCTTCCGGAAACAGAATTAGTATGCACCATCGTAACGGTAATGATAGCAACAGTAGATGTTGAAAAATTACGGACGACTCATCGTTGTGAGATAAGCCAAAAGCATATACCGATATAGCGTGTCACCTGTTTCAAAGAGGATTGCGTTTGTCGTATCAGCCAGTTCTTTCCCAGGCTCAACCTGCACTGGATCGTATCTACTGTCCATGTACACTAGCTAAGTATCTACAGTATGATACATTGTAACGTCATTACTGCGGGGTAGCATGGTGATGCATACAATAAAAATATCATGTGTTTTCTTGCGCAGGTGTAATTCTTGGCAGTGTTATCAGATGGAAATGGCTTGGCGTCCGCAGCTATTTATCGGGAGTGAAGAACGAGTTGGTAAGGTGGTGGTGACGGCTTGAATTGGAGCACAGCTGTTGCCAAGAACACGTGTTAAGATGTTAAGACAGCTGCTCATTATTACGATTACTTTGTATAGTGAATGTATTGATAATAAAACACTGCACACAAGTCCATCGATCGTTAATTGTCTTTTCTGGTTTTCAGATAGCCTAGGAACTTCATTCGCATGTCAATATCAGAAGAGAGATGCCTCTTGAACAGACGATTGAGCTTGGAGGGCTTCGCGCCGGCTCCCCGCATAAGCTGTAGTAGCAGTTTATCATCCTTAGGTGAAAAGAAGAACTCGTGGCGAGGGTAGCGTATTTTCAGTTGTTTCACGTGCCCTAGTGTAGTGCCAACATCAACTTGGCCACTCATAACCAAGCGAACCAGAAATGCCTTAGCTACATGCGGGTCATGACCTTGGATAGACTCGATGTACTTTCCAACTCCGGGTTGGAGATGGGCTATTTTGGCTACCGCGTCGGTTACTGAAAGCTTGGCACTGTTTCTGAAAGCGATATCCTTAGACTCTTCCTTTATGCATACAGAAGTTGGAGCATGAAGTCGCTCGACAATGGGAACAGAAGGTACACCCGCCATCGTTGTCTGTGCTGGAGGAATAAGAGGCTCGTTCGAAGAGACATTATCCAGAAGATCCCCTATTTCTTCGTTTATTCGTTGTTCTGAAGACATGTTGGCGGATAAATCAAACCGCTTGCTGTCTTCAAACAACGACTTTCGGCTCTGTGAGACAACACCAGAGGCTGACTCTGCCGCGAACTCCGTTGTAGATGACCTGGCTATCTCGTGGGTGTTTAGTAATTTCGCTCCATTCGCAGTCTCTCCATCTTCTAAGGATAGCTTTGTAGGTATAGTTTCGGCTGGCTTTCGCGGTCGTGGTGCAGTAGCTACCGTCTTTTGCTCCTGAACGGCCTTAACAGACGGCGTGACACCTGTGAAATCTCTTATAGTGCGTTTACAAGCCATTTCCGCCAGCTTGGTTTCAATTTCCAGGGTTCTCAGCTTTCTAGGAGAGATGAGCTTCGGCTTTCCGACAGAAGTCAAAGAGACATGCACATCTGTAGCATTAGAAGGGCCAGCAGATCGTTTGAGTTGATTAGGTCGGTATTCTGAAAAATGCCGCTTTATAGGAGCACGAGCTTCTTCATTCTTCTCTCTCTTAACGTTTTTACCGGGTTTCACGTCCGGCAGGGAGAATAGCAGTGGTTCCATGAACTTCAAGGCGAGAAGTGTTGCTTGTAGCCTACATTGAAGCTGATAGGGGTTTCTGGAGCCCAAAATTGGAGAAACTTTGGAATTTCCAATTAACCGCATCATATCCTGAATAATCTGAGTAGGCGTGAACTTGTTCTGTGTTTTAGACATCACAATTTCAACAACACCAATAATCACACACTCCATTTGAGGCCAGGGGCTATCACATAGCACCTGGAGTCCATCAGCAACAATCTTGCTTTCATTGGGACGTAACGATAGTAAGCCACCGTGCCGACTTGACCTGATCATCAGTTCTTCCCAGCCGGGGGAAGGCGGTTTTTTAGCAACGTCAACAGCGAGATTCATGCATTTAGTCAGGCCATCTATTCTCTGAGGCATCGCATTGATGATCTGCCTCACAACTTCGGATAGTGTTAGGCTTGGACGCTTCTTTTTGATTATCGCGAGACAGCAATAGATGATGTCTTTCATGCCATCGCCTGTCTGTTCCATGGCTCTTGTTAGTGTTGGATCAAACGTCCAGATCAGCTGCAATTGGTGCCCAGCGGTGTGTAGAAAATCGGTGGCATGTTTTCCTCTGTCGTCATAGGCCATATCGAACAAGTGCATAATCATTTTTGGGTCATGCCATCCGTTTCTATACTCCATTTTCAGGTTGGAAATATCATGGCGCACCTTCTGTACCTTGGTGTGGAGGATCGGATTCCCAGAGAGGTAATCCCAAAGCATTTCGGACACAAGAGCATCTCGACTCTTGTTAGTCCCGTGCTCAGTAGCCGCATAACAGTGAGTATCAATCCCTGAAGGCGCCGAGGGTCTCGGTCCCGCCGTTCTCAAGGGTGACTTTGCTGGAGATATTTTAGGAGATCCCGTAGACGTGGATTTTAATGGTGATGTTGCCAATTTTGGGGGTACCCTCGACGAGAGTCCTGCTTGGTTGGTGCTCCATGAGGCAGGTGGTTTTGGTTCTCCATCTTTTGACATGCTAGCAGTGCTGGATTGACCTGTTGGAGTCGCTGCCGTTGTACTACTGGAGTGCGTAATCTCAATATCTCCCTGTAATTGCGACGGCAGGTTGACATTAACTCGTCGTGGTACTCTGTCAGCCATTGGTGAATGTATGGGTGCCGCTCGTTTCGTCATAAATATGCTGTTCGTCCTCAGACTCAGATGTCCCGTCCTCCCTTATGTGTTAGAGTCGATCATAGTAGAATCAAACTGAATACTCACCGTGTGCAGAACGCGTCGTATGCAATATTCGCCCAGGGTCTACAGGCTCACCTAACAGAAGTGATAGTGCCAGGGGAAATGATCTTGATCACGAAACCTTAATCAAATGGTGCACGTCTCAAATGCACCTCCATTAGTATCAGAGCTTCAAAACTAACTCCACTTACTGATACGGGCGCCCATTTCTATGGGAACACCCTACTTTCTGTTTGAATTATGTTATTATTTGGTCATATAAATATCTACATTACAATCTTGTGGGAACTATGACTCCATCCAGTGTTCATCATCCTTCAGCTTCAATGAGCTCTGGCGTGATCCCAAAACAACACACACTGGCGGGAATACGTTCGCTTTCGCATGGATGAGTCGTTGGCCCGTAGCTTGAAGTTTTCCCTTGATAAACCCTTGGTCAATGAGAGCCACAAGAATCGCTTCTACCTGCGTCGAGGTCAATTTGGCACTACCTCCTCCCATCATTTGAGGAGCCAGGACTTGCTGTGCGTAACCACCGTTTTGTGTAGCAAAATCAAGACCTCTTGCAACGGTCCCGTAGTCGATGGCAGGATTTCCTTGTGCGACTGACCACTCATATATGACCTTGAGAGACCCTCGATCAAGCAACGTGAAGGCTCGTGACTTCAGAAGAACATAGAGATCTCTATCAATGAACCAGTCGCGTGCGTTTTCAAGAGCAGCGTAAAACCTGGTGTGATTTCCATGCTTTAGTGCCACCACCATTTCCCCATAAATGTTGTCGAGGTTGAATTGCTGTAGCAGTTCTCTTGTAGGAATTATACCCAGAAGCAAAGAAACAGCAACGAGGTGCTTGAGAATGAGTCTCTTATTGGTTGACTGTGTGTAGCATTTGTCCCAGGACCAGTACAAGTGTAAGTACGCATTTTTTAACTGCGACTTGAGCCAGTAAAATTTGCCGAGGTAGAATCGGTATTCAACTTGTTGCGATTTGGGGTATGCACTGAGTCGGATGCCTGCCGTAGACATGTTGGAAAACACGTTGGCACACAAAGTAGGCTGTCGAATGTGGAAATATACTCGACAGAGCAAGCATGCTAAATGCAAAATTATGCTCTTCCTAGTGAACTCCATATCACTCCGCTCCGTTCGCGTTGTGTTGAAAAGTCGCAATAATGGTGTAGCAATGTATTCAGATGTTGGATATTCCGTCGTGGCTGTAGTTTGAGCTAGGTTGTGCTCATTATCGTACTGGAAAGCTCCTCCAACCACCTTTCGTGCCCATAGCGCGACGGTGTGGGTTAAGCAAACTCCACGGGCTGAGGAGAATGCCACTTGCAAGTCTGTAAAGGTGCTGACTACCAGATCAAAAGAGTTGGACTCGCTGAGCGAATCGAAGTCACGAACCAATCGGATGTAGCTCTCCACAAACTGCTCGAAACCACCCCATCCTCCATCAAACAGGTGGGCCTGCTCGACAGATTTCGAGACCTGTTCATCAGTCCAGTTCTGTATCGAGACCTGTAGTGCGGCAGTGTTGGGGTTGAGAAGTAGCGGCGTGAACAGTTCTGCCAACTTCTCGGATTGGACAGCTGGATCTATCGATTCGTCATTCGTGAGTCCTGCCAGTCGTGTTAGCAGTTGCTGTACCATAGTGTGTGCTCATAGACAATCCGAATGATTGATCGATTTTGATTCACAGGTAAGAACCTTATAAACTGTGTTGACAGAGCGTGAAGAGAGTGAGTGCGATAATTACTGCTATATAAATTAAATAATTGGAATATTGCTACGAGTACTATAGTCTGTTCGAAAGAAAAAAAAATACAAAGGCACATTGTATCTAACATCCAATTCTTAAAATGATCGGACGCCAGTCATCGGATGTCTCTTTCTTGTCTCATCTTTGTATGATTAGCTAATTGAAGGAATCATCAACGTGCATTCACACACTGCAAAAATATAATTACAGCACTCGTACGATATATAGTCGAAGTGCAAGTAACACCTCAAACAGACCATCGGTCTAACGCTCTTATGTATCGTATGTACTGTATTGTACATCGGTCTTACACAATCCTAAGTGTGTTGAAGAAGAGAGCGTTCCATATCGTCTCCCAACTCGCTTACTTATAACTTACATGAACTGGTCAGTGAAAGCTCTAACACTACTGTACAGTAATTACTCGTACAACTTAGAACTGCCTAAGCTGGGCTCCTCCTACAACCCCAACCTTGACTCAAATAAGCTCAATGACTAAGCTGGCAAACTATCTTCACGACCAAGATAAATCACACAACCTACTGTTTTCAATCATAATGGAATTCGACCGTTCGCAAATATTTGCGCCTGTGAAGGCAGACACAGTTCCTCGATTTGCTCAGAGACCTCGACCCGCCGCTCCTGGCCTCCTGGATCAACTCCCCAGTACGGATATTGGTCAACCCAAAAACAATGACCGGCTGAGAATCCTGGTACGAGGGGTACCTGATTATGTGTCTTCAGAGGAAGTTGAGAAACATTTGATAAAGCCGTTCCAAGAACTTGTCGACTCATGGTATCTTATTCGGCAAGATTTTGTGGGTGGTCTAGACTTGGATCTCGACCAAGAGAGCTTGACCGAGAGCTGCACAAGAGTGTATGTCCAGCTACACAACAGAGAAGGAGTTCAAAAATTCCATGCCAGCGTTAACGGAGATGTCGTTATCGCTAAGAACTGGAGCCAGAGCCCCGACGAAAAATCTGACACTGAAACTATTTCCGATAACATTCCTACACCCTTAAAGGTGGAATATTCGCCTCTATATTACTTTACGCCCGACCCTACCACAACCGACATCATGGCAGGCACAATCGAATCTGACCCCCTGTATATCAAATTTTGCGAGAATCCAGACCAACTATTGTTCGAGGGTGGGGAAGGACGAATCCTGGAACCTGTCATCGCCCCTACGGATTTCGAGGTGGGTAGCATCGTTCCCGTAGGAGTTCCTCTGGCCAAGATCGACATCCCCGAGGAGGAGCGAGTCACTTTACCCGAGGAGAAGAAAAGCAACAAGAAGAAGACCAAGAAGGGTAATAAGGACAAGGAGAAAAAGCTAGGACCGACTGACGATTCGAAGCGTGACAGTAAGCATAAGGAGAAGGACTCTACGAGAGTGACTTCAGATGATTCTAGCAGAGAATCTACGCCTTCTGAGGACAAAAAAAAGAAGCGTTCCAGAAAGAAGAAGCTAGTAACTAGTGATGGAGCTAATGGAACTGCGCCACCATCAGCACCATCAGCAGGCACGCGAGAAACAAGCGACTCTGTACCATCTAATGTTGAACCCCCCCTTCCTTCTGTCGCAATCTCCACAATTGGAGCAGCCCCTAACAACTCCAATTCAACGACCTCCACTCAAGGTAAATCGAAAACCAAGAAGAAGAGGGTACGTGAGCCCAAAGACTCGCGTAATTCGCGGGAGTCCCCTGCTCCACGTGAACCTTCTCGGGAATCACTGACTCCTCGAGAATTGGGTGACTCTACACCCAAAGACTTGCGCGATACTCAGACTAATAGAAAACAAAAGAAGAAGAGCGACAAGCCCAAAAAGGACTCTAAGGCTGAAGCGAACGACTCAAAGCCAGAACCGAGACTCAAACAACAACCAGGTAAAGAGAACCAGTCTAAATCCAAGCCGAGATCTCAACCACAGTCACAGCCTGCCGTGGATATTCCCCAGACAACCAATCAGAGTGCTGCGATACAAAATGGCAATGAAAGAGCGCCCCCCAAGAAGAAGCGAACCCGAACCAAAAGACCTGCTGCTAACGGCGCCGCAGCGACCCCAAGTGACAAAGCTTCATCTGCACCTGCTCCGCAGTAACTCCTACTCGGGCTCGCAGCACTCGTATTGTACGTACTGCACTATTTTATGAGGCTCTGTATCATATAGAATAGATTTGACATTTGCGTACAGTAAGATATTGCGTAGATTGTATGCTCCAAGAGCAAAGTGCGGTTAGACAGCCCTACAATACAAAATAATAAAAAAAACAGATGCGTAGCCCTAACCCATAAATACTATATATGTAATAAACTTTTTCAATCAGTAACTACACGCATAATCGTGTGCACATCTGAGCGTTTACCCGGCCCTCTCATCGACATTAGAAACAACGTGAGAACCGAAGCGTTGTTCCTTCCAATATATACAACAGATGAATCTGCCACAGTCTGTTCCAACTCCGGTTATTCCCCAAACGCTAAACCACAGATCCAGTGTCTACAAGTGCTCTGGTCAGTTACCTCCGCTCCTAGCCAACTGTGCCGTTTCTGTCTCAAACTCCGTGCTTTTCATGCATGGAGGCTTCGATCATTTTACAGATGAAGTCAGCGACAAAACTCATCTGCTCGATTTGACCACGTGGACATGGAGTGTAATGGATGCAGCTCCTGCAGCTCAAGGCAATACGATTCCTCCTGGATTGTGTAATCACACGGCTACGACACTGAGAAATGGTCTCGTTTTCATATTCGGTGGAGAACAGACGGATGGGTCGGTAAATGGACGCATCTACTTGTTTCATACAAAGAGAGGGGCGTGGGTGGATAGCTCGATATTGCCGCAAGCGCCGCATGGAAAAACTCGACATTCTGCAGCTTTGAAATCTGATGAAACATGCCTGTATTTCACTGGTGGGAGCGACCCTGACTCGTCTCTGTGTTTTAATCTCATCACAAACTCCTGGTCCTTAATGCCTGAAATTTCTCTTACTAGCTACGACCATACCAGCACAATTATCGACAACCGGCTTTGGGTTTTAGGAGGTTTGGTAATGTCAAATCTCAGCAAGGACCGTGTGCAATGGTTCAATTTAGACCCTCTAGGAGGTGGAAGCTCAGCCATCATCAACAAAGGGTCTAGGGTGATCCCTAATATCTGCAAGGTTGGCATGAACGTTTCTGGGGCATACAACCATCGACTCTATAACATCAATTGTTCTTCTGAGGCCATGACAAGCAAAAATGTGACTTTGTCAATTTTCGACACACAAGAAATGGCCTGGAAAAATGACCCTCTTGATCCAATTGAAACTGACACTGATGGTAACGACGACGACGATATTCCGGATTACCGATGGTTTGGTGGTGCAACATGGGACGATAAAGCTGTCATTTGGGGTACTCTAGTTCCTGATTCCATTGCTCCAACTGATGTATTTGATCGAACAAGTACACATATGTTGGTTGTAACACTTGGTGAAATAGACGGCCACGGAATAACGGATAAGGTGGGCATGTCCAGCGATTTTTCGACACTTCTGGACTCAGGAGAATATTCTGATTTTGCCATCACTGGTCTTCAAGACGAATTGTGGAAGGGTAATACTGAATTTTCTCGATTTACGGCCTCGCGGAAGAAGAAATTTAAAGGAGACGCCAGCATTTCCCCATCGGTATCCTTATCAATTGCGGACCATCCCCCACCGTATCCAGTCAATCCAGGCTCTCCCCACCCTGTCAACTCTGATTCCTACTCCTCTGGCTACGATTCCGATATCCCCCACGAAGAAACGACCATATCGCATGCAGTTAAAGTGCATGCTGCTATTCTTGTGGCTCGATGGCCATATTTTAAGAGCCTTCTTGATTCAGGCATGTCAGAGGCACAGAGCAGAACCCTACATATCAATGAACCTATCAGGTGGATCACCCCGCTGCTCAGATGGCTGTACACTGACAGTTTGGGAACAGAAGTATACCAAAATTATGAAATCATGACTGGTGTCCTTACTCTTGCCCGAATCTATTGTCTACCAGCTTTGGAATCCATATGCCTCAACCATCTTCAGCGACCACTATTTGCTAGTCCTGATGAGGCCCTTCTGGTATGGGAACGTATCTACGATTGTGGAAATGAAAGCACTAGCCAGGCTGTTGCCATGTGGTGCTATCAACACCGTCGGCAGATTGTGGAGAGCGATGGGTTCAGAGCTCTAACGAAAGACAAGGTAACAGCCTTACTACAGCAGATGTTTGATGCTGAAGATTCTGACAAGACTGAAAAGTAGTGAGATATTCATTTTGGAAGCTCCAGAAGTAATACATACACTTCCAGTTTAGTGAAACCTTACCTGTTCAACAAATGAGTTTTATACCATTGGTGACCATCCCAGACTGAAACATCGAAGAGTGGATGTTCAAGTTGCTGCTGGAATCAAGCCCAAGATTTACCCATCGATTTGATAACACGACATATTCTCTGCCTCTCCAACACACAAGACGCAGGCCCAGACCCAAATTTAAGACTCGTTTCGTGGTTAATCATCATGAAGTTCTATCACCACCACTCACGGTACAGGTACTGACTATAAGTACAGTACATACTCCCCGACACTAAGTTACGATAATGCATGATTTTTAATAAAAAATCCATCTTACTTACAGTACAATACAGTACATACAGTACAGTACATACAGTAGTTCACAGCAATACGATGTAATTTATTCGTTAAAAGAGAGCTGCAATAATGGGAATAGCAGCAACAGCTAAGGCCATATTCAAATTTGCAGCTGCGTTGGCCTGATCAGGGACTGAAACCTCTTCATTAGCTTGAGCAGGAGAAGTTGGGGATTCTCTGGTTTTGCAAGTGGTTACGGTGACTGTGGCGATTGGTTCTTTCGAGCATGAGGTTACCGTAACTGTTATCTCTGGAAGATTCTCAGAAACGGAGAGCTGTTGGGGATTTCGCTTCTGAACAGATGCATGTTTGCCAACATTTCCAAAATACTCCTTCTGGTTCCGGATTGAGTCCACCATACTATCCTTCGTAGGCACACTGCGAGCCAGCTCGAGGGATCCCATATCAGTCAACGAGTTGAGGCTTTTGGCCACAGCCATGGATCCGAAAAGAAGAGCACGAGTGGTGGAGAGAATTTGCATGGTTAAAGGAGTGTAAAAGGTCGGACGTGGTAAACATCTAAGTGCAGCTTCATGGCAATAAATATTGTTAGTTAGAGCCATCCGTTAGCGTGGCCATGACCAACATCTGAAACTTTATCTAAGATAGCAGATGAAATGAAAGTTTATCTTGAATTCAATCTGGTCTCTGTTTTTCAACAATCTTCGAATATTGTCACCATAAATAGGGGAAATAGTGCATCACAAAATCGGTAACACAAAAACATAAAACAGTTATCTTTCAGAACATTCGGATGTGGATTTTGTGGCTCATGATATGAAGGCTGGCAGGCCACTCCCAAAACATCTACTTGTAATTAGTGCCATTTTCAGACTAATCATCCAGATTATTTATTAATTTTAGTGCTGTATTGTTTGAGAAGGATGCCCAGCCTTCCAATTGAGTACAAAAAAGCTATAACAGCGAAGGACAACAAATTTTTGATCCACGTTGCGGAAAATTGATCCATACTGTACAGTATGCATCGAACAGGATGTACAGGGGTGATTGTTTTCTTTTCCTTATCTTTTTTGACTGTCCAAGTAGGGGGAAACGATCAATAGAGGTGATGTGTTTCAAAAATGCAGCACATACATAATGTACATACCGTAGGTTTTTCCTCAACAGGAAATGCTGCAATGCCCCTCCTTATCATGAAACTAAGAGAAGTGGATGCTGGACTGAATAGTACAATTGTACAAGTATGTACAGTACTGTACAACACTTGTACTTGTAGGGCTGGGTGCTGCTGACCTTTCAGAGATCGCTTGTCAAACCTTAATATTACTTCGCTGGATTACAAGTACAAGTAATCGTCATTTGTGCAGGACCCCGGCTACTTGTACTTGTACAAGGTACTGGTACAGTACAATTATCTTTGAAAACTTGAAGTTACAAGTATTGCACTTGTATTTATACTTATACAAGTTAAATATTCCTATCATATCACACCTTATTGTTAGCCCTCCAATAATTCCACCTTTTCAAACCATTCTCTGGCCGCCCTAATATTAGTCACAATTACGGATCCGTCATCGTCGCAGAAAGTGCCTTCGTGGGCTTCCCTAGGAGGCATCACAACCATGATGAATGTGTTTCCGGTTAGGTTGTCGATATAGGCTGAGCAATTGTGGCCATGCAATGTGAGCCTTTTGAGTTGAGATTTCATTTTAGAGCAGCTCTGTTTATACGTTTTGATGATGTTGGAGATCTTTTCGAATCGTTTAGGGTCAAGGTTCTCATCGCCTTCTGCGGTAGCAGATGCGTGAGAGATTACCAAGAACGTGGTTTTCTCAAACAAGACAGCTTCTTGGGCTTCGGAAATTTCGGCGAAAGACTTGAGATGGTTCTGGATAGCGGTCATGTTGGGAATCAGCGAACATACAATGCTGGACCAGGCCTTGTACAGCGATTCATCCCAGATGGAAGTCTGGAAGCCTCTAATGGTGAACCCAAACGGCACCGCGTGTTCCTCCAGGGTTTTCATCATGGTATTGAAGATCTCGTCTCGCTTATTGAGCTGCATAAGGTCCATCTTGTGTAGAAGCACAAATACCTTGGCGTCGGGGCTGAACTCTCGCAGGTTCTTGATGCATTTCTGAAAGATGTCGATGTCCTTGGCGAGCTTTTTGGAACCCACGTCGAATACATGGATCAGAACCTCCACCATGCGAAATATGTGATCTTTTTGTGTTGAAAAATAGTTGTCGATGAAAACGTCCTGACCACCACAATCCCACAAGTTCAGGGTCATGTGGCCTAGAAATCGCAAATGTGAATGCTCCACATCGATCGTGGCGCCCAGACGGCGTGTGTCAAAAGCTGAGTAGTTGCTGAAAATGATTGATCGCATCGAGGATTTGCCAGAGCCAGACCGGCCCATAAGCAGCAGCTTTTTTCGAGAACTTCCGGCCATTGATATCAGTTTCCTAAGAGTTGTGTGTCTCGTGTGGGGGTGTATGTACTGTAGTGTACTGGATGTACTTTAGATTGCCCACTGATTAAGGTTGAGAGTTGGGGGAGCTATCGTACTCGCCCGAGTAATACTATCTGTTACTCGAACAGTGTTGCGGGGTTGACCTGATCCTCTCAGCGGCTGAGAATGGCAAAGCCTATCTGTTTTACTTCGGGGTTATGTACTTGTATATGATTTTCTTTCAATTACAATTATCTATTACAATTATGTATCCTGCGGCATTCCTCGCCTCATTTACTAAGCAACGTTACCAATCCATGAGTTTGTTAGTGTCTATCAGGATCATTCCAAAACATGAGAAAGGGCTCGTGGTCAAGAACTCCCAGCCAAGTATTTCTAATTCAGAGTGAAATACGACTTACGGTAAAAAGTACATGTACTGAACGATACTTGTAATTCGTATATGAACAACCGTATATAGTCGTTCTGCTCGGGTAGATCGTGTTGCTAATATAAGGTTGCAGGTCTAGAACTAACAAGTACAGTTGGGACGGTATTACTGTACGACTACAAGGTGCCTAGAGTCGAGTCAAACGTCTTTTCATAGGAAGTATTAATTATTGGAAGAGGCTTCATGCGCTCTTAAACGCCCCCTGAACCAAATTCAAGGCTTTGTGGTTGTTGCTTTTTTGTTTTTTCTAATGATCCATTGTGTTGAGTTGATTGATACCTTACGAGTGCTCGTACAGTTCAAGTACAGTTGTACCTACAACTATTGATGTCTCCGAAGCTAATTAGCGATGTAGTAGAATGGAAGCGCTTCAACTCGGCATCAGCGTGGCAAAGTAAAAATCGAGTCGATCAAATGAGCATAAGTAGTTTTATCACACCTGATCCATATATCGTACTCCATATTCAATTATCCCCACGTCGATATTTCACGACCCTCCTCGAATTGTTCTGAAGTTTTTATTTGGCGTTTAGAGTTCAGGGACACAAACTCGCTTGTTCACCAACTTCGAACCACCACTTTCAGCCACCATGGGAAAACTCATCGAACTGCTCTTGCACCCTAGCGAACTGTCTGCTGCTATCCACTACAAGCTGTGGCGTCAGCCTCTGCATCCCCGCGATCTTTCCAAGGAGTCCACTGAGCTGCGACGATGCTATGAGCTTCTAGACGTGTGCTCACGATCATTTGCAGCCGTTATTCGAGAACTGCATCCTGAGGTGCGAGACGCTGTAATGCTGTTCTATCTGATTCTTCGTGCTCTCGACACGATTGAAGACGATATGACTCTGTCGCGTGACATCAAGATCCCAATTCTTCGAGACTTCACGAAGTGCATGAAGACACCTGGCTGGAAGTTCACCGACTCTGATCCCAACGAGCGAGATCGTGTGGTGCTACAGGAGTTTCCTGTGGTTATGACTGAGTTCAACAAGCTCAAGCCCAAGTACCAGGAAGTAATCTACGACATTACCGACAGAATGGGAAACGGAATGGCCGATTACGTCATTGATGACGACTTCAACAACAACGGCGTGGACACCATTGCCGCTTATGATCTGTACTGTCATCATGTTGCCGGCATCGTGGGTGAGGGCCTTACCCGAATTACGATTCTCGCTGGTTTTGGAACCGACGTGTTGCACGAAAACCCCCGACTTCAGGAGTCTATGGGCTTGTTCTTGCAAAAGGTCAACATCATCCGAGACTACAGAGAAGACATTGACGTGAACAGAGCTTTCTGGCCTCGAGAAATCTGGCACAAGTACGCCGAAGAAATGCGAGATTTCAAGGACCCGAAGTATTCCAAGAAGGCCTTGCATTGCACCTCCGATCTGGTTGCAAATGCCCTCGGACATGCCACAGACTGCCTCGATTACCTCGACAACGTCACCGATCCTTCAACCTTCACTTTCTGCGCCATTCCCCAGGTCATGGCCATTGCTACCCTGGACTTGGTCTACCGAAACCCCGACGTTTTCCAGAAGAACGTCAAGTTGCGCAAGGGAACTACTGTCAGCCTGATTCTTGAGGCCAGCAACGTTTCTGGAGTATGTGACATTTTCACTCGATACGCCCGGAAGGTGTACAAGAAGTCCGACCCCAATGACCCCAACTACTTCCGAGTGTCTGTGCTCTGCGGTAAGATCGAGCAGCATGCGGCTCTGATCAAGAGACAGCGAGGACCCCCCGCTAAAACCATTGCACAACTGGAAGGTGAACGAAAAGAGATGGCCCTGTCGCTAATTGTCTGTTTAGCAGTTATCTTCTCGATGTCTGGACTGATGGCTTATATCGCCTACGTGTCTGGATTCAGATGGTCACCCCGAGAGATTTTCGACTCTAAGATGTTTCCTCTGAGAGATTAGAATCATCAGGAAGGACTCTCCCTGTGGTAGCTGCTCTAACTGCGAGAACCCGTGCAAAGACTATTACTTGTAGCTTACACCAGGTTATAATACAGTGTGCAATGTTTAGTAATCAATGACGTTGTAGGATGCCATTATGGACAGCGCTTTCTGTGTACAGTATTGTATCATGATACGTCGCTACAATATAAGTTTGTTTCTGTGTGTGTATTGTGTTGAAGGTAATACCCGGTAGGGTAGTACCTGGCTAATTCCTCACATAATGATGAGAAGTCACATAGTGATGAGAGGAACCAGCTTGGTCGTAGACGAGATGTCCATCCTGTAGATAGTTTTATCCACTGATCTAGAATCTCTTTCTGGTGAATGAGCAAGCACGCACCCTTCTGGTGTGTGCTACTGTCGGAACGTGGTGTCCCTAGAAGTGGGTTGTAAGTCGTTACATTAACTATATCTAATCCATAATACTTATGATCTTCAATATATTGTACACTGTGTATATCACGTGTATGATCTTGAACCGCGTAACCGCACCCTAACCCTGTTGTTGTAACCACGGAAGCCTGGAAAAATCGGGAGGAATCAGGAAAAACTCTTAGCCTAACCAGTAAATGCAAAGTGTACTCTATTTGACCCGCTTTGTATGAAAGTGCCACACGGCAACCCCCAGTACGAGTAAAGTACGAGTACAGTATCATACTTGCCATGAATGTGAGGCATGAAACGAGAGGCTAAATTCCCAACCCAATCCACAAGCGGTGGGCAAGGGCGCCAAGAAGAGCCAGTTCAAAAGTGTTGGGAAAGTGGAGGAGGGGATGTGTTCGTAAGGTGGGCAGATTGAGAGTTCTAAAATTGATACTAAAAGCAAGTTTTTCGTCGATTTCAAACCCATCAAGTATGCACGATGCTGGTACAAGTAACGGTACAAGCAGCTACTGTACATACTGTACATACCTGTACATACTGATGTAGTGCATCTTTCACACCACGTGGTGGTGTTATGGCTCTACGTGAAGGGGAGAACCGAAGCGTCCTGACATCGACATGTAACAAGACAGCGGTGATCTCTTTACATAATATACAGCGGGTGTGTGTGGAAACAAATACACACTAGTATTGCATGTTATTAGCTATTTTCTTGTTCATTGATCTTGTCACGTGATTCTGAGGTCGCATTGGAATCCCGCCAACCCAAATTACAGTAGCCTGAAAGTAAGTCTAACATGCAGAAGCTAAACCTAAGTTGGTCTTCCCAACATAGCTACGATACATGCATTCACTACCTTGTACCAGTCGTGCCACTTGGACGATACTTGTCAATTGGCCGCTTTTGCCCTCTATTTGAATTACTTATTCAGCAGCACTTTTACCAATCGTTCTTCTCTCGTTCCGATCGAAAAAAACCCGGCACCATACGACACTGGCATGATTGACTTGGGCCTCTCTCGAATCTCGCGGTTGCTCAAACTGCTTGGAAACCCTCAAAACAGATTTAAGGCAGTTCATGTTGCCGGTACCAACGGAAAGGGCTCGATTTGTGCTTATATTTCGTCGGTTCTGACTGTTTCACATATCAAGACGGGTCGTTTTACATCTCCTCACCTCGCTTATGTGTGGGACTGCATCACAATAGACGGCAAGGCAGTTGAAAAAAGCGACTTCTTGTCGGCAAAGGCCAAGATCTGTGAGGTGGCTAAAAACGGAAAACTGGAGCCAACAGAATTCGAAATGCTTACTGCAACGGCATTTGAACTTTTCATGGAGCACAGTGTGGAAATCGCCGTGGTGGAGGTTGGCCTGGGAGGTAGGCTGGATGCCACCAATGTCCTCTGTCCTGAAAATGTTCTGGTGTCGGTGATTTCTCGTGTAGGTATGGACCATGAGGGCTTTCTGGGAGACAATCTCAGGGCAATCGCCAAGGAAAAGGCGGGCATCGCAAAAATTGGAGTTCCTCTGATTCTCGACGGATACAACGACCCTGACGCTAAAATGGGAGTCAGAGATGTAGCCGAGTATGTGACTGAGGTAACTGAAAGTGGGACGGACTCATACAGGTCTGATTTTGGACCTCTTGAGCCCTCCCTAAGTCCTTTAAAGGGCACGTATCAGGCTGAGAATCTTGCAGCGGCTGTCGATGCACTTGAGATTGTGGCACAGTCCTACCCACAGGTTCAGCGCGATTCTGTTGTTGCTGGTATTAGTGCAACAGAATGGCCCGGCAGACTACAAATGTGTCACTACAAAAGCAGGGAGGTGTTGTTGGACGGTGCCCACAACCCCCAGGCAGCTAGGTTGCTAGGGGAGTACATCGATGTTAGCATGCGCAATGAGCCATCGAATAACCACATTACTTTCATCTTGGGCTTCTCAGAAGGCAAGAATGTAAGTGAGATCGTACAGGAATTTGTTAGATCAGGCGACACAGTTATCACCACGGGGTTTTCTGCGGTGGAAGGTATGCCATGGGTCAAGTCCGAGACCCATGAAAACATTCTGAAAGGTTTGCAAGGACTTGAAAATGTGGATATTCTCGATGCCGGGGGGATTCAAGTTGCGTTGGAAAAGGCTGCTGGGCGAGACACTCCTATTGTTGTGTGCGGCAGTTTGTACTTGGTCGCTGACTACGTACGACTAGAAGGAAGGTAAGTGAAGCATCTACGTCTGCACATAATAGAACCAAGCATGATAAGAATGGTAATTATTACACTTGAATATATATGCGTTACTACATCAAAGGAAGCTTTACTGGCTTGTCACTATATCGATGCTAAAAAAACCATGGAAATTACTGATAGCTGTCTTGTTCTTGTACGAGACAATATAGCCTTGATTCACTACCACGAGACCACGACAAGGACAAGAACAAGACGAAGCGTCGACAAACCAACTGACACGCGCCTTGCAGCGCACACCGAAACGATTTATAAGTGTATGATTTATTGAACGCCAAAAAAAAAACCACCCGGCTTACTAGGTATATAGCTGTAATGAATCATTAGAATAAAAAAAATGTCTTCGATGAGCACGCTTGTGCACCTTGATTTTAAATGCTATGTTGTTTATATGTACAACTACAAGTAGATCTTCCTGTTTCTATTCTCTGCTTCTCTAAATAGTAATAATTAGTATGAATTACGAGTACATACTGTACGTATATAGGTCACTCAAACTCTGATAAGCATTTCGGAATCTGTTCAGAATATATGGGTCCGTGCGAACTTCATTCAATGGCCCCTCAAGGTAAATCTCTGGTTCTACAAAAATTGGACAGTGAACTCGTAGAAATTTACTTGCACTACAAGCAGTATGTACTGTATGTGCTGTACATGTACATACCATACTCGTCTGTACGTCGTACTATCCACCTTATCTCCACCTCAACTGGATCACCCCACAAACCTTAATACTGTATTATATTTTCTGTGCTCCGCCTGCAAGGTATTGAGAGACTTCACCTCTTCCAGCACACGCACAAGCATCATGCTTACACCAAATCAAATCGAGAAATTTCAAAAAGATGGATGTATCGTTGTCCCCAACGAGCTGTCTCCAGAAACTATCTCATCACTGCTCCAGGAGAGCCACCGGTTACTATCAGAATTCTCTCTAGAAGGACACCCCATGACCAAGTTCTCAACGGGAGACAGTCTAGGGTCAGGGGACGCAAAGCATATTGGAGATGCTTACTTTCTGGAGAGCTCCGATAAGATCAGATTTTTCTTCGAAGAGGGCGCTGTGAGGGATGGCAAACTGACTGTGGCCAAGGAGAAGGCGGTCAACAAAATAGGTCATGCCTTGCACGATCTGAACCCCGAATTCAACAAAATGAGTGTTACAGCAAGGAACAGAGATATTGCGACCTCCCTTGGGCTTAAGGATCCAAAAATTCTTCAATCTATGCTGATCTTCAAGCAACCTGAAATTGGAGGCAAGGTGCCCAGTCACCAAGACGGCACGTTCCTTTACACGAAGCCTCAAAGCGCTATTGGTTTTTGGTATGCTCTGGAAGATTGCACCTCACATAATGGTACCCTCGCATTTGTTCCGGGGTCGCACAAGACGCATCCTGTCTCTAAGCGATTTGTGAGAGATGGTGCTGGTGGTACCACCTTCGAAGATGTTGAAGATATTTGTGCTGGTCCAGAGCCCTCGGAAGAAGAATTTAAAGTCTTAGACATTCCCGCTGGTTCTCTGGTTCTTATTCACAACTCCGTCCTGCACAAGTCTGAGGCAAACGTCAGTCAAAAAAGTCGATTTGCATATACTTTCCATGCCATTGATGGCGAGTGTGAATACGACCGAAGAAACTGGCTTCAAGTGCCCACTACAGGCGGTAATAACTTTACGCGCCTATGATAACGCCTGAGATAGCCTGTTGGCACCATCTGTACCGGCCAAATGCACCGCACCGCACCTTGCTGCTACAAGTACAGATTGATTTTGTTAAATGAAGCAGCTGACAATTCCATTTGGGAAATGAGCATATATTGGGGATACTTGCGATATTGTAAGTACAAGTAGATGGATCATTTGTTGCACCATTGTATGGGGTCCAAAGTATTTTAGTGATAAAAGCATGGTCATAGGGACAAGCCCTGTAGCATCTCAAATGCGAATGAGATTTCCTATATACATATACATCAATGTTTGTCGTAATTTCCAATCTTCTCCATCGCTTGCGAGCCACCCTTTGCTAGTTCGGGATCTTCAAGAACACCAGCAATACACTCCCAAGGATCTCGAGATCCTCCCCACTGCAGAACTTCGTTTTTCATTCTGGATCCCGCGTCACGAGATAGCGGGTTCTTTGAGAACAGCTTCTTCCAGACGATGTCAGCCATTTGACGGTCAAGCAGATAACAGTAGTAGGACGCACCGTAACCAAAAAGATGACCGAACGATCCGTGCCAAGAGGATGGGGAAGGAGGAAATAGCGGTCTATCCTTCTCAAGATTGTCGTATAGCTTTTGTGAGTTGAAGTGTCCATTTGTGATACTCTTTAAAATATTTCCATGCAACACCTGATCCAACATAGCCATCTTAATTTGGGTATACTGCTCAACGTCCTTAAAATACGACTGTTCGTTCAAATGGCGCTCCAGCTGTTGGTAAGGAAGAGGGCTATCTGAAGAATAGTGTCGTGCAAAGAGCGCAAGTGACTCAGGGTTAGATGCGAAGTTCTCCATGAAGACAGAAGGAAGCTCAACAAAGTCGGTGGCACACCGAGTTCCACACACATTGTGGAGCGATGTGCGCCCCAGCATAGAATGAATGGCATGTCCCATTTCGTGGAATAGTGTCTCAACCTCCTGATACGACAGCAACGAAGGGTAGAGGTCATGGGGAGTAGTGAAATCACAAATGAGAGCGATGGTTGGAATTTGGAACACCTTGCCATTGAGATTCAGTGTTGGAACCTTGGCAATAGGACTACTGCTCATGTGGGCCAACTCGTCCGGGTAGATCTCGCGCGAACAACGAACAGTAAAGTGTGCAGGATTGGGAGATTTACCCTCCCGCTGGAACAAATCAGCGTACATGATGCCGATCAGACCCTCTGTTTCAGATACCACGTCGAGTCGTCGGACATCGTGATGCCATGTTTCGCCTGTTTTGGTCTCAGTCGGTACAAACCTGATACCATAAATCTTGTCAAAGATCCGACTAAGGCCTTGAACCACAGTTCCCACGGAAAAGTATTCACTTAGCATGTGGGCTGTCTTCGTCTTGTTTCTCTTTTGGTAGAGTAGCTGGGAGGCGTAATAAGACTTGTCCCATGCCTGCAGGATGCTTTTGGGGTTCCCAGTCGCCTGCTTTTTGATTTGCTCAAGCACAGAGAGCTCTTTTTTGGCGCCAGGAAGTGTCTTATCTAGGAGGCCGTTAAGAAATCTCATCACATTTTCAGGATTACCAGCCATTTTGTCTGAAAGCAGATAATCAGCGTACGATTCCTTTCCCATTAGATTGGCCAGTTCCAGGCGGCTAACAAGTAAGTCTTCCAACGATTCAATAGATTTGTCTGACGACTCCCTCATTTTAGACCAAAGCAATTTTCGCGAATTTTCGTTTTTCATGCCTCTCAGAGCCAGTTGCCCGGGAACACCACCAGTAGGAACGTAAACGGAGTTCCCCTGGGATAACTGCTGTGCAAGTTGTGGGTCCAGCCCCTGGGCCTCACCCTGGGTGAGAGTGATGTAATCCTCCTTAGGATGGTTGGAGGAGATGAAGTCCCGACCAAGTAATGAGATCTTAGTAGTTAATGAAACGAAGTTTTCCCGTCCAGCGTCGTCCAGGGTTACTCCACTTTTCTTGAAATCCTCCAGTAGGAGAGTTCCTACTACCTTTTCCTCATGGGTGAGCTGATTGACAATCTCGGAATCTTTGAAGACCATGTCGAGTACAGTGTACAGCTCCACAGAAGTGTTGAGGACGTTCATGTACTCGTACATTTGTTCGTGTGCCTCCTGAGCAGCTTGCACAAAATGCTGTTCCGGATGAGCTGCGCGAATGAACTCAGCCAGATCGATAACTTGACACAAAACGTCGGATAGTCTGTCAAATGTGGTAATGGCGTGTCGCAGCTTGTCTCGCTGGGTAAGCGCTCCTAGAAGCTGCTGAATCAACTGGCCCGCCTCTTCGATTGAGGCTGCAGTGTACTTCTGAAATCCCGCGGGGGTCTTGAGGAAATCGTTCATAAATAGCCCCGTTTCGTAATCAGATTCGTTGGTCAGGTAGTTGATAAATCCCGTAATGCTACGAGATTGCTTGGGCTTTGCCACAGACTTTTGCGAGAAATCCTGCCACACATCGCCGTTATCAAAAACCGCCCGAATTAGCGAATCTTGTGACTCCTTGATCTTGGGCTCTAGACCAGTGTAGAGTGCAGGAGAAGGACTTGTATTGGCGGTCGAGGCTGAAGATGCCGGTACAACCCTTTGAAGGCGACGCGACAAGGTCGAAAATCGTCTCATGGTTGCTCAAGGTTGAACCAAAATTGTGATGCAGGTGAGATGGAATGTAGCTTTTTTAACTTCACCGTAGAAGTACGTACATACTGTACTGTATTGTAGTCAGGTTGACACAACCACAACATGATTCTGTGCTCGTACCACAATCTGCTTCTGGGAAAAGAAAATAAATACCAAAAGTACAGGGTGTAACAAACCATTCTATTTGTACTACAGTACTGTACATTAACTTGTAGATTCCAACCGATATGACGTTGTGAAGATAAAACCAAAATTACTGTTGCTCTGTATGTGTATTCCATGATTGGGAAGTGAATTCAAAAATCTGCTTGACTTGAGAAGGAAAACCAATAAGCGAACAAAACAAATCGTACAATACTTGGTGTGTTGAAGGTAATACCCGGTGGGGTAATACCTGGCTAATTCCTCACATAATGATGAGATGTCACCACATAGTAATAAGAGGAATCAGCTGGGTCGTAGAAGAGATGTCCATCCTGTAGATAGTTTTATCCACTGATCTAGAATCTCTTTTCTGGTGAATGAGCAAGCACACACCAGAAGGGTGTGTGCTACTATCGGAACGTCGTGTCCCTTTTTTTTTTTTTTTTTAGAAGTGGGTTGTAAGTTGTTAATTAACTATATCACATCAATAATACTTATAATCTTCAATAGTGTGCGGTGCACGAAGTCTGTCCTGTAACAAATATATATATATACAATATATACTTGTAGCTCCAGACAAAAAGCATCTTAAGACATTTACATATTAAAGGCCGTATGAGAACGAAATCGGGAGCACAAGTGTAATAAGAATACAAGTTCAATCGACTACAAGTAGACAACAGTTTTTAAGCAACTGTAAAAAAGTGTTAACCCGAAAGCAGAAAAAGATATTACGTTACAACGTACATTAACAAAAATTAAAAACCTGGAAATATGAGTAAACCTAACTTGCTTTAATTAATACTTATATCAAGTTGGACTTGTACGGGTAATCGGGTCAGAACAAATTTCGCAAAAATTTTCACAAAACTATTCTTGACGTCGATTTCATAAGTTAGAGACATAATAAATTACAATAAACAAATAAGTTACAAATAAGTTACTATCAACAAAGTCTTAATGGGGATGATTTATCATGATGTAGGGTGGAGAACAAACGTCAAACGATATTAATATTATTAGATCAATATACATGAATGAGGTCGAATTAATCTTCCAGTGTTATGTTGTTGTCCCCAATAAAGATTAAAGACTACGTGTTAGGACATCTTTTAAGATCTGTATATATATATATATATGCAAGCCATTTTTTTTCTCTCACCATCTATTTTAATATATAAAATTAGATCATCTATCTAAACTTTTTCATTAAATAAATTAGATGGCGAAAATAATGGAGACGTATTCCATTATAATATATAAAAACCTAAAACTATGTTTCATTATAACAATTTACTTCCTAATTTGGAAAATTCGAAGTTGGTTATTATATGTGCATATATACTGAATGTTCATAACTTCTAGTCAACAGATATAATTTATTCCTCGTAGTAACTTGCCCGCAAACATTTTATATCTAAATTAATTTCAAGGGAAGTTCTTGTAAATATATATTTATCTCAAGTAAACAGTTAGAAATATCAGCCATGATGACATTTTCCAGGATGGCAATGACTCATGATCACACTGAGATTTTTAATAGATATTTCGTTAGAGATGATGGTATCTCAAAACAAAACGACTGTAGCTCTTTTACCACCTCATTTACAATTTCATCTTTCATCAAATTTAGGGATGCCATCAACTTTCAGTTCATAATTAATATCTTACCAAATTAGGTAATCTGCAAAAGTTCAGACTGTGAAATGTAACATTTTATATATCAAGCTCTATTTAATGCCTCACAGTAGTTAACATAAAGAGATACAGAATTGTCGTGTCAGTGTATACTATCCATGTGTATACTCTGGATATCCATTTGTATTCCATTATCTACGAAAAGCACTTAGATAAATACTAAATTGTTATTTGGTATGTATCGTATAAGTTGAAAGTTTTGAGCCCATCTTGTTGTTTTCTTTTATTAAATAAAATAAAATAACTAACGTTATGATACTTTGATGTGTTTTTTAATTTAATTATACCAGTACTTGTTTGAAATTTTTTTCTGCAGAATTTTGGCCGGCTCATTTCTATTTGTTGTAAGTACGAGTATTTGAACTTTTAGTCAGATACTGGTAGTTATATATTTATTTTGTTTTTGTTTATTTTGTTGGGTTTTTTGTTTGTTGTTTTTTTTCGGGGGGTTGTGTTCCAACTTCGTTTTTGGAATTTTAATTTAGTTTCTCGATCTTCGCTTTTGGAATTTATTTAATTTATCCCTCCCCTTGAGGTGTGAATAACTTAAAAATGCTAGAAGGAGCTACACAGGTGTTTGTACAGTAAAAACTATCAGCAGGATACCATCGCAAGATGTTCATATCGCTTTGTTGAGTCACTGCAGGGGACCGCTGAGGTATTCGCTGGTTCGGTGAGGGCGGCCGTCCCTGTGATTCGTACGAATAAATTCTTTGTACAAGTACCAGTGCTACAATTGTAGGTGGTGCTCATACAGGTACACCCCGTGTGTAAGTAAACTCCAATTATGTTATGTCTGATAAAAGGATGTAACATAGGCAAGCTGCTCGTGAGTGTTGAGTACGAACCTTAGATCCAAATCACCCGCACCCTACGGATATACTTGCTTGAATATACTTGTAATAAGGCTGTCTGCTGACATCGGTGCGCGTATGTTCTGGGCGGCGACTCTCTCCGAACCATCGAACAGTTCCTGAACACGACGAGCTAGCTACAACATGACTCGCAAGAGCTCTGTGCGTGTACACAACGAGCCGTGCCCGTGTAACAGTCTTCGGTTCCGACCCCCAAAAAACCCACCATACACCGAAATAGCACATCCTTACGACCAGTAGCAGCAGAGTGCGCTACAGTAAGTATTCGTCAATACAAGTAAATCACGAGTACGACAGTTGCCGACACGGACAGAAAGGAACTACAGATTTAAATATACCAAACAATAATTCATTACTAATGTCAATCCTTACAGCTGGATAAAAAAACTGGGGGATTTTGTTAACGAGCTCATTCGCAAATGAAACGGGAAAAGTTCTTCGATTTAGTGTTAAATCTCCGTTAAAAACCGCTTATTTGGATCGAGCTCGGACCTTGCGGCGCTTTCGCTTGAGTCGTCTGACTCTCTTCTTTCTCCACTTAGCTCTCATTCTGGGTTAGTTCCATGTTCTCCGCTGGCGGGGGCGACCACCGCTAATCGAGCCGACTTGTATTGAAAGGCAGGCAAGAAGGTATCGAAGGGGAAGAACCGTTTTGTGGTTGCTGCACCACGGCTTCCAATGCTCTCCCAATGAAGAACCAAGGTCGGTAATTAATACTCACTTGAAAGATCAAGACAAGAACCTGATGAATGTGAGGAAAAAAAGACAAGAAGGGGAAAGTTTGACCATTTTTAAGCTGTGCGAGCCACAGGCCGGGTAACAGATAAATTAGGTTCTGAAAATTCGGATCCCAAAATTGAGTGGGTGTAGTTTCCAGACCTACGCTTTTGGTGGCAAAGAAACTGTAGGGTAACAAAATGTTGACGTGCATAGAGAGTGCTTATAGCGAGACGCCCTGTAACTTGTAGATGAAGCGATTCTAGTATGTGTGCCTTACTGTGGCTGACGGTGCGTGCACCAAGTTCAAGTGACTAGCACATCCTTTCCCATTGCCGGCTCACTGTGTCTGATATCCTTGCGCGGGTACTGTACCTGTAGCTGTGGTAAATGTGCTACAGAATGTATGTACAGAAGGGCTGGAAAATTCAATATATCGACAGCTGCTACGGAAGGGATCGCCTTAAAATCGGTCTACGGCTTGCGCTACCTGCCAGTATGATAGTTCGTGTTTTGCCACTTTGCCACTTCCGGCTGCGGCACTACCAACTACAGTATTGTAGCTACAGTAGATAAAGCACTGCTGTGGATACAGTTCGAGTATGCAGTACATTTTGCACACTGCATACATACTCAATACTCATACCACTAAGATCACTCACGTGTGCAACTAATTCCTATATACAACTTATACTCGTACTTGTACTGTGGTTAGTTGCGTGGATAATGGCCATATGAGCCGAATGTTTTTCTTTATAATCACATAAGTGTACAGTACGAGTAATACTATTATGTGCACACATTGGTACGATTATGGTTACCCGTACTCTACCGTACCAACATCAGAAACAGTAGCAGACGACTACTACTGAGAGCAGCAACAGTTACACTTGTACTCATACCAGACACAAGTCTGTAAGGTAGCTAGCACATACAGTACATATACTCTTTTGTGGTATTTGTACAATACATCCTTGTATATTGAGATTCACCCAGCTCTGTGGCGGCACCTCTCCACCATACCACAAGCAACAGGTCTACTCGAGAACCTGGCTACAAGTACAGTACTGCACTACAGCTTAATACTCGTGCTATAGGACGACACCGTATAGACATGTACAAGTACAGTACAGTACTTACTGTACAGTATCTGTCAAGCACATACCGCTCAAGCACAAGTATTCATGCCTGATAAAGAATGGAAGTAGAAGCTAAAACTTGTACCAGCTAAAACTCGTACCAGTGTTAAAAACCAAACACTGACATTACAAGTACGACGTATGAGTACAACTACTCGTACTGTATGTACTGTACTGTACTGTATGTACTTGAGAGATATGTTGGAGAGCTCTCTGATTGGCTCTACTTGTACTTGTACTTCTGGATGTACTACAGCATACATGTATGTATACACACACACATATATATATATCACTGTGGTCCATAAATGCCTTTTATTTTAATACAAGAGAAAGTTCCCTTTGACTTAAGCCTTGAGGGCGTATCGTCGCTGGGGGAAGTGGGTCTGCTTCTTGGTAGCCTTGGTAGTCTTGGCAGCGGCCTGGGCAGGGGTGAGTCGTCGTCGGATAGCTCGGGTCTGCTTACCTCGGAGATCCTTGGGCAGGAACTTCTTGTCCTTGTAGAACTCACGGACCTGCTCTCGCTGGGTGAGGTTGAGAACGGTCAGAACTCGGGCAATGTTCTTTCGGACATCGTAGATCTTGGTGAGCTTACCGCTCTGGGCACCACCGAGCTTCTGGACACGGAGGTTAGCGAGCTCAGTCTTGAACTCGACAAGCTTGCCCTCAAGCTCAGCCTTGGAGAATCGAGAGAGTTCGGAAGCCTTCACTTTGGTCTATGTTAGTAATTGCTCGCTTGGTTTCCCGGTCCTCAATATGATGGTTGTTGACTGGATCTTCCAGGTAAAGAAGCACGCCCAGCAGATATTTAGTCCGCCCAGACCGAGACTCCTCACACTGAACTTGTTACCTAGAACTTTTGCCGTTTGTTGAAAATGGGATGCCAACGTTGAGAGAACCCGAAAGTAGTCGTGAGGAGACACCAAGGCGAGTCCAACCTCCAGGGATCTTTCGTAAAAATTCTTCCAATAGTACCCACCGCAACCAAATCAATAGTGGACTGCTTTGGTTCAGAAATACTGCAATTTCTTCACGGTGAATATCCGGCATAGTCATATCTGTCCTGATCACATCCATCCATCGCTTGTCGTTCCCTTGCGCAATACCCACCATTTTTATCTGTTGGTCGTGTCGTTCGTACAGCTAGAAAAGAGGGACCTGAAAAGTGAAAATGGGAGTATACTTTTGCAGTCCCCAACGCCGTAAGAGGAAATATATGTTTAGGGTTAGCCTGTTTTGGATACAAGAAAATTGTGACAGTCTTTTTCTATATTGGGAATGATCATGTGATGAAGAAGCTTAACGTAACATTAATAAGCAAAAAAAATAGGCAACCGAACAGATGGTGGATAGATCGAGAATTGATAAGGGAGCAAAGGATGATGAAAGTGCAAAAAGGATGGTAGCCTAAATGCGAGAAGCACCAGTCTGACATTCCAAGTGTCCTACTTGTAGTTGCAATTGCATCATTTGGACCACGCTCAACTGCGGGATAAGGGTAGAAGTCCCATTGCCTCATACAAGTACCAGTACATGTACTGTACTCGTACTTGTGCTTCCTTCCCTAAGTTGTCGTAATTGTACCGTACATACAGTGTACCTGTGTTGTATGACGAACCAGCAAGTCACTTTATCCCCCCGGATTTTGGGATCATGGCTTCGCGTGATGTTCTTACTGTACAACGACTTGTACGTGCATACACACTTGTACTAGAACCGTAAATATTGCTACTTTACACTTACACGATACTGCTGGCATAGTATGTACGGGTACACTGTACATTAGCGAATCGAGAGACTACATTAACGTCATCTCTTCTTCAACACAGTCGAACTAACGCATCAGGTACAGTATGTACTGTATATACTGTACGTATATTAATGACAAAGATGTCTTCGCCAAAATTACAGAGTGCCGAATCACTGGATAAGAGGTGAAACTGTGGACCGACTACTTACCGGAGACTGATATCGCTATTAACACTTCCACAGAACGCTCCACTTGTAAGCCACCCTACAAACTCCCCACTACATGCCATTCGACGAGGCTCTTCCGCTAGCAACGATATCTGCCACTGTCCCCTGCTTGAAGAAGAGGAGAGCCGCGATCTGACTTATTCCTCAGTACTGGAACGTCTTATACAGGCCCAAGATCAACTCATGTAGACGATGCTTTGCCGCTGTCGAACCGCCGGAACCATCACCCCAGGCTGTTACGTCTACGTGAAACTCAAGAAGATGGTGGCAGGCCACATCCCCCGAGCCGCAGGCTCCTACATGGGACCACAGCCAGTTGTCTACCTTGCCCACGACAGTGGCATCGTCATCGAAACCCCACCCTACTTCACGACCGCTACAGAGTGGCCAACATCGGCAACGTCCGCCTCGCCCACGCACTACCCGAATGGACTAACGAACCTCCCGTTTAGACGCTGTAACATCCGTAACTGGCTCAACGCCGACCGCACAGCTTTCATCCACCTCAAGTGGAAGCGGCCCAGCCAAAACTCCTACCTCGTATCCTGGAAAATTGCAACCCTGCCTACTTCACACGCATTGACGCCATCGACATCAACGCGCCCCCCTCACAGATCCGATCCCGACTGTGACGCCGTTCCCCGGCGCCCGCACCTATGGCCAGTTCTGCTTCGTTTCCGAGGCTTCCACGAACCCCCAGCGTTGTAGCCTACTGATGCCGAGACCGAGAGGCACGCCTCCCACTGTACTAATATCCGACTATGTGTTATTCCCAGCGATTACGCTCCTGAACCTGGTCTGCCTTGATTTTCTTCGAGGTCCTGCACCCCGCACGCAGTTTACTGATACCGAGACCTAGAGGCATGATGTTCTCTTCACAGGTCCCATCCCGATAACGTGCTGTTCCCGGTGATTACGCCCTTGAACCCGGTCTGCCTACCCTACACCACAGTCCACTGATGCGGAGACCAGGGAGATATCATATGGAAGGCGACGTAGTGTAAAAGGTTAGGGTTCCGACACTGAGTTAATAAGCGAATCGAGTGACACGGCCAAAGCGCCCCAATTATTCTGCACATATTAATTACAGTGAAGGTGATGAGGTGAGGAAGATCATACATGGTGAATGAAAAACCCGTGCCGTACGAGTAATACCCTAGAACGTATCGTTCACAGTAAGCATACTGGCATTCATACCGGCCAGAGTTAATAATGTGCTGAATTCGTGTAAGGTACAATCGCCATCTGTGATATCACCATACACTACAAGCATCTTAGTATCATATGTACGTAACAGTATGTAGTATTGCACTGGTCTTTGATACATCACTGACAGAAGCTTATTTCCATCTCATGCCTCATCTACTCTATTCTGTAGTCGATTAGTCAGAGCACTGCTACTGTGACAAGGAACTCTATAGTAATAACAATAGGAGAAGAGACCCCATGATGAGAAGAGCAAGGATACTTTTGGGGACTCTTTTTTATTCTTGTTTTACAAAACTACACTCCGTGGCTGTATCCCTTCTCTGTGTACAACCCAAACCTGATAGGTGGGAGTTTGTGTGGTGATTAGCGTTTGGACGACAACGCATGGACGACGGCCAACTCCCAGCAACGCAGGACAACAGCACTACTACAAGTACTGTCTCTCGACAACGTCATCAACAACACAATGGTGAGTGTGATAAGCAGCCGATTCCAGGGGTGGAGACAAGGATTGTTGCGAGGGCGAACATGTGTACAACGTGTATCTTTACCTGGTTAAAACGTTCCATTTTTGAGATGCCCCCCATGACGTCGACAGTCGTCAACGACGACAACTTACGAACGATCACGACAACACACAAACGATGGGGAAAGCTCGGAGACAATGGTGCCTCAATGGTGCGAATGGCTCATCGGACGTACTCGAGGATACTTATCGACACCGTCAATTTGACACACAGCCATTTACTTGTGATGTCATTTTTTGAACAGTCACAAGGAGACTTCTCTAGTTGAGCCTCTAATTTGAATAGGACAATGGTGGAGCATGCCATCGAGGTTTTGGAAAAACAGAGAGTCATCGCTTGGGAGATGGCCACCGGCAATGCATTAGGTACTACAACGCCGCCATGTTAGACAACATCATCTTCGTCGACCTACGACCCACTCAGACAATTGGAACATACTAACTCAGCCCGAAAAGACAACTAAGAATCTTAAGTCTCTCTCCATCGACGACGATGACAAGGCCCAAGGTGCCATTTACTCCGTCTCTGGACCCGTCGTGATTGCCGAGAACATGATCGGATGTGCTATGTACGAATTGGTCAAGGTTGGCCATGACAACCTGGTCGGTGAGGTCATTCGAATCGAGGGTGATAAAGCCACTATTCAGGTTTACGAGGAAACAGCCGGCGTCACAGTTGGAGACCCTGTCACCCGAACTGGTGAACCCCTGTCCGTTGAGCTTGGCCCCGGTCTCATGGAAACTATTTACGATGGTATCCAGCGACCCCTTAAGGCCATCCAAGAGAAGTCTGACAGTATATACATTCCCCGAGGAATTGATGCCCCTGCTCTAAACCGAGAGAAGAAGTACGCCTTCACCCCTGGCCCTCTCAAGGTCGGAGACCACATTTCCGGTGGTGACATCTACGGATCTGTTTTTGAGAACTCCCTTCTTTCTGACCACAAGATCATGCTGCCTCCTCGAGCTCGAGGAACTATCACCTGGATTGCCAGCAAGGGTGACTACACTGTTGTTGACGACATTCTGGAGGTTGAGTTTGAGGGTAAGAAGACCAAGTACAGAATGCTGCAGAAGTGGCCTGTACGAGTTCCCAGACCCGTGAATGAGCGACTTACTGCCAACTACCCTCTGCTCACCGGCCAGAGAGTTCTGGACGCTCTGTTCCCTGTTGTCCAGGGTGGTACTACCTGTATCCCTGGTGCTTTTGGTTGTGGAAAGACTGTCATTTCTCAGTCCCTTTCCAAGTACTCGAACTCTGACATCATTATCTATGTCGGATGTGGTGAGCGAGGTAATGAGATGGCGGAGGTGCTCCTGGAGTTCCCTGAGCTCAATGTTGAGATCGACGGCCGTGAGGAGCCTATCATGAAGCGAACCACTCTGGTTGCCAACACTTCCAACATGCCTGTCGCCGCGCGAGAGGCATCCATTTACACTGGTATCACTATCGCAGAGTACTTCCGAGACCAGGGTAAGGACGTCTCCATGATCGCCGACTCCTCTTCTCGATGGGCTGAGGCTCTGCGAGAAATTTCCGGCCGACTGGGAGAGATGCCTGCCGACCAGGGTTTCCCTGCATACCTCGGTGCAAAGCTGGCCTCCTTCTATGAGCGAGCCGGTAAAGCAGCTACCCTTGGTGGACCTGACCGAGAAGGTTCTGTTTCTATCGTCGCAGCTGTGTCTCCTCCGGGTGGTGATTTCTCCGATCCTGTTACCACTGCTACTCTTGGTATTACACAGGTTTTCTGGGGTCTTGACAAGAAGTTGGCTCAGCGAAAGCATTTCCCCTCCGTGAACACCGCTGTATCCTACTCCAAGTACACCACTGTGCTTGACAAGTACTACAACGAACATTTCGAGGTCTTTCCTCAGAACCGAGATAAGATCAAGGAGATTCTGACTAACGCTGAGGAGCTTGAGACCGTTGTCCAGCTTGTCGGTAAGTCTTCTCTTTCTGATACTGACAAGGTTACCTTGGATGTGGCCACTCTTCTCAAGGAAGACTTCCTTCAGCAAAACGGATACTCCACTTACGATGCCTTCTGTCCCATTTGGAAGACTGCTGCCATGATGAAGACCTTCATCACCTATCACGATGAGGCTCAGCGAGCTGTTTCCAACGGTGCTTCTTGGTCCAAGCTGTCTGAGAAAACTGCAGACATTAAGCACAAGGTTTCCTCGGCCAAGTTCTTTGAGCCTTCGCAGGGAGAGGAAGCTCTCAACAAGGAGTTTGATAAGCTTGATGCTGATATCGTCGACAAGTTCACCCAGTACTCAGAGTAAGCATTGTTTTGATGAAACATGTTTTAACCATAATATATTAGTAGTATCAAAAATTGTAGACATTGACTTTTGATGATGACCAAAAAATGCTCCTACGGTAGCTGATTTTTTAAGATGATCATCATCTTGTTGAAGTTGTAACTATTAGAAGCATAGTACATTCGTATGTGCATACAGTACATGCTGTAGTTAACATGACTTTCACCGAGTACGGCGCTTACATGAGTTGATTTGGGTCAGTATGATCTTATGTTAAGCGCCTGGCTAGAGAGTTATAATGGAGTTATAATGGAGAGAGATTGGAGAGAGATTGGTATTATTGAAGATCCCATAAGAGTGGCGACGAGAGCACCTGCCTGTCGTAAATTACAACTGTACACTTCGTTCAATTGGCACTCATACTAATTAATAGCAAGCCATTTTCCAGATAAAAATCGTACCTAGAAACCCATTTTTTCTTCAACTCTCGCCCCCTACTATCAATTCTTCTGATACCCACGACAGAAAACAACACATCACATCTTCCCTGCAAGTTCAAATTATTACACTGAGTTATCACTGATTGACACAAAATTGTCCTCTAAATATTCTCTGTATTGTTTCAACGTGTGCGTGCACTACAGTATGTACTGTACTGTTTTTAACACACCTGCAGTGTTCTTGCACTCGATCTTGGGAAGGTCTGAACTCAGTTTCCTGCTATTGCGACCTATTGCGACCTATTGCGACCGTGGCGACCGTGGTGACCGTGGCGACCTATTGCGACCTGACCTTACCACCAGCAGCATCCTCTTTGCCTGTGGCTATATATGCGACAAAGTCCTTGGATATTATTGCAGCAATACAGACTACTCACAGTATTGAAAATGACCAAAAAAAACGGACCAAAGCAGGCGTTTTATGCTGTCCAGAAAGGACGGAAACCTGGTATCTACACAAGCTGGAGTGAAGTGAGCCCTTTGGTTGATGGGTTCTCTGGAAGCGCGTATCAGAAATTCACCAATAGACCTGCAGCGGAAGCATTTCTCAGACAAAACGGATATGGGATAAGAAGTTCAACATCATCGTCAAAGGTCACGAAGCCTGGCACGATAGCAGCCAGCGCCCAGAGGCTGTCAGACACTTCTGTGCCAGTACAAACAGCGTATGTGGGTGGAATAACAGCGATTGTTCTGGGAGGTGCCGACCACCCCATACCTGTTTACACTGATGGAGCATCGCGCAACAATCAGTCCTCGAACGCAAAAGCTGGATACGGAATTTTCTTCGGTAACGGCAGCGAAGATAATGTCAGCAAGCCATTGGCAGGGATGCAGCAAACCAATCAGCGGGCAGAGTTGACTGCAATTTATGAAGCGTGTAAGATCATCAAGGATCGTAACGACCGACGCTACTACGACATTCGGACTGATTCCCAATATTCTATCTCTTGCTTGAAGGAGTGGGGTATGAACTGGGAGAGAAATGGTTGGAAAAATAGCAAAGGCGCTGATGTCAGCAATCAAGATATTATCAAGCCAGCTAGGAATCTCTTGATATCTCTGGGCGACAGAGTTCGGCTTACGAAGGTCAAAGGCCATTCAAGTGACCCTGGAAATGATGCTGCTGATGCTCTGGCAGTAAGAGGTGCAGAAATGTAATGCTTTCAGTTTTATTTATGATGGCCATGGAAAGGCATATTGCTAGTTACCATAGTATCAACGCAGACCACAGACAAACTTGATGCAAATCTTGTCCATTAGGAATCTACAATGATTTTTTTTCGACTTATGAAATAAATTCACATATTGTGTATGAGGCCGAATACCATACGACGTCTATCTGACCAACAGCCGCACAGACCACACACCCCATACAGCCTAACAAGTTACACCGGCCCTTGTCGACAAGATCAACCGTCACACAGACCACTCAATCATACAGACGGGGCGAATACTCGTCACAAAGACCAGACGTTACACCGACTACACATTATACTACACTATGTACTCCACATCACACCGATTACAGCTTCTTCGTTAATCAGCGGCCCTTAACGGCCCATCTTGAGACGACTACTGTACTAGATTTTTTGCCATGATTTTTTGCCATAATTTTTTTTTATATTTATTATTATTCTCCGGTTTAGAGGAGGAATAGGAGGAAAATTCCAAGCGCGGTAGGCAACGTTAAACCAGCACATCGGACTCGATTTGGGTGTTCAGGAGAGCGTGTACCAATCGTTATTACTGGGGTCGTATATGCCCTTTGGAGTTCATAACATAAACCACATCCTTCTGATATTTATAATAAACAGAAATACTTAATTGATAATTACTATCAAAAAATGAGGTAGTGTTGATCCAAGGAACACCATCCTTGTTCTGCATGTATGTACTGTACATACTTGCGGTGGCTAATCATTGTATTTGCGCTACACATACAAACACATAACGCGATCGATCCTCTAAAAACAATGACGACATTCAGTTATAATCGTGTTGAACATATAAATATTTGACTGTTGAAACTGTAACAATACTAACTGTTACTACTCTACTCCTCGAGAGCGGGAGGTTCACAGGTGCAGAACAAGTTGAGATCACCAAAGGTATCATCTACTCTAGCAACTGACGGCCAGAACTTCTTCTCTCGAAGGCTAGCTACGGGATAAGCAGCCTGCTCTCTGGTGTAGGGTCGATCCCAAGTCTCGGCCAAAAGGTCCTGTTGAGGATGGGGGGAGTTCTTGAGGACGTTGTTCTCCCGGGGAATCTTGCCGTCCTCAATCTCCTTGATCTCCTGTCGGATGGAAATCAGAGCATCACAGAATCGGTCAAGCTCTGCTAGAGACTCAGACTCAGTGGGCTCGACCATAAGAGTGTTGGCAACAGGCCAGGACATGGTGGGACCGTGGAAAGAGTAATCCTGGAGACGCTTAGCAATATCAATAGCCTCGATTCCAGACGATGCCTTGAAAGGTCGCATGTCAAGGATGAACTCATGAGCGCACTTGTCTTTGTTGTTGGTGTAGAGAATAGGGTAATGGGGCTCAAGTCGCTTCTTCATGTAGTTGGCGTTAAGGAGAGCGATTTCAGTGGCCTTGAGCAGTCCGGTAGCACCCATCAGCTTAATGTAAGCCCAGGAGATGGGGAGGATAGAAGCAGATCCAAAGGGTGCAGCAGAAACAGGCTGAATTGACTTCTCTGTAGAAAGGCCTGTAACCTCGCTCATCTCAACAACGGGGTGAGCAGGCAAGAAAGGAGCCAGGTGAGACTTGACACCAATAGGGCCCATGCCAGGTCCACCACCGCCGTGGGGGATGCAGAAGGTCTTGTGGAGGTTGAGATGGCACACATCAGCACCCATCTCACCAGGGGAGGTCAGACCGATCTGAGCGTTCATGTTGGCACCGTCCATGTATACCTGTCCGCCATTCTTGTGAACAATATCAATCGCCTCCTTGACACCAGGCTCGAAAACACCGAAAGTGGAAGGATAAGTGACCATGAACGCAGCCAGGTTATCCTTATGCTTCTCAGCCTTGGCAGCAAGATCGACGAGATCAAGCTCACCATCCTTCTTACACTTGACAGCGACAACCTTCATGCCTGACATCACAGCAGAAGCTGGGTTGGTACCGTGAGCAGAGACAGGGATCAGACAGATGTTTCGGTGGCCCTGGCCCTGAGACTCAAGGTAGGCACGGATGACTCGTAGGCCGGTGTACTCACCCTGAGCACCAGAGTTGGGCTGCAGAGACATTCGATCGAAACCGGTAATGTCCGCAAGATCATCCTCAAGCTCGATCAAAAGCTCCTTGTAGCCCTGAGCCTGGTTGAGAGGAACAAAGGGATGAAGCTGGCCAAATTCAGGCCAGGTGATGGGTGCCATCTGAGTGGTGGCATTAAGCTTCATTGTGCAACTACCCAGAGGAATCATAGCATCGGCGAGAGACAGATCCTTTGACTGAAGATGCTTCATATATCGAAGAAGCTCGGTCTCTGAATGGTACTTGTTGAACACATCGTGCTGCATGTACTTATCAGTTCGCAGCATATCAGAGGGAATACTGCTGGTGACATTATCAGCAGCAGACTCCAAGTCAGCCTCAGAAACGCCAAAAACCGATGCAAGGTTGACAAGATCACCGTGAGTGACGGTCTCATCGAGAGTCAGAGAAACGGTCTTATCGTCAAGCTTGTAAAGGTTGATCTCCTTGGCCTCAGCTGCAGAAATGACCTTGTTGGCATCCTGAACCTGCAGGGTGAGAGTGTCAAAGAAGTGCTTGTTCTCGACCTTAACGCCCTTGGCTTCAACGGCAGTGGCAAGGATGGAGGTGAGCAGGTTGACACGCTCGGCGATCTTCCGAAGGCCCTCAGGTCCATGGTAGATAGCGTAGAATGCGCTCATGTTGGCAAGGAGAGCCTGGGCTGTGCAGATGTTAGAGGTCGCCTTCTCTCTTCGAATGTGTTGCTCACGAGTCTGGAGGGCCAGTCGATAAGCCTCGCCGCCAAGTCGATCACGGGACATGCCAATAAGTCGTCCTGGCATCTTTCGGTGCTGGCCATCGGCAACAGCAAAGTAAGCAGCATGAGGTCCACCGTAACCCATGGGGACACCAAATCGCTGGGAGGTACCGAGAACAATGTCGGCACCGAAATCGGAAGGAGGCTTGAGAAGGGTGAGGGCCAGAAGGTCAGCGGCAACGCACAGCAGGCTACCGTTGCCCTCACCCTTGAGGGTGTCGCTGAGCTTCTGGTAATCGACAATGGAACCGTCAGTGGTTGGGTATTGCACTAGAACACCGCAGACCTGGTCAATAGGGCTCTCAGACTTGCCGTTGGAGAGATCAGACACGTCGACAACCTTGACGTCGACGTCAAGAGCTACACTTCGAGACTGGACAACAGCAATGGTCTGGGGATGAACGTTCTTGTCAACAAGGAAAATGCCTCGCTTGCCCTTGAAAGCGTTGAATGCCATTGTAACGGCCTCCGATGCCGCAGTACCCTCGTCAAGAAGAGAAGCGTTGGCAACTGCCATTCCGGTGAGCTCAGTAATAACGGTCTGGTAGTTCAGGAGTGACTCCAGACGACCCTGACTGATCTCGGGCTGGTAGGGTGTGTATGAGGTGTACCAGAGGGGGTTCTCGAGAACATTTCGCTGGATGACGGGTGGAACAACAGTTCCGACATAGCCCTTTCCGATATAGGACTTGAAGACCTTGTTTTTGGAAGCAATCTCTCCCAACCGGCTGGTCAGCTCAGATTCAGAGAAACCTTGTGTGGGCTTGACAGCAAGAGGTCGCTTGGTCAGAACATTGGGGGGAACGACATCTGACACGAAGCTGTCCATAGCTGACTCGGCAGTAGCGTAATCTAGAGCTCGGAGCATCTTGTTCACATCTGCAGATTCGCTACCAACATGTCGTCGAAGATAAGTGTCCAGAGGTCGTGTTGCTGCTGAAAATGTGGATCCAAATCGGGTTTTTGTGGCCGACAGTCGCAAGATACGACTTGTCCGGTTGAGGGTTCGTAGCATTTTTGTGGTTAGGTTGGCTGAATCTCGCCGTAGAAGGGACTCAGTGTATATATATTTCTTTTAGGTTTGACTCAGTGATTGTGACACAAATCACTGAGTATGATGAAGAGTGACGATAGAGGTGGTTCCATGTTCATGACAAATTAAATCTGTAATGCCAAGTGAGTCAAGGAGAAGGGGGTTCTCGTTATCCTTTGAACAATTGTGATTTAAGGTGAACTTATGATGAGATGAAATCGTGTTGTTCATCATTGCTACACGGCAACTTCTCTCCATCATCTTGTTATCTCCCGAAGTTTATTTCGCATAGGTGTGCAGAACTAAGCTCGGGATCTGTCAGTACACTTTGCAGAACAACCTGACGAATAGTACGTGTCTGAAGCACTGACAAATTCGTATTCGAGTTACGCGGTGATGGAAACATATGTGCCAAAATCAGGTATGATTAATTATAGGGCATTGCGATACGTGGCTCAGATATTTCCCTCCTCCCCTCCTGATTTCAATCTATGGTCGCGCCAATAGCCGCACACAGGCGCACATGGTTCAAGTACCCCAGGAAGAAATGCTGCAGTTGAGTAAATTACAGACAAGCACAACTACAAGCACAGTGTGTACAAAAAAAAAAAGCACAGTACAGGAAATTTCGTAGTTTAGGTTATTGTAGGGGGAGTCGCCGATTGTTTTGTTGGTCAATATTAGTTCGCAATTGTTGGTTGCCTCTTTCTTATTAGTCGATTCCATCTTTTCTGGATTGCGTTCTGTCCGTTTGCTTTGGGTGGATTATTTGTCGAGTGTATCAAAGGCAGCAGTAAGATGTGTGACCACATCACATGGATGTCCTGACCTCGCAGTGTGCTACACCTCTTTTGGTATGGTATGAACTAAATCCATTTCGATTTATCAACAGGTGAACCCTTATCCAGTAAAAAATATGTTCGTGTCTTCACAGGGATGACTTCTACTCGTACTTGTAGTTGGCTACTATATCGTACATGTAGTCCAGTATTAATAAAAAGTTGTCCCTTCAATGCAACCGATGAAAATCATCCAGAGAAAGTCTTACATTAACCTTCGTGGTTGTGGTTGCCTTTGAAGCATTGGACGAACCGCCATGGTAGTGACAATTGATTGTAAATTCGAGGAAATGTGAATCCATAAGACCATGCCTATATCACAAGGAGAATGATAAACTCGAATTTGACATTAACATGCATTCAAATGATAGAATAGCTGTAAGGATAGTTACAACGTACAGTATGTGTAGTGGTTAGGGTTGTATCTATATAAGGCAATTATGTGACACAGTTCCTACAAGTAGAAACGGCACAACTTATTCATGAAATCAGTCGCTCTTCAGGTATGTCTTCGATGAACTTATTCGTAACATCAGTCAAGCAAAAAACTAACCCTCTAGAGACTACCAACCTAGTAGATATATCCTTACAATGGCGTTACTAATCCGTATGAGTATCCAGTACATACAGTGTACTTGTACCGATACTCATCCTTTCCTTTTTCGTCAGTACGGTACCAAAATCAGAAGTATATCCTCGGAACCTTAATTTGGCTGGACCGAGGATCTGACCTTGCGATCGCTATACAATATTGATCTCAGAAACGAGCCGTATTGTACAATCGGGAATACACCTACTTGTAGCCTTGATGAGTAGCCGCTTTCATTCGGGTGTGGCCTCCTTAGCTAATGCTATCCATTCTATGATAACCCTGTGGGGTTGTGAAGAAGAGTAAACTCGATGAGCCTGGGGACATTCCCACATACAGGTACTGTACAGAATAATGTGTGCAACCTATGTGGTGTCACTGACTGTATGTAATTGGGCTCCTTACCGTGCTTTCCAACCTCTTTCCAATGACAACTATTGCACTGTACCCGGGCCATCGGCCGATCCCGGCATGCATGCCAATGTCATTATTCGCGAAACTTTGTTTCGACCTAGGTCAATTTAAAAATCACTAAAGTAGTTTCTGCACAGGTGTAGCTAGAAGTAGGGGTGCGAGTACTTGTGCTTAGCTGACTACGATGGAAGTACAGAGTTGTACTCGTATTGTAGTTAGTTGCCCTGTTCCTTTTGTGGTGCACAGAATTTTTTCGTGTACAAGTTGTACAAGTACAAGTAGGTGCTTGGAACTACAAGTACTGCAGTCTTATGAGCTGAACTGGTGTACAAGTATGTACATGTAGTTGTGTCTTCGTTTACGGATGTTAATCCTCCTCCATATGTCCAGTGCCCCAAGTACAAGTACTTAAGGTACTGTATGTACTTGTACATAGTACATACTGTACTTATAGGAGACATCATACAACAGTACTTGTAGTTTAGCCTCTACAAGTACAGCAATTACCAAGCACCAATCATTATACCCCAGGGTCTTTTGTGTGATTAGAAGTAAACAGATTCGCTGCTTCCCCCCTTTTCACAGACTTGTAATATAGGCGAGTAGCCACGGTTGTGTCAAGACAACCTTATTTATGGGTCTGCCATAGTAGTTCAGGTACAACCCAACACCGGGTAACAGTACAACCCTACCCTTCGCAACTCCGGACTGAGAGTATAAATTAGTATAGCTCAGAAAAAGTTTTCTTTCTACCCAACACTCGTGCTACGAGCACAAGAACGACAACACGGAACACATCAGCCTAGCGACAAAATGGCGTCACCGGACACATACGCAACGATATCCACGTGATACCCAACTCTAGGGGTAGGTGTCTTCCATGAAAAACATGGAAGATGCAACCCCCTCACACTACGAACAGTGAGTACACAAACACCACGGACAGCATGTGATGATCCAACAAACCAATCAAACTAGAGTATGTGAAGCAATTTATGATCACAACGTTTTTTGCATGTCAGTCTGACTTTTTGATTGCTCTCGCGACATTTCCCATATCAATTACTAACATTAGGACAGAAGATACTGAGATACCTTATCCAAACACAGTCCTACGTGTGATTACACGCTAGCAACACAATGGACGATGACCGGTACCATGGGCTCGTGGCCTATCCGTTGACCTCGAAAGAGGTCGATGTATGGACCTAATACCCGGTACACGGCTGCCAAGTGTTCAGCACCGTAGCCATAACGCAGCCGACTGACTCCGACTGTTCCAACTACAAACCAAACGGTAAGTACATCCTGCTATTTGCACACCCATCATATGATGATTACTACTTTAAGTTGGAATTACCGACTGAATGTACTCTTTTCCATGTTAGATAACAAGTTGCTGCTTTACTGATCTGTGAACAGAAATGAAGTCTATCCCTTCAACCACATTACTAACTCCAGGTATGTTTCACGCTCTCATTATTATTTGCAACATGATGAACCATAGCACTGGGCACCGAAAAATAATGAGTGACAAGCTTAAAGAGGGCCTAGAAAACCCTCGTTCACTGACAGAACAATAGCAAATTATTGTGTGTCGGGTGTGCTTTCGAGTTGTTATCACACATGTACTAACCTCAGTTAATACATTCTTCGTTCCAACCCAATTCCTAAACGTGAGTATTTACAGACGTTTCGCTCAGTCCGTCCACCTTATATGATGATTCCCTAGATGACGAGTCAGAATGGGGCTTCCCCTTGACGATACAAACTTTTAATACCATTCATGCCTTCTGAAATGATGGTCTCTTTGAAGATCGTATCAATGCATGAGCTCAACTAACCCAGGTTTATTCCTCGTAGTCATCAGACGACAATGCCTACAACACCCTTAGAATCGGTTAGAATGATGATTTCAGAAAAATGACAAGCATATGTCTGACTCTCAAGTGGAGAAAAATTTTCTTACGTCTGACTAACCGTGATCAACAAATTGGTGAGTATTATTAACTTTGCGACAATTGGATGATGATTTACCACAATCACGACGGTCTACTGTGCCCCGAAAGGGCCTTGATGATAATCTGCCTGTGACTAGGCGTGGAGCTGATATTCTTAGTTATTTGTTCCGTCGTTTGAAATATACTAACCCCAGAGAGTGATGAGTTCGTTACGCGCTGAGACTGGAGAGATATATCATAACGCTCATTGAAGTGTAGAACTACTTTGATACGATGTAGTTTGCACAATACAGATGTCCCGTCTACTGAACACTATTACTGTAATTAGTAGTTACTTTTACAAGGTACTCACCAATACGTATTTTTCATACAAGGAGCTGTTCTGCGAGCGTCATACAAACACCTGAAGTACTTGTACTCGTACAGTAGAGCGCAAATATCCAACATGAACTATCTCATGTCTAATTCACGGACTGTACGGGTACATGACACAACGAATAACACCAATATGTACATTACTACGAGTACGATACATACAACGGCACTTCATCATGGTGTTTTTATCAACAGTCATATCCCTATAGCTTACACAGCAGGTTATACAGGGTACTTGTGGGATGAATCCCACGTTCTATTAGTTTACATTTTAACTGTTCTCTCCACCATTTCACCCACACAACCGTTACCTAATTAGACGGTCTCCTCAAAGGCTGACTCGATGGGCTTCTCGAGCAGGGCAGCATGGCCAAGGATGAGGAAACCAGAAGAGCCAACAATCCAAAGCACAGTGCTGATAGGAGAGGCGAAGAATCCAAGGGGAATGGCGACAATCATGAGACCAGTGTAAAGCTGGGAGGAAGTAAGAGTCGTGAAGCCAAGGTTGAGGTCAGATCCTCCAAGAAACGAAATTCCGTACAGACCAAGGAAAACAAAACCGATAACAAACAGCAGCAGCCAGTTGGTGAGGAGAGAATAGAGAGAAAGGAGACCGAAAATGATGGCATAGTTGGTGCTGAAGTATCCCAGGTTGAAGTTGATTCGAGCTTGAGCTTCGCCCCAGGTCGGGGGCTTGGAAATTCGTCGGAAATCGAAGAAGTCGGTGGGGGACTTGAGATTGGCAAATCGGTTCTGGAGATTCGCGCCCTCAGTCTGTGTTAGTCCAAAGCTCAGAAAGCGCAGATCCAGAGAATTCCCTTCGCCTCCATATGCTCGCGGGTGATGGTACCTCAGAGTACTAGAGGCACACCAATGTTTTCAATAACGTGAGACACGTAGGGGTCGCTATCATCGCGCTGGCTCAAGGACGTGTTCGATGGTCGCTCACAGTCGCGCACCCTCTAGACTTCTTCACGTCACTGAGGATTCTCAGGTTTAGCGCCATATGCTTAAGTGCGTCACATTCTGCTTACAACAAAGAGTCGAGCACGGGATGACCATCTTCGTCTCACAGTCCACACAGATTTGGGCAAGCCTCATCACGGTGGATTACGGTCGCGTTGTGAGACAAATTTCAACAGCATTGAACGTACATCAATAACGCTTCCGTTTATTCTCAATACCATCTCTTTTTGAGACTTCGCGATAGTCTCGTATTAATTTCACCATGCCCATCTCCTTGATGATACTCACTCTTAGTCGCTCGAGGTTGAACCGTTCAGACAGGCCAGACAGCTGTAGTTAGTAAAAGTTGGGATGCGAAAACGCAGGGGTCTCATACTTACTGAGCTGGATCCCATAGATGTGATAGCGTCCATTGTTGTTGTTGTTGTTTTCGGTGAACACCAAAGAGCCGGTTCAGTATCAACGAATTTGTGGGAACAGTGTTTTTTTATGCATCCCACACGATAGCCTACGTGTCCGTGTTTGGGTTAGGGTTACGTTTCCGGTATGTGAGTCACGTGATGGACAAACACAACTCTTGCAAGTACAGTACTGTACTTGTACGCGTGCACAGGACATACTGTACGATACCTATTTTGTAGTCTCAGGGGCGATGTATGTCAGGCTGTGAGATTCTCTGTAGAAGTGGCAAAATCTGCATTATCTTCATGACCACCGTGCTAAAAGACAGAAAAATTATGCGACCACTGCTTTAGACCACGTTCCAATTACTGTACTCGTACAAGTAGAAGTACATACATACTGTACAAGTACATACTACATACTATACTCGTACTTATAAGTACAGTGTAGAATGGCTCTTGTCCAAGCCTCTGGGACGTCCCACTTAATGCTGCTGCTATACAGTATGTATTGTACAATACAAGAACAAAATGATCTTCAATAACTTGTACTTTTTTTTGGTTTTTTATACTTGTACTGTGCGATAGTTGTACGATAGCTACAAGTGTACCAAAGTTGCTACTAAATACTGTACTTCGCGTGCATGAATGGACTGCACGTGGTATGGGATGACTAATATGTTAGTGTTCTTAATATCGGTGCCATCTTCATGGGATTGTAAGCTAAGGGCGTGCCCAGAGAGGTCACTGAAGGGGTAATTCGGAATTATTCTACAAATTTCGTTATAATAGCACAATCATTTATCCCATAAATTTGGTTTGGGTACGGGTTACCCTGTCGTAAACGTCGGCATAATAAATAACTGTACGTTCAAGTACTGTGGCACAACGATAAGAAGAACTTCGTATCGAGCGATAGGAGCCATGGTAACAGATTATGTAGTATACCGATGAGGTGCCATATCGTAGCTCTTCAACATCCTAAAGCCCAAAGCTCTTAAAGCCTCACCTAGTACTTGTTGTTTGAACTTCGGTACATGTACTGGCTCGAATGTCAAAAACACTGTGATGCCTTAAAACCTGTATTTACGCCACCTGCAGTGTTACATAATCAACGACACTTTTCATTATACTTTTAGAGAGCTTGAAGAAGTGCACACCACACCAGTCATCCAACACAACTACTAATCAATTTATTACCTCTCCATCGCAGCATGTCATTTGTATACTACAAATTCAAGTCGCAGAAGGAGCCGTCCAAGGTCGTATTTGACGGCACATCCATCTCTGTGTTTGATCTGAAGCGTGAAATTATCACTTCTAACAAGCTGGACAAATCTGCGGATCAGTTTGATCTAGCTATTGTCAATCCCGATACGAAGGATGAATACAGAGACGACAACGAGCTGATTGCCAGATCTTCTTCCGTACTGGCACGACGACTGCCCTCTCGACCAGGCAAGGGCGAGGCCGCTAGGTACGTCAACGGAGCGCCTCCAGTCACACGCTACAGACGAGACGATCAAGAAGTAGTGCAACCAACATCAGCAACACCAGGATCTACTGGCACTGGAGGAGCCGAAGATGATCTCATCAATGCTATGTTTGCTGCTCAGGGAGAACAGTGGAAGGAAACACAGAAGCAAATGGCCTACCAAACCCCTGTCTACAACCGACCCTCTTCTTCTGGAAAGCCTCTTTCTGCCAACTCCAACAACCCCCAGGCAGCAGCTGCTCAGGCCCAGTATGGAGATACTCCGCCGGAAGGATACATGTGCCATAAGTGCGGTAAGAAGGACCATTTCATTTGGAACTGCCCCACCAACAACGATCCCAACTGGGAGGGAATGCGAATGCGGCGAACCACCGGTATTCCCAAGTCATTTCTCAAGACTATTGCTAAGCCCAACCTCAACGAGGACGATCTTGATGGTAAGTCTGCTGTCTTGATCAATGAGGATGGCGAATATGTGGTGCAGGTAGCAGATCAGAAGTCATGGGAAAAGCAAAAGGCTCGTGCTCGACATGCAGTTGAAGATACCAAGGCTAAACGAAAGGCTGATATCGATCCCGAACTGGTATGCCCTCTAAGCAAGAAACTGTTTGACCACCCGGTCACAACTCCTTGCTGCAAGACCACGTACTCAGAAGATGCCATTCAACAGGCACTGTTGGATGGTGACTTTGTTTGCCCCAAGTGTGGTGCTGAGGAAATTCTGTTGGACCAGCTTCACCCCGACAAGGAAATGGAGAAGAGAGTGAAAGAGCATATTAAGAAAGAGCAAAAGAAGGAAGAGCCCGATGCAAAGCGAACCAAAACCGAGGATGGTTCTGCTGTTTCCCAGGCTGGTTCCTCGGCTCCTCCCAATGCACCAACAGGACCCGCAGGAATGCCCCAGATGCCTTTCATCCCTCCACAGATGATGCCATTCTTCATGAAGCAGATGGAGCAGATGCGAAAGATGGGTATGCCTGTGCCACCAATGCCCAATATGCCCATGGGTGGTGCTTCTGGCGGCCAGACGTTTGTGGCTAACCCCAATGGAGTCACCAATGGCCAGTTCATGGACAAGGGTGCGAGACGACAGCAGATGAACCAGAAGAGAAGATACGATGACCGTCGATGATCTTCAAAACAGCATTGTTTTGTATATTGCATGTAATTTATATGGAGTTTTGGGTTATTCTAGTCAAGGAACCCTTACTTGTTGTAGTGTGTATCAATTATGTGTGGATTGCGATGTTGGTGGGCAAGGGAGGTGGCCTGTGGCCGAGATATAAATATAATATAATCGTGTGCGTGTTTGTTGTGCGTATTTCCTAGTGAACACTAGGGAGCCAGTTGGCTTAGTATGTACGTCAAATGGGATGCCTCCTACAGTGACACCCGCGTCGGTGTGTCAGGAGTTCATACGACCCAATGACCTCGTAATGCGGATATTTCGTATACAGTTGACATACGATACGAATACATACCCGTCCTATACACCATCGGTACGTTCTTGTAACTGTACCATACAGTATGTACTCGTATAACTATGAATACAATTGCAGTGCACCGGTACTTCTTAGCTTCTCCGAACTACAAGTCAATCAATTGTCAAAAATCCCTCACTCGGGGTTGTCTATAATCTATAATACTTCTATAACTTGTTTACTGCTTCTTACCGTCGTTGAATTCGATGACGGCGTACTTGCCAGACCAGCACCAAGACAGAGGGTTGGAGTTGCCCTGCTCGACCCACTCCTTCTCGAGCTGCTTATCCTGACCAGGCTTGAGGCCAACAACAACATCTGCCTTGCAAGTTCGGAAAGACAGAATATGAACATCGTGGACTCCAAGGGGACCGAGTGCGGTGTGGAAAGACGTGTCTCGAGGCCACTCAGCATCACAAGTGAGCTTTCGGTAGTTGAGATCACCCTTGAGGATAACCAGAGCGGAATCCTTGATGTCCTCCCAGACCTGGGAGCCACCATCGATACCCTGAGGATAGATATCCCAGAAGAAGTGGGGGGTGGTCCAGAAGGCTGAGGTTCTGACAGACAGAGAGCCATCATCAAGGTATCCCTGAAGCTTAGAGACAAAGTAGTCAATCTGCTCTCGGCCTTCGGGGAAGAAGGAGGAGTCCTTGAGGTAGTTGATGGTCTTCACAAGATCGATGGGAAGAACATCAGAAACGAACCAGGGGATATTCTTAGGGTGGAGAATGACGTTCTTGGCAAGCTTCGAGTCAAGCAGGAAGAGGACAAGAGACAGGTCGGCATAAAGCTCAAAGCCGGCGTTATCGAGAATAATGTCTACTCGAGAGCCATCGTTCTGCTTAGAGTCAGCGTACAGAACGTCCCAAGCCTTCTCAATGTGGTTGACGAGAATCTTCTCCTCGTTCTTCTTTCGGACATCAGCTCCCTGGAGGTTCTTGATTTCCTCAAGAGACATGGTTGTCAGCAGAGAAAGATCAGTAGCGTTACCCCAGAGAGAGATATCAGAGAACTCCTTGAAGAGCTCCTTGAGGGTGGCCTCGTCAGAGACGCCGTTAAGCTGCTCAGCAAGGGCCTTGTACCGCGTAGCGAGCTCGGAGACACCAGCAGAAGAGGCCTTGAAAGCATCCTCCTTCTGACGGCTGAAGATGTCGTAAGTCTTCCAGTTCTTGGTCTGATCAAAGTAGACCTGGAGCTCTCGGTAGAGGTAGCACTCAACAAAGACCCATCCGCCCTGAAGCCAGGAAGTAGGGTTCTCCTTAAGCAGACGGTTGTAAACGGGGATGTCGTCGGCAACGTTGGGAAGCTCCTTCAGGGGCTTGTCGTGCTCAACATCGTGCTTGAGAGCGGTGATTTGCTCGAGGACCTTCTTGAGCTCATCTCGCTTCTCTCCCTCGGGGGTCTCGGCAATGGTCTTGTGAACATCGTCAATGACACCAGTGAGGATGTGAGGCCATCGATCCCGAGAAGAGGTGTATGCAAAGGAGTTCTTGTCGTTGTTCAGGTAGACCTGAGGGTGCTTGAAATCGGTAGTGGAGACAGTAGACATTTTTTTGTTTCTGTTTAGAGTCAATTGAGCAGTGAGGGTGGGCGGGAGTTGCTCTTTTATATGTGTCGTTTTGGTTACACAGCGCTATAGACCGCACACAGTTTATCCTGATTAACGTTACCTGCGTTGTTGGAAAGGGAACCCTATGACGAAATCTGACGTTGGAGGTGCACGTTGTTTTTGGGTTGACATGAAGACGTTTGGGACGTGTAGGAAGTGAGAGGTGCAACGTGGTAAACAGACAAGATGACACGGACTGGAGTGTTCTTAACAGTAAACCATAGGTACAGTAATCATGAACGTGCCATTTTATTCCCGAAGCGTCACTGACACAGTTAGGGCTTTGTGGGGGGGTTGCATCTGTTGTTTCTAGCACTTGTTGGGCACACCTCAACGAACCGAGGGATTATAAACGTAGACATTTCTGTTAGTTATTGGTGTCCAATTGAGCGCGTGAACCTGCTCAGTTCCATGGTGCAAAGCAAACCTTGTTATTGGTACAACCGCGGCCACTATTTCACTCACTAACCAACTTCCAGGATTGGGTTCATGGAACAACGTAGAACTTTGGAAAGTCATGTGATTAGCAATGTTACAAGTATGAGTACAGTACATACTGTCGGTACAAGTGGAGGGTCATTTTTTAACCACAATGTAGAGTCTATACTGTGCCAGTACAGTACTTGTACTGTATTTTTTGGCCTACTGCTGGATCTGTGTTCACAAATGATAGAGCAATACAACCGCGCATCATATACAGGAACTTGTACACTCAATTGCAATAGCATAAACGTAGATCCACCACCACAGGGTGGATACAGTTGGTCATTCTCGCACGCCCTGTCTTTGCTCCTTTTTCAAACAAGAGGCGTATTATTATATACGGTCTTCCTATCTTTCACTCCTCTGTACAAATAACCTTACTGTAGAGTATTCGTAGGTGAGATGCGTGAGTTATATCCACCCACTTCTGAAACTTCGATGTTACTGGTTCACTTTCAGTCAAAACAGAAACCTACTTAACGAGATAGAGCCCTGGAAGAGTGCAAAGTCCCCATCCCAGGTGATAAACTGGATGTGGATGTTCAGAGGAGTCATACAAGTACATACGAGTACATTGTGCAGTCTCCCTGATCTACATGCACAAGTTGAATGACGTCATTAGAGAGAGCCTATGCACAAATACGGAATTAGTGAAACGTGGCATCAAGTGGCCATCACGTGACCCCACGGAATATTTGCAGGACACCGATACCGGCCCATGTGGCTCCTTTCCATTGTACAGAACTTGCATCCAAACAATGATATCAACACAAGCAGCATGCTCACCCTTAGCTCAGGATGCCCGCACCTGGTTAGTTATAATTAGGAGGAGTGCTCACAGAAACGGTCGAGCTCCGACCATCAGCAACAAGTACATGTGATTTGTTGTGGCAGGGTATCGATTGCCCCTCAAAGGGTCTCAACACCGCCCCCCCTTGCATGGTATCTTTGGTGCATGCCACTAAATATCCGTATGACATAAGCATGTTTTTTTCTTCTTTGAGTTCATGTGGTCCTACTGAAAAATAGAAAAATGTACATACTCAGGAATTGAACCCACGGATAGCCTCGCCCTTACACAATCATGCATAGTCTCAGGAAATATCAAGGCGGACAAGACAACCGGTTCACCATTATCACATAATGTCTCGAACACTGAAGGAGGAATTCCAACACTCATTGGATCTAATCGATACCTTGAAACGATCCAGTCACCCATTTGTCTCCGAAGAGTACCAATTGCAAGTCAAGGAGGTGCTAGAATCACTGGATCAATGCTCTAAAATGATCTCGTCTTTGGGCATCTTCTCAGACAACGAGTCCTGGGAGGACCTAAAAACAAATGAAATCGTTTACCTGACAATCCCTTATCACAAGGCTCTGGCGCTGGAACGGGTACGAGTACAAGGTGCCGAAGATCGCAAAAATCTGGTGTACCACCAAGTCAAGAGTTACAATGACTTTCTCAAATCGCTCGACCATTACGGCCTGCTACCTAAAACACATGCCTCTCGTCTGGAGTCATTTCTGGCGGGCCAGCTAACCATCGAAAACGTCGCATCCAAGGTGAAGGAGCTCTCAGATCAACTGCGACCCACTGACGCCGCCGTTTTCCGAGCTGAGAAGATTGCCAAACACAAGGCCGAGAAGGAACTGGAAGGAAAACTGAATTTGCTTCAGAAAATTGAGGCCAAGCAGAAAGATCCAGATGCGCCGAATGTCGACGAAGATGAAGTCAGAGACTTGAGAAAGGAGGAGCTGAAGCTCTATACTCTGAAATCCTTGAATACACTTGAGATGCTCAGCATGGAGGTTCAAATGCTAGCAAGAGCACCCAGCAGGCCTGAGCCTCCCATCGATCTGATGAGACGTGCGCAGGCTGAACAGGATCAGGATGGGCGAGAGAGACAGATAGAGGACGTGACAGGCTACACTGACAAGCTTGAGAAGAATCCTCTCACTGAGGCAGGTCGACCTATTCTCGATTCAATGGGCAAAATAAACAGACCGTTTAAATTGGTGAGCACTCGTCAGCAGCTACAGAGCAAGGTGCGTGGAACAGGTCAATATCTCCCCACCATGTCTGTTGAGGATTATCTGGAGGAAGAGAAACGACGAGGAGGAATCATCGAAGGAGGAGGAGAAATTCCTTCTACTGAAAAGAGCGACAATGACATGGATGACGAAGCCGCAGACAGGGAAACAATGAAGGCACGGGAATGGGATGAGTTTGTGGAGGCGAACCCCAAGGGTAGTGGAAACACTATGAACATGGGATAGGCGGTATATACAGAGCCATAGAAAATAACTGTACATGACGTGCAAAATATTTTGCAATGGTATTTGCCACCGAGATGCGGTCTGACTGGTTACAAGTACAAGTAATTAGTATGCTGCTGCTTCTTATACATTCTACAGTGTCTGCGAGCAAGATTCGATACAGGGTAATATATATATATATATATATATATATATATCATAAATCAATTTATTCTTCGTTATAGATTACTCCTGGTTCTGCTTCTTTCGAGTATCAAACACCTCAAGAACAGTCTCAGCAGCCTTGACTCCACTGAGGGCCATAGCACCGAAAGTGGGACCCATTCGGTTGGCACCGTCAACCTCAGACAGCTCCATACCACCGACAACCAGGCCGGGGACGATCTCTCGGGTTCGCTTAACAATAGCATCCTCAGCAAGGCCCATGTCAAGACCTCGCATGCCACCTAGCTTCTCAATGGCGTTCATGGAGACAAGTCGCTTGACAGAGAAGGCACCGAATGGGCCGTCATGACCAGTGGTGGAGATGATGATAGGAGCATTGATGGTGTTGGGGTCCATACAGGACTGGTCATCATGGTGCATGGAAACTAGGGTCCAGTTGGTGACGACACCTGCAATTCGAAGGTTGCCCTGGGCATCCTTTCGGGTAATGAGGTCCTCAACGGCAGTAGCGTTGAAGAGCTTAACATTGGGGAACTTGAGCACCTGGCTCATGAGAGTAGAGGTGAAAAGGGCAGCGTGCTTAACAACGACGTAGTCTCCCTCATCTTCGTAAGGGACACCGATCTCTTCAAGGAACTGCTCGGCAGGCTTTCGCATAACCATGGCAGAGAAGAGCTGTCCTCCAAGCCAAGCACCTCCTCCGGGAGCAACACCAGCCTCAACGATGGCAATCTTGAGGTCGGGTCGGCTCTTGGCAAGAACATAGGCAGCAGAGAGACCACAGGAGCCAGCTCCAATGATAACAACATCAGACTCAGCGTACTTGTCAAGATCCTCAAAGTATCGTCGAGTCATAGCTCGAGAGACAGTGGACTCACGGATGGGGGCGAACTTGAAAGACTCCCAAGTGTGCTCATCAGACTTAGTGAGCTTCTGGTTGAACTCATGGACCATATCAAGACCAGTAGCCTGAGAGGAGAGGGGGTGGGCAACGACAGCAGGAGGTGGGGCCATGTTAATTGTAGGTGATATAAGGGGAAGGGTGTGTGGACGTAACAAGGGGATCCAGCCCTGTTTAAATACTTTTACAGCGCAGCCGACAGTATGTGATTTACGGCAGGCCACCAAAAGGGATGCAGTAGAGTTGCGCTAAAGTTCAAAATGAGTCGAGTTAAGCAAAGTCACTGGCTATGGCTTGGACTAAACAATGGCTTGTACGCTGTTTATCTAACAGGGTACTGGTTTAGAACCGACACCATGGCACGCACGGTTTGGAAACAATCCAATTGAAGCACAGTAGTGAATGGTGACTGGTGCCCTAATAGCGGCTAGAGTCTTGGACGGTTGTTGGTAGACATTAAGCTCTAGCCTTACAGTCTAGATCCCCCTCATCCAGAAGTCAACGACAAGATTGATTGGGTTTGCGCATGATAGTAGAAAGAAGCGTTCAATATATGTCAGAGGGCCTCGAAATAGCTCAATTAATGCCAAACTTCAATTCAACATTTCCCCTGTTGAATTTGGGTCACTGCTGTGTCTTTTTCGAGTCGAGCATTGTACGTCTTATCGACGCTCTCCTTCTCAATGTTATCTCCTGCACTGTCTGACTCGCAGCGAGTCGCCCTACTGAGTCGCCCCAATCATGTTGAGTCATTTGTGTGCAGATTTGGTGCGTTGGAGGAGTCATGTCAAAATAGGGTAGCCCCATAGATATCGACTCGAGAGCTCAGAGACAGGTAAAAAAACGTAGAACAGTACCCTAAATCAATCTGATAAGTGCCTTACGGCATGTTTACACCCCAGAGGTCTTCTGAGCGTTGTCTTTTGTGCCTCTGGCTCTCTCCGCTCTAAACTCTTGAGTCTTCAATTGACTCTATGAAAAGTCTAATTTAGGCACGAACTGTTGACCACAAAGAATCCCCCGGAAAGAAACCAAAGGAATCCCCGGAAATCGTGTAACCTAAGTTCAATATGAATCTAATGCCCAACGTGATGAAACTTACGACTACCCCTCGGTGTCACCTTCTGCCTCCGTCAGTGCGCCGATTGCTATCTCGCGGTGCACACTGAGTGGGTCCCTTGACTCCAATCGAGTGGCTCTCAAAAGTATGTTCTTGCGGCTGCTACAAGAAGCTACAAGTAGCTAATTAGTAGTACGAGTACTTGCAAAGTAGTAAGGACTCAAGACAGTAAGAGTCAGAGTCTGCAATCACAACTCCATAGGTGTGGACGGACCATTTGTGGGTCTTTGTAACCCCAGGCGGCCGAAAATGCACGAGACGAGTCATCCGAGTCATCCGAGTCACACAATTCATAAATAGCTCCGTACAGAGTCACCCGAGTCACTACTGTACAGTAGTTAGCTACAGGATTCCTGTGCATATTTGAAGTGCCAAGATGGTTTTAATGAGTCCCAACGAGCCACCTGCTACTGGTACGGCATATTTAGTCTGCCATGTTAGCCCACTTGTAGCTGCCCGAACCTCAACAGCGTGTACCAATCATGATGTGGAAATCTGTCTTAAAGGTTGTTTCACTGATGATTGCCGTTGTATCCACCCCATTTTTTACGACGTATTGTAGTAGTACTTGTACGAGAGTGGTCTCTTAGATTAATGACACTTCTATAAGTACTGTATGTACATATGAGTACATAACAGTACATACAGTACACACAGTACTTGTAGTATAGAGGACGGATAGAAATGGGTAGCTTCTTGCTACAAGTACACGTTACGGGTGGCGGAGGCTACATACATACATCTAAGACAACGTATGCTGTAGGAGATGGACGAAGTCGACTCATTGGCCGCAATAGGAGGCATCAGCAAGGAAAGGAACCAATAAAGCTACGTATTTGCTATTTGCTTCTTATTAGAAGAAGTATTAGTCAGGATGCGGAGGTTTTTCTGAACTTAATCGTTGTGAACTTATGGATTGATAACATTACAAGTACAAAAAAGGATTGGACGCTTGGATGTTACTTACAGTACATGTTGTACCCACAGTAAGATCATCTTCGGCGAAAGAGCTACATTATGTCCATATATGCTCAAGTCATAAACGAGATTTTTGAAATGAGAGGATACAGTACATACTTGTAGTGGCAGACACCAGTGATACGCAGTTTGTGCGTTGCAGTAAAAATAATAAAATAATCATTAGTGAAATACATGTGCAGACACTCATCCTTCATGCAAACGAACAAGCCATAAATAATCCAACCCCCCACGTCCCCGCATCTAAATCTCTTTCAAGTAGCCCTGAAGTAACAATGTCTGGACATCACTTCGCCGAACAAAAAATTGCGAATCTTTCTCAAGGTTGAACACTCCGTATTCAGTTTGTACCTCGCCCACGCTTTGCAACACTCTAACATCAATGAACACATCGTTGGGAGGCTCCAATGATCCTGTCAGATCGATATCGGTGTACGGGCCCTTGATGTCAACAATGAGATCCTCATACGCCTTCATGTACTCCTGCTCATTACCGTTGAGGTTTGGTTCCTCCGTCTGTTTCCATGCGGCTTCATTCATACGCCGGGCACGCGTGAATTGATATGCCAACAAGCAGCGTTTGTCTCGTCGCATGGCGAGATGCTGTACCAGGAGGTTGCAATGGGCCACTCGATCTTGTGGGTCGTATCCCGGTTCATCCTGTGTCTTGTTGATGGAGGCATCCAGTTGGCGAATTTCTCGGCACACACCACGAACCAGCTCTTCCTGATACGCTGGAAGCAAATCAAGGGCAGCAGTTCGGCGCGAATCGTGCACCAGTTTGAGGGCCGTGTCTCCCAGCATGTTGGGTTGAAAAGTTGATACGGAAAAAAGCCGAAATAAATCGCGACGCGTTTTTGAGTTGGTGTGCAGATGGGTTAGGTCCCAGCCCATAAAGACGATCAGCTCTCCAACTACGGTTAAAGAAGTAGGGGACTGAGAAGAGTAGAGTCTGTGCCACTAATTATACCAATGCCTCAAGCCAATTCCAGCATCTTATATTAGTTTCCTCGTGGGGTTTATCAAGCTACAAGTAGAGTGTTCAGCACTTCACCAATCGAAACCTTAAATCCAACAAATTGGTTAATTACTGTACGGACGTGTCTTTTTCCAGATCAAAATTATCATCATCATGAAACGATCGAAACAAGCGACACTGAGTCGATTTTTCAAGAAGCCCAAAACAGGGGCCGACGCTGTGCACACCGAAGCGGTGATCGGCAAAAAACCTACAGACTCTGGTTCTCCAGCTGAGCAAAAGGACGCCAAATCACCTCAGCAAGTCACAGATGAGCCGCCCCTGGAGCCGGTGACAGTAACGACAGACGTCGTTGCCATGGACACGCAGCCTGATTTATCAATTGGATCTGAAATCAACTCCAAGTCTCGTCCAAAATCCTTGGCGAGTTTCAAGAGCGGCAAGTCAATTAACACTGATCACAACCCTGAGCTCAAGCAGAAGTTCAGAGCGAAGCTCGAGCTAGTTAGAAACAAGAATGATGAAGACTTGCCAGTGATTACGAAAAAGACGAAGCTGAACGCTACAGAGTTCCAGTGGTACGAAATCAAGAAGCAGCATCGAGACACATTGTTGTTTGTGCAGGTGGGCTACAAATACCATATCTACGGCGATGACGCAGAAATTGCTCACGCCCAAACACGCCTATTCCTCAGTCCAGGTATCACAAACCTGAAGGATATCGGAAACGATGGAGTAGTCCAACAAGGCAGCAAGTACATCAAGCTAGCCTACTCCTCGTTTCCAGTGCACAGAATCGACTTTTACACGAAACAACTGGTTGAGAAGGGATTCAAGGTGGGCCATGTGCAGCAGATGGAGGTGGCAGCATTGAAGAATGTTGAGAACAAAAAGGGACCTATGATCAGAGAACTCACCAACACGTTCACTAAGGGAACATATATCGAGAGTGGAAATGGGGGCAGTGTGAATGATGTGCAGTACTCCTCGTACTTAGTGGCATTGCACGAGAGCAAGGGGGACAAGCCTACTGTCACATTGCTCGCTACGGAGGTGTCTACTGGTGACGTCATCTGGGACTCGTTCAATGATGACTACGTAAAGTCCGAACTCGAGATAAGGCTTTTGACGTTAGCACCATGCGAAATTTTGAACTGCGGCGTTAGCTCGAGTACGCTCAAAATGTGCCAGAAGTATATGCATCGGAACAAGGGTCGACTGGCTGAGATGAATGTTCTTGAGGAGGAAGTGGAAGATCCAGATGCCCAGGTCGCACTGTTCTTTGAGGGAAAAGCAAATGCAGGTACTTGTTCTACTGTTCTGGAACTACCTGCCATGGTGAAAACACTGATCCTCGCTACTTCGCGCTACCTTACCCATTGTAAGCTCGACTCACTCTTTTTGTTGACAAACAACTTCACTAGATACACAGGCAGCTACATGCGCCTCTCGGCCAATACAGTGGCATCCTTGGAGCTGTTTGCTAATACCACAGATCACACAGCTAAGGGTTCATTATTCTGGGTTCTGAACAGATGTCTTACTGTTTTCGGCAGCCGTGAGCTCAAGAAGTGGGTATCGCGGCCTCTTACCGACAGAACTGCGATTCTTCAACGACTTAGTGCGGTGGAAGCTATCATCAAAAGCATATATGGAGCTGAATCAGACGAGCTGACCACGTTGATCAACAAGTTGGTGAAGCTCCTCAAACCTATTCCTGACCTTAGCAAGATGCTCATGAGACTCCACTACGGTCAGCTCAACAGAAAGGAGGTGTATTTACTGCTTCGGGAACTGTTGTTTGTTGCCCAAGAGTTCAAGCCTGGCAGTGGCGACAAGTACATCGACACCAACCCTGTGTTAGGTGAAATTTTTAATTCTCTGGGTATTCACGTGAGTGATATTGAGAAACTTCTGGAGGAGATTAACCCTGATGCAGCGCGACAAGACGAGGCTCTCACGTTCTTTGTGACCGACCCCCCGAGCTTGGTAGATCGCAAGAAAGACCTTAAGAAAGTGGAAGCCGAGCTTCAAATTGAGTTGCTAGCACTCCGAGCGGAACTCAACCGCCCCAAGCTGCAATACTCTTCCGTGGCTGGTATTGATTACTTGATTGAAGTTGCAAACAAGGACACCAAGAAGCTACCTCTTGAATGGACGAAGATTAGTGGCACAAAGTCTGTGTCACGATTCAGGACACCCACGCTCAACAGTCTAGTTAAGAGGCACGAATACTGCGTGGAGAAACTCAAGGCTGCCTGCGATATCGAGTTCAACATGTTCCGGTCGCGGTGTGCCACCCACTATGAGTTCTTCAGATCTATGGTTGTAGCCATGTCTCAATTCGACTGCCTATTTGCATTGGCTAAGGTCAGTGGACAGTCGGGGTGGGTCAAGGCAGACTACGTCGACGAAGGTGGTATTGACTTGAAGGATTCCCGCCACGTAATCACCGAGAAGCTGATGACCAATTACATCTCCAATGACATCAAAATTAGATGCCCTACCGTCGTTACAGGCCCTAACATGGGAGGTAAGTCAAGTTTGGTCCGACAGATCGCTCTATCAGTTCTCCTGGCACATATCGGGTGCTACGTGCCTGCCTCGAAGGCCCAGATTCCTATCACAGACTCTATCCTGTGTCGTATGGGGGCTCAGGATAACATTATGAGTGGCCAATCTACCTTCATGGTGGAGTTGTGTGAATGTGCAGAGATTCTCAGGAATGCTACCAGCAAATCTCTAGTATTACTGGATGAGATTGGCCGAGGAACCACCACTACAGATGGTATCGCGATTGCTCATTCTGTACTGAAACATTTCATCGAGCTTGAAGCATTGACATTATTTATTACTCATTATCCCCTAGGTCAGTTGCTTGATAGTGAAGATAGCAATAAGTGCGACCTCGTGCACATGGATATTACCAACACCAACCCTCCCATTTTCACATACAAGATGAAGCCTGGCAGTGCCACAGACAGCTATGGTCTAAACGTGGCTGGACTAGCTGGTATTCCCCAAGCTATCATCAACAGAGCTGAAGAAATGGGCAAAGATATGAAGCACGATGTTATGTATCAGGAAGGAGTGAGAATGCTCACTGATATCAAAAAGGTGATGTGAAAGATGTTTGTTCATCTACTTTACTTGTTGAATGCATTGATTGAATACTGTAACGTCTGAAAATAAGTCCCTTCTTTAGACGTCTCTCTGGTATCACTGGAAATGTTACCCAGATCTCACTGTACATACTGTACGATACTACAAGTACAAGTCCTGTAGCCACTTGTACTGTACATACTCGACATAATTCCTGTACATACACTTGTAATTACACAGATAACTAACTCAGACCAGGACGATAGCGCCGATCCTTGCAGATGTAGATTCAGGAGCTGTATAAACGGAAGACTGTGCACATTTTGGAAACATGATTATCGTTATATATCTACAAACATTACTACTTCTTCGCCTCCACCAACTGGTCAACCAGATCGCTGATCTGCCTTGAGTAAAGCTCCTTCATGTCTGCGATATCTGCTCTCAGCTCGTTGATCTTTTCCTCCTTTTCGCCGAGCATACCCAGAGCTTGAGATTCACGTTTTTCCATCGCATCTAGTCTTCCCTCCACCGCATCCAGCTTGATTTTGGACTCCAACAAGTCATCGTTTTCGGTCATCAGCCTCACCACTTCACGCGAGGCCTCGTCCTTTTCTCCGACCACCCGCACCAATTCCTCTTTGAGGTTACTGACTTCGGACGTGAGTTTTCGCACTTGAGAACTCATTCTTCCGATGACTTGGATAGAGGGACCAGTTCCAGACCGTCGCGAGTCTAGCTCAGTTAACTGATCGACATCTTGCAGCCGTTCAAATGAGCCGAAAGAGCGATCGTAAGAGAAAGAGCGGTCAAAAGTGTCAGAAGGAGATGTGGGAACACCCCCAAAAGGAGACTCTGCCTCCAGAGGAGATGTCACTGCCATATCTGCTTCATCACGAGCAGCAAGACGCATGTTTCGCTCCTCAAGCTGCTCTTCTAATGCCGCAATCTTGAGAGTAAGCTTCTCCATTTCTTCAGCGTGTTGGGACTTAGCAATGGAAGGCACCGAAACAGGTTCAGATACAGGAATGTCATCTTTCTCATTAGCTAAACATTCCTTCAGCTCTTCTCGTAGTGTCTCAACCTGTCGTTTGCTCTTGAAGATCTGCTCATTGACAGCTCCTAGCTCGTCTTGGAGATTAGCAATTTCTTCTCTCTCAGCACGCAGATCATTCTGCAATGCCTTGTTTTTCTTCATCAAGGCAGCCTCACGCGACTTGCACTCCTCCACTTCCTCCTCGAGCTTTGAAATCTTGCCCTGTAACGAAAGCTCCACACTTCGCCAGTTGTCCTGAGAATGAGAGTGCTGCGAGTTGAGATTCTCAATCTGGTTAAGCAGTTTAGCAGTATTCTCATCCGAGTTGCGGGCAGTAGCCTCTTCGTTCAGCCCTCTGTAGTGCTCTACACGTGTCTCGAGACGAGAGATTTCGAGCTTGAGATCAGCAATCAACGTCTGGGATGACAGAGAGGATGTGTTCAGAGTGTTTTTCAGCTGGTCGTGGGTCTCCTGAAGAGTCGTATGGGATGCCTGAAGGGTCTCTCGAGATCTTTGCAGTGTATCACGAGACTTTTTCACCTCCTCTAGATCATTGGATAGCTCTGAATTTTCCTTCTTTAAGGCGTCGCGAGACTTCTTGAGGTCCTCCAGCTCCACCCTCAACTCGGGATTGTCCAACTTCCCCGATTGTGAGACGTTCTTCTTCAGAATTTTCACCTCCTCCTTCAGACTCATCAACTCAGATTCCTTGCTCCTCAGTTTCTCCTTGACAGTCCCCAGCTCCTTGTCTTGTCGCGCTTTAATCTTGTCAAATCCCTCCTGCAAAGTCTCACCCTGCTTGACCTTGACCCGGAGCTTCTTTATCGTGTTCATGTAAGTAAGTTCTTTCTTAGACAGGTTTGTGCCCTCCTCAATAAGCAAAGCAATTTGCTTGTCCTTCTCCGCGAGTTTCTTGGCGCTTGCAGGGCTGTTTTTGGTCCGCTCAGCCTCCAGTCCTGCCAGAAGTACCACCTTGTTTTGCAACGAGTCAAGCTGTTCAGCCATTGTCGCGTTTTCGGTCTGGATCTTCGAAAGTAGGTCCGAATCTACAACAGATACAGACTCAGATACAAGCTCCTTAGCTCCCCTGGATTCTGGGGGCATAGACGTGTTCGAATCAGTTGGCGGGGTATCCAGTTTATCCACGTCCTCTGCTCCCTTGGCGTCGTCCTTGATGCTGACAGAGTCTGAGTCCGTCTCACGCTCCAATTCACCGGAGCTCCTTGGACTCGCACTCACGGCCCCTCTCAATCTCTCTTGCATACTCAGTCGCGGAGAGGGGGTTGCTTTCACATCTTTGGTTAGATCTGGAGTGCTGCTTGGCTGTGGGCTTTGGAGTTGGGAGCTCTGAGAGCCCTGTGACGTTTCCTCAAGCAATTGGTCGAACCTGCTCTCCGCAGTCGCCACCGCCTTCTTCAGGTACGACGTCCACTCTGTCGACATTAATGTGTGTGTTGAGTTATTACAAGTCCATCCATGTTTGGTACTACGTATTGAGTTTGGATAAGGTGCAGGGTTAGGTATACCCAAAATGAGTCCCCACTTTTGGGCTTACATAATCAATATGAGTAGCCCGTTAAAACAAGTTCAGCAAGAACGTCGCCACTCGAAGTACATACTAGGCTGTACTGTGTATTAACACTTGTACGTAGAACATGTACAACTTGTACAAGTAACAGCAAGAAATAATTTCCAAAAGACCATCTCATCGCGTAACATCATCACCCTCCCAAAAGCTTGATCATTATCAGAGAGGGTTCTGTACACTGATACGAGGTGTGCTTAGTGTTGTCGAGAGCTGCAAGGGTTCGTAACATTTCAAGAACAGTTTCACAAACAGCCGCCCCCAGGTTCATGTTAACAATACGGCCCCAAGATCTCCACAACATTCCCTATACTTCTATTGAGGCTTCTCGAATAGCCCATTTGGTTGTCTCCATGTAACTAGTTACACAGCAACAAGGTTTAGTTTAACAAAGAACATGGCTAAAATAGTTTAACTAAACTTCGGGCCACACCTGGGCGGGGTATATAAAAAAAGGGAAAATAGTGGGCCATGATGAGGATGTCAACAGTGGTGATGGAGAGAACGCATCGAACAAAAACAGGACGTATCAAATAGACAGAATCCGAGAAGAAGATGGAGATTTATTAAGAAGTCGAAGGTTTCTAGATATCATCAGATTTGTAAATGTTCAGAACTTTCCCCGCGTCGTTTCCACATATTCCCCAATTCTCTGCCTGCCTCACCACCAGCCCCAATTACAAGTGTAGTTGTCTAAAGATATATTTAAAGACCAGGGAGGAAACATGTTACTGTAGATGGAACGTCACGCGATAAAAATGACCATATCACAGCGGCCAGTTTTGAAGATCGATACCTCATGTTTCACTACAACATCCATAGAGCAGAGCAAGCTGGACACGCCGCCAAAGACACCCACAGGACCTATCATGTTTGCCACCTCTACGGCGCCCACTACACCCACGACGCCTACACAGCAGACTACACTATATGCGATTCCACAGCCCACTTGGGCACCGCTGAGAGTCTCAAATCGTGTTCCAATCTATCTGTCTCGCCTTAACCCATCACCACCACCCCCATTTCAGTTGTACCACCCACAAACAGGTCGAAATTGACAGTACCGGCATTTGTTCATGCTGTCTGCATCCACACCGATAGCCGCCCGCTGACCATGCCAGAAGGGCAGTGTCTCAGACATGACCCGCTTGAGCTCCTTGTAGTCAACAGGGGCTTGAACCACGGCAAAAGACTGTCGTTGGGTGTAATCCGAGAGTGGGTAGAGATCCTGGTACTCCTCAGGCACTCGATCTTCCGATCGCTTCACGTACTCTACAGACACGGTTTTCGCTAGAGACCGGGGCTTAGGCAGCTCGTCGCCAATCAGCTTGATCAACCCAGATATCGAAGTCGGGATTGTGTCGGCTGGTCCACTCTGACCCTCATAAGCCGCAGAAAACTCAGACCGCACATCTGTATCAATGCAAATGTCGTCTCGCAGATACTCGCCCATAGTGGCGTCAATATCACGACACATGTCACTGAACAAGTAGTGATACAGCATTGTCTGGTGAATGTGTGACGTCATCTGGGGCTCCTCAGGGACCGAACGACGATATGTGGTCTTCATATCACAAATGTTGAGCTTCTTGTTCCTCCAATAAATCAAATCCATAATTCCAAACAGACGTGTATTTTTGTAGTTGCCAAAGACCGGGATCTCACGAGCCATAAATGTGGGGCTCATCTCAAGTTCATTGACCGCTGGAGCAGAATCGGTTCTCAACATGCTGAGCTTCAGGTACATGTTCATCAGCTTCTGGTACCACTCCTCTGTGGGAGTTGTAGCTGGAGGGACAGGTAAAGACACCTCTGTAGCCTCGTACAGACTATATTCAGCCATGTTGTGGACTTGAGCTCCCCTTTCCATAGCATTAGTGGGTTTTTCTTCCTCCACAGCCACTTCTGCCAGCTCATACAACGTGCGCACTTCACAGAAGGGGGCACTAGCTGCTGTCACACTGACCCTGTTGCTGCCTGGATTCTTTAGCGCCTTGAGCTGCAGTGGCGAAATACGCAGATATCCCTCTTCAGTTTTCTCTTCCGCCATTAAAGGAAACAGTCCGCTCCTATCCCTCTGGAGCCATGGCCTGTTTCTGAAATCATATGATTCCAGCCGATCTCCGTACTTGGGGAGGCTTGGAGCGGCCACCCCTGGGCTTGATTTGCCCCACACGCGACCAAAAGACCCTCCACTTCTAACAAATCCACTCATGGGCAGATATCACGTTGTTTTGATGTCGATTTTTTCTTGCGTCTTAGTTTCCAACTCCGCTCAGTCGTTGCGCCACCAGAGAAGAAAATGCACAGGAACCGAGAAAACCAAGCAGGTAATAGAACGCCTTTCGTGAATACTCTCGCTCTTCCTCGTCGGTTCGAAAAGACGCAAAAATTCGTCGGATATTGATGAGAGCCATTAAGTCGGGTGCTGATGCGATTGATGTGGCCCGCCGTTCTGATGAATCTTATTTGGACCAGTGCAGATTAAAATTGTTTATTGCGGCGCCTTAGGGTTCACCGGTTTAGGCACACTCTGGGATGAAGGACAATTGCGGCAATCTGAGAAGCAAAAAAAAAGGAGTATATATATAAAAATAGAGACTCTGACATCCTATTCCAATATACAAATATATTATGTATATCTTAACGTCTGCTGGGCACTACTTGAATTCGTCCTCTTCCATAACAATGTCTTCCACCACCACGCCATCCTCCAAAGGGTCAACCTCCTTGTCTTCACCTTTAGGGCTGAAGCTGATGAGCTCCATGTGAATCTGTCGACGTTGGCTCGCCAGAATTACAACCTTTTCCTCCTTGAATGCCACCCGCCACACCGAGTCAAACGCCTGGCTGAGATCTCGAATGTACTGACCTGATGCCATGTCCCACACTCGCACACGCCCATCAGAGCCTCCAGACACAATTCTGTTGTCAGAGAACTGCAACGAGGTCACAGACCCATCGTGTGCAGCAAGTCGCTGAGTGCAAGCTCCTTGTTCGAGATCCCACACCCTGATGGCACCGTCTGAGCCACCAGTGACCAGCGTGTTGTCCTTCATCTGCAGCTGCCCGACCAGAGAGGTGTGTCCCTGCAACACAAATATCAGATTTCCTGTGGCGGCGTCCCAGATACGCACACTGGTGTCCAGAGAGCCCGTTGCAATACGCTTTCCATCAAACGCGAGCGAGTAAATCTGCGAGTAGTGGCCCTCGAGTGTGTGCAGACACTCGCCTGTAGAGATTCGCCACACCTTGGCCTTGAAATCGTAGCTTCCTGAAACACAGATGTCACCCACCACCTCGATGCATCGTACCGATAGGTCGTGACCAATCAACTCACGAAGGCACACACCAGATCGGATGTCCCACACACGTAACGTGTTGTCACGTGAACCAGAAATGGCTGTTCGCTCGTCCACCATCTTGAGGCATCTTACCGTTGACGAATGTCCCCGTAGAATCTGCAAACACTCGCCGGTCTTGAGATTCCACACTCGTACATCTCTGTCACATCCTCCACTGACGAGCGTATCTCCCAGAACTGTGATAGCCCACACTCCCATGACGTGACCGAACAGCGTGTGTATCAAACGGCCGTCTTCGGCAAAGACGTAGATGCGCGAGTTGTCCAGCGCAACCACAATGTATCGACCATTCATCTCCAGAGATGTAACCACAGCCTGGTCAGACGTCACATGTTTCGCTGCGAGTCTTCCTCCCTTGTTACATGCAGCATCTACTAAGTACTGGTGTTTAAAGTGCGACCGGTAGCTCAGAGGAACCTGTCGAAGTGGCTCAGGATCGTACATGGACTCGAGCACGTTGGAGTCCACCTCCATATTCTCCGGCACGTTGGGTATACTAGCAAGACGACTGCTCTGCCTGTAAGTGATGCGTTGAGCGGCACTGAGACGTCTGTACTGGTGTCGTTCACACAGGGTTTTCCACGTCTGGTCGTCGCTCAGAATCAGATGCCACAGCCGACTGACCTGACTTGCCTTACCGAGTGTCTTAGGGTCGTCAACGTAGCTGAGGATTCGCAGCGAAATCTCATAGGGTAGCATTCTGAAGGGGTCTCGCTTCAGCAGAGGAACAACGGCCTCGCTGAGATACGACAGTTCCTGGTGGTGCGATTTGGAAAGAATGTGATCAAAGAAGCGCTGCTTGTGTTCATGCGACAGTCGAGAGTAGACTTTGTCAAAGGTTGTAATGAGTTGTCGTAGTCCGTCACCTGGCGTGTTCGTCGACCGTGACTCGCCGTTTTGTGACACTCGGTATGACGGTGTAGGCGAAGGTGCTGGGGTCGGTGGGGACGCCGCGTCGAAGTCTGCAGTGGGGGTAACTGCTCTGTCTCGACCTAGATAGGCCGAAGTGGGTGCAATGAGCATCTTTTTCGATTTTGGCATTGCGGTGTGGGTGCTGGGGAGGGATTTATGAGGTTTTGATGTTGTCGTGATGTCAAAAGAAAGTGATAGCGTAGACCAGGAAGATAGAGTTTAGGTGGAGGTCGCCAATGTGTGGTTGCGATGTGGTAGAAAAGTGAGATCGCAGTGGCTGTCGGACTAAAAAGTTAGGATGATGCTGCTGGCGTGTTGTGCTTTGTGTCCGGTCGGCTTTTCACTGACCATATTATATTACTGTAGCCTTTTTCGCTTGCCTCGTATCGGTCTCTCTGACCCGTATGTGCCTTGCCATTGTTGCACAACTTGCACTTACAGGATGTGCACTACTGCATTGTCACTGTTACACCGCGCTAAGATGCCACACCACATACCGTTTTCAGCCAGGAGCCGGATATGACTTATGCCGTCAATCTCACCTGTCCTCATATATCTCGCACATTTCCCATCTTCACGCACATCACACACTCTTCCGGTCTCATTTCCGCCCCGAACCTAGTCTGAGTTTGAAAACGCCACTAAGGTTGGTATATTCGCCGGATTTGGAGACGCCCAAAAAAACGAGTGTGCAAGGTCAGGCGGATAATATATTATTGCGGAAAAATGCGCGTAAAAAAGATACTGCTTACACTCTTTTTATGGATGTTTTTCCCGATTTTTGATTCCACAGCCTGATGTTACCATAGCATTAGCGTGGGCCAGCCCATGTGGGAAATTGCACCTCTGGAGGCAGGGGCCACCCCAAGCAGCAAACTCCACTTGTGGGCTGCATGGTCCAATGTGGGGTGATACTGAAGGTTCTGACTAAGCACACGTGATGGTGAAATTACACACGAATAAATGAAAATAAATGCCGGATTAAACATGCCCCTCTCGCCCTTAATTGTGTCACTCCTAATAGTCCCCCTAAATACATTTATTATCTCAGAAATGAGGCACCACCCGATTATGGGGTCTCCGCACACGTTGTCAGGCTTCTGCTCACTCAAACCACCACCAACATCACCAAGAACCATATTGCACCGTGACAAACCAGATTTATCTGTAACCATGGCACAGAGTTGTTCTACAATCGATGCATGCAAGCGTTTAACAATACGATTGTCCGAATTTACAATTCTTTTCAGGAAAGGCAATCAAATGGAACGAATTAAATGACATGAAACGAAATTATCTCAAAATATTATAATAATACGACTGCCAATGTTTGCAATCTCCCCCACCTAGACAGAAACCCCTCAGTCCTACTGTGACGTGTGTGCTAACGTTGGTCTCAAGCCAGTAGGGTATTTTTTTTCAGCTACGAAACCAGACTAAACGGAGTCATAACCTCGTTCAGCGTACTGTAGCTGGAAAGTACTCTTAACCTATGCTTTTCATCATAACCTGATCTGAAGTCTAAATTTTGAAATTTTGAAACCACCGAAAAATTACTGACTGACATGTCTGACATTGAAGATCTCGCCTCCGGAGGCCTTTTTGACGAGCCCAAGGACTTTTACAAGCCCGAGGAGCAGCCTGGCAGCGACAGTTATGCCCGTCAAGAAAAACACGTGGCTGCCTCCGAGTACAAAGAGCCCACCAACTTCAACTTGCGTCTTACCGCTAAGAACCCTCTGTGGGGTCACTTGCTGTGGAATGCTGGCAAGGTGACTTCTGACTACCTTGATGAGCACTCCAAGGAGCTGGTTGAGGGTAAGAAGGTCATTGAGTTCGGAGCTGGAGCCGGACTACCGTCTCTTCTGTGCCACGCCGTTGGTGCTAAGCAGGTTGTGATCACTGACTACCCTGATGCTGACCTGCTTTACAACCTCAAATACAACGTTGACCAGCTGAAGAAGGACTGGGATGCCAAGAATGCCGACTTCTCTGGCCCTTCCCCTTGCGCTGACGTCTCATCCATGAAGGTCGAAGGTTTCATTTGGGGAAACGATGCTTCTGAGCTCATTGAGATGTCGGGTGGCACTGGTTACGACCTGGTCATTCTTTCAGATGTCGTCTTCAACCACTCTGAGCATGCTAAGCTTGTGCGATCTGCCAAGGAGCTGTTGGCCCCCGGAGGAAAGGTGTTCGTTGTGTTCACTCCCCACAGAGCCAAGCTCTTCAACGAGGATCTGGACTTTTTCCGACGAGCAAAGGATGAAGCTGGATTTGAGAGCGAGAAACTGTTTGAGCTCAAGTACTACCCTATGTTCGAGGAGGAGGAGGAGACCAAGGAGCTGCGATCAATGGTGTTTGGCTACATGCTGACCCTGAAGGAGTAACAAGTAGAAAAATGCATGGGAATGGATTAGGGCGTATGGGCGTACATTTTTTTTTTTCATTGTAATGTTCGTTTCTTGCAGTCTTGGTGATCGTTCTGGTCGAAAGATCAATATAAATCTCCTTTGTAATCAACTTTTTGTGCACACACACAGAATGTCAATATAAGCTCAACATGATGATATTCACCTAAACAACCACCATCGCTGTCTGCTACTCATTGCTAACTGTCGCTGAAAATGTCGCTAAAACCTGACCCAGTTGTGATATCCATCGAAGAAAACACCTCAAATGTTACCGTCGGCTCAACCAATCGCCAAACCCAAGATTCCCCCTTCTCAAGATCCCCAAACAACTCCACAGATACCTCCACGTCAACTATGGATACCGAAGAAGTGATCGACGTATCTACAAATGTGGCTGCCATGATAGCCCCACAGGCAGCCATCTCTAACGAGAGCAGCCAGTATAACAGCCAGAGTCAAAACGATGATACCACAACGTTGCCTAATGCCAAGGAGGTCGTTGCAGGATACCGACAACTGACACCCCAGACAGCTGCAGATTACACATACATGATGGGGTGGGTGGGTGCAGGAGTCTCTGGCCCAGTGGCCCTACATGGAGCCCAATATGAGGGACGCAAGCGAAGTTTCTCCAAAGTGGACAACGGCCTTGAGCTATACATGGCTTCACATGAGATTAGTGACCAAATTGAAACGGAGTCATCACGCTCTGAATCTCCTGAACAAATTGATGGAGGTGAGATCCGAAACAAGTTCATTCCAAGCGCTATTGGTCCCTTCAACCCTGTATTCGATACCTCGTCCCCTCGGATGCCGGTTTTTGAGACACCAACACTCACTCCGTTGACACCTCAACAGGCAGAAATGGAGAGTAAGCATATCCCACGACGACTAAATCGTGGAAGATCCCATCATGGATACGTTCCAGGAGCTGTTCATCCCTATTCTAGAGCTCCAATTGCTGGACAGACCCGAGAAAGATCACCCACACCCGATTTTGATACTGCCAGACCCCAAACAGATGCCCCGATAACGAAAGGGGAAACAAAGAACTGGTGGGACCAGTTTTTGTACACCTGGTGTTGCTGGCCCGAAGGTGACGACCTATGAAGAAGAAATGTGGGAAGAATGGGAAAAGTGAACGAATTCATCAAAATCCATAGCGCTGATACTTACTTCGAGAACCAATACATTTGTGATGTAATAAACCATTGTTCTACTGTTGAAAGGTTGTTTTTTCCAAGATCCGCGTAGCAAATTTGTGCTCTCTGCCTCCAGTTCACCTGGCTGTTATACATACGGTTCTACGTTACATCATCAATATATATATATACAAATTAGTAATAATGGAAGTTATAAATGGTACTGTACAGTCAATGTCAACATCAAGTCAGGATACCGGCGTCCTGGAGAGCGTTCTGCAGGATGGTCTCTTTGATGGCAGCAAACACCAGTCGAATGTTGGAGGTGTCAGTGGCCTGAGTCAAATGAGGGTATATGTTGAGTCCAGCCCGGTTCATTTGGGTAAAACGCCACAAGATGTACTTGGCACCCTTGTTGATGTCGTTTCCGCCCATGTAATCAGGGAACTGGTTCTCTAGGGGCGAAAGAGGAAGTTTTTCGGTGAAGACATCAATCTTGTTCAGGAAGAGAACGACAGAAGTTCGTACAAACCAACGTGAGTTGATGATCGAGTCGAACAGAACCAACGATTCGTTCATTCTGTTCTCCTTCTTTTCCTCCAACAGAACCTGGTCGTACTCGGACAGAGCCACACAGAAGATGATCAAGGTGACATTCTCAAAGCAGTGAATCCATTTTTTTCGTTCTGACCGTTGTCCTCCCACATCGTACATGTGAATCAAATGCGAGCCCAGTCGGAATTTGGTCTCATAGATACCAGTAGTTTTTATTCGGGCTCGCAGAATATCGTCCTGAGTGGGTATGTACTGGGCTCCTCCGAGACGCTGTAGGTTGTGGAAAAAGTAGGGGCCCGAGTCCATCAGGTAGAACTGGTTTCGCAGACCCTTGAGAAGCTTCTCCTGCACGACCGCAGTCTTCCACAGTGCATCCAAAGCATCCACCAGCTCTGGGCTCAGGCTGGTGTTGTTATCATTGGGGTTGGGGGTGTCCAAGATGATCTGGAACTGCTCCACGCCTCCTCTACCACCTGTGTAGACTGGGTGCTCTGCCTCATTGACCTTGTCTTCCACAAAGTCAAAATCGTTGGCCTCCATGGCCTCTGTCTTGTTGCTGTGGCCAACCTCGGCAGCAAGCTCCTCCTGCAGTCCAAACTTATCAACGGCGGCCAGCAGAGCCCGACCGCAATCCAACAGGTTCTTATAGATGGTGCTCTTGAACAGATAGAGCTCGGAGTCTGTGTAGCCATTCTGGTGGATGATTTTCATCTGCTTGATGATGGTGGACTTTCCGGACTCTCCGGAACCCAGCAGAAGCGTCTTCACTTCCTTCTCTTCATCTGGCGTGTTGGCGGTGTCGTTAGTGGCGTCGTTTGCACCAGCTCTGGCCTTTGGTGCGCTGTTCGGGGTTGTAGTTGTGTTGTTGGCCGTGCTGGTTGCGTTTGCATTTGCGGTGGCGGCGGAATTCGTGTTTGCTGTCGAATTTGACGCCGTATTAGCTGGTTTCGCCTTCCCTGCCGTTGCGGAGGGTCCGCTAGGTCCAGGCTTGACCTCCTTCGAACTCGTGCATCCCATGGCGTCTTGTGGAGTGTCTTGCGTATTAGTGTGCGGCTGGCGTTATTTGTCGGGCGAATTAATGCGTGTGGGTGTATATGAAGCTCGTAGTGTCCGTATCACGTATCTGAAGATTGATCCAACCACCCCAATGACCTCCTTATCCTCGAGTGGTGATGTCAGGTAGGGAATAGTATTATGTACACAAAAGCAATCCCTATCTGTTTTGGTCCCAACGGAGCTTAATTGGACCACTCCCAAAAAAAGTGCACCTCAAAAACACAAAAAGCCAAAAATGAGGCCCCACTAAGTTTGGAATAGGGGCCCAAAACAACATATCAGCTTACAAATGATTTTCAAGTGAGTTTTGCAGAAGGAGACGAGGACATAAATCTGACCCCAAATAAGCCAAGAAATACCAACAACCCAAGAAAGCGGCAAAGACACGCATCCGCCTTTGCGTTTCGCGGACCTCGAACACGAACGACAGTGTTTTGCACAGCCCTATCGCGAGCCTCGTCCCATGTTTCGGAGATAGGAATGGAGAATTTAAGGTTGTAAGAAAACTCCACACAACCTCCGATACCTCGAGATTCTGAGCTTGGTAACTACATACATCCAAGCAAGGCGTGACTTTTGAACCCAGAATATCTGATTTCGTTGGTACCTAATCTCCTGAGGGTCATTTCCGGGGTCCGTGTCGGCGCCGTTATTATTTTTATACGCGAGTCTATTTCTAATATAGTCATTTATTATTACTTTGACACCACCAGCGCGCCAGTTGTACGCCCCATAGCGTGATAATGTCAGACAGACTAATTCTCACGCCCACATCATACTTGCCACCTCTTAAACACATAGATGTGAACAAGTAATTGCGAATACAGTACAGTACAGTACTTTATGATTAATGACTCTCTTGTAGAGGGGGACAACCGTGCCGTGTCATTGCATTTTCAAGTCATCCGTAACAAGGTTCCAAGTCACGAGAAACCATGCACACTCCATTAATCACGTGATTTGAAAAATTCCACCTGCATCCCCCATGTGCCTCGGTTATTGGTCAATATGGACAAGGGCAATATGGTGAATAGGGGCATGACAATGAGAAGTAAAGTGGTGGTGCTTAAACCACGTGACTACTCGATGTGTTTTTTTCGTTATGGGGGGTTTTCTGCTGTCTAAAATCTCCGGTCTTGGGCGGAAAAACTTCAACTGTACAAGGGACATTGGTGAGTCCGGGCAGAATGAATGGTTCGTTGTCTTTTACTGCCGGATGGACGGTTGTTGCCAAGAGATTACAATTGCACCTATACATACCTGCGGCTCATTGTATGTGCAGTATGTACTACAGGTAGTGGCTGGAGTTGTGGCTCAATCGTGAAGGTCTTTTGATGTCATTTTGCAGGTGCTTGTAGCTGTGAATCAGTAACTTGAAGTTTCACCCGTTTCTCCAATCAATGATGAAAGTGAGAGAGTAATGGCACTCTTACACCTTGCTGCATGTAGTGTATCTTGAGTGAAGGCAGTTACACAGGACAGCGTAGACAGTCCAACTCTTGCCTGGCCTGTGTCCTTCTGCATAACAAGTGGTACGCTGATTGGCGCAGTCTTTCTTTCTTCTACTTATGGTACGAGTACGAATACGGCGGCATCTGTTTGTGCATGCACTTGGACCCTACAGAACAGACATGGATGGTAGCAGCAGTTAGAGCGAGAGAGAGAGAGAGAGAGAGAGAGAGAGATGGACAATAGATTGGTACAGTAGCTACTGGGAGAGGTGTAGAACACAGGCCAGAAAAACGTACATTCCATGCAAAGTGGAATCGAGGCTGAACAAGTTACCTATTGGTCCCTTGTATGTATAAGTACCTTTTGGAACCAAAAATCACATTCGTATCTGTTTTTGCCGAGCAGACGTCAAAAGACCCTACAAGTAGGGGTCTCTCCAGTCTTATATGTACAACAAAGTACGAAAAATCAACTTCAATATTTGCGGGAGACAGCTACTGTGCAAACTGGCGTCTCTACCTGTCTTTCTGGGAAGTTCTTCAATTGGAAGGGACAGCTTTAGCCGGTCTTCCGAGGTCCCTACAGTACAGTACAGTACAAGTACCAGTTGTCTTTAGTTGTGTAATTCCGAAACTACCGAGGCCGAAGCAGAACTTGCTCAGCCCACAGAAAATCCGTGTCATAACGACAGCAACCTGTTGCACTTTCTTCAATCAGCCCTTCCAGCACGACTGACAGGGGATGCCTCGGAACCTTGAAAATGTTCGTCACCAAAAGCAGACTTGAACCATGAGAAACTCGGAAACAGACGACAAGTTAAAGGAAAGGAATTGCTCCTTTTGTACAATGTAAAGACATGTCCAGTTCCTGGAAGTACAAAGTCATCCATTCTCCGCAAGATATACAGCCATAACAGTTCACATGTGTGCCTGAAACCAACACAAAGAAACTGGAGCACGAATCAAAATCATGAACAGACCTGCAGAAAGTGTCGTACCAACTGCACACAATGCCTCGACTGAAAATGACGACAGATTTTTTTTTTGTTTCAGTAGCATCTGTCCACTTACTGCACTCAGACTCACGGTCAAGGCATCATTTAGGGCTTGAGAAACGTCACCGGCTAACGCCAATTGTCTCACTTGTTGCCGTGCCAATTGTCGTTTTTGTCTTCGACTTTCCCGTTATAAATATCAATCAATTATACGACATGAAATGACATCAATTAAAAACCTTGACCTGATATATTGCTCAAATCAATACAGTGTCCATGGTGCCTCGGTGTGTGCGGAGGTTCAGATATAGCCCTAGCTCGCGTTGTGAACAATAAAATAAATACAATAACAATTACTATTTACTTGAATTGGTGCGTGGTGGACATTGGTCCATTGGCTCTGATGTTAGACTTGTTAGAAGAAGCAGTAAAAAGAAAGAAACCTGAATGATGCAAGTACACTTGTAGAGGAGAGAGAAAAAGCTGCAGGGTGAGAGAGAGAGGGATACTGTTGAAAAAACAACAGAGAGACAAGGAACAAATATGAAGTCTGTGCGCGGGGAATGTGTGAGAGGGGAGACACGAGTGCCAGATAATGACACAGCAATGTGGCATCCATTCTGTGATTGAGTTGGGCTGAGAGATGCTAATTAGCTGAGTGACAAAAACAAAAACAAAAACAAAAAAAAGCGAGAGAAATGAATAGGAGAGGTCTTTCTAGACAAAGGAAAAAAAAAAAAAAAGAAGAAGAAGAAGAAGAAGGGGAAAAACAAAAGGAAGGAGGGAAGCAAAATGTGGGGAGGTCATTTCAAAAAGGAGTCACACGGTGTCAAGCACAGAATATCACCAAACGTCAGACACAAGAATGGGCACACAATTTCGGCGTACACACAATAAACAATAACAAACATTCATGTTGGTGAGGAACAAAATCCAGTCCACACAGATACTCACTTTTGGGGGTTGGTTGGGCCATGTTGAATAGGCACCGTTAATGGCAAGTTAGTCTCCCTCAAAGGGCTGAAACTCGTTCTGAGGGGATAGGTTGTAGTAGTTTTGGTATGCCGAGTAGAATTGTTGGGTGGAAGGCGGCTGCCCAGCTTGCGCGGCGTGGGCTGCCTCGGGAACCAATGGGCGCGTCTGCGGCGTTTGATATGGTGAAGTCACGGGGCTGCTGATTGAAGACACAGATGTGAGGCTCTGATTGTTGGGTGACCCGGAAGAGATTGATGGTGACAACGAGGTTGTTGATTTCGATGTTGGCGGTTGTGGCGGTGGTAAATATGACTGCTGTGACTGTTGAAATGTGTATGGCGAGTTTGTGGCACCCGAAGATGTAGAGGTCGTTGTTGTAGGCGCATATGTGGAATTGACGGCAGTTGCTGTGTAACTTGGGGTTGACGATGTCGCCACATAGTTTGGGGCACCTGCCGTCACATAGCTCGGTACTGACCCGTAGCTCGGTCTTTTCGCATTTGGCATGCCTCGGCCGTGGGGTGAAGAAGAAGCCGCTGTTGCACCCGGTCTGTCATTCGAGGTGGGGGTTGTGGCGTTAGCTCTATCATGGGCTTCACTGATACTATCCAACATGCCGTTGTTACGCGGTCGTTTTGTGCCTGGGGATAGCATGCACCCAGCCGCTTGGGTGGTCACCACCACCTCGGCTTTGACGTCGCCACGTTCCGCTTGCGGGGCCGGTCGTAGTCTCATGTTGGCCCAGCGGCAATAATTCATAAACATGCGCAGATGAGAGTCAAACTCCTGTCGTTCAGTGCCCAAAAAATATGGCGTCCAGCACACTCGCTTGTTGAGACTGTCAGTGTACTCGTAGGGGGAATATACGCGCATGTTTGCTGAGGTCTGTGTTTTGGGACACGTGTCGCGGGGCGTGCGAGGCTGGGTCGGGATGGCGACAGTCGCAATATCGTGAGACGCAGAGGAGTTGTTGTTAGACCCTTTCCCGCCATTGGTGCCGCTGCCATTCCGACCCCCGTTGCTTCCGTTGCCGTTGCTACCCTCCACAGGTCCAGCCCACTCGGGATAGAAAGGCACCGCTATCTGCTGAAGGTCGTTGCTACCGTCGTTATGGCCATTGGGGCCGTAGAAGACATATTTCGAGGAGTCCTCAATCGCCGCCAAATTGTCCGAGTACCAGGCCTGCCACACGCCAATGGGATGCGCTTCGGTGGTATAGACGGGGGTGGGTATCATGGTGCCATGGGTGCTGAAGAAGAAAGGAGAGATGGGTGAAGGCGAGGCTGCGGAGACAATAATCTGGGTGTACAGAGCCTGTTGCAGCTTGCGGGAGAGCGTGAGTGGTGGTGCCGCCAAAGGGGCACATACTGCAAGGCTGCACCTACATGCAGCTACATGTGTGCATCTGCAATTGGAACAGAAGAACAAAGACACAAGATATGTCAACAAAGTTAAACTCTCACCGAACGTTGAGCTAGTCCTAAATCCGGAAACCCTAAGTATAATATCGACAGAATACAGAGTGAGGCTCGGGGCCGCACACAAACTCTCATGGACTTGCAACAGATGAAACTGATGCAGGCCGCGAAATGAGGACTTTGGCGTTTGGGATTTAGCCCTGAAAATGAGCGCTGCAGTCCTCACGCGAGCACAATGGCCTTGTCACGCAACATGGCCCATGCCATGCGCTGTAGGATCTCGAACAATGGGGTATGCAGAGTAACGGGGTCAAAAAAACGCATTGTATGGTGTGGTAGTGTGTGGTTGTTTTTTTTGGCAACCTTGGGCGTATGACTATAATGTCACGTGAATCTTTGTCTGCAGTCATTCGGCATGTGTAATGTGTACATCCGTGGAAGTCGGATCATTTCCTGACAGATGGAGGGGGATTGGGGGCAAGTATTTGGGAATCACGTGATTGTCGGCATCGGAGGTTTACAATCTTAGCCAGCTTTGTCGAGTGACTATGGGTACAATATTGTAACATACTGATACTGTATGGTGTTATACAAGAGTGGGGAGGTTAGAGGTACAACATTTGAGAACATTTGTCGACAAGAATGACAGCAATTTGGCAGATGGTCTTTCGGCTATGATTCTGTATGTAGTTTTTGTTTCGACTGCTGCCTTCAGGGTTTTGATATGAACTGGACAAGCATCGATACTTCGTACTTTTACTTGTATCGTACGTATGACGTGCGAGAGATGACGAGCTTGTGGATTGACAGTACCAGGGGTCTTTGTTTTCTCTAATACCAGATGATCCGAGTTAACACGGGAACTGGAGCTCTCTGCGCACCTGCGTTATTGCGCTAATAGAACCCTCATTCAGCTGCATCTTGTACAGGACAAGGATCTCTTTGGCCTGAATGGTGGGTCTGAGAGTTACAGCACTTGTACGATAGTGACATCGAATGATCTTTTAAACTACGAGGAGTTGTTGCGCCAATTCAACAGAGATCTTCAGCAAGGTCGTTCTTCATACCACAAAAGGACAAGAGCCAGTCAGTTGCATCAGTGCTCCATGATCAGCATAATATCACAGATTCGCAGATTCACTTTTGCGACACGGCGGCGGCTCAAATTCGGCACAGGTACGATATCGGCACAGTGCTCTAAAGCCGGCGGTATCGGTGCATGCCATCCTGGGATAATAAGATGCCGGTGAGCTTTTTGGATCGGTTAGGCGAGACAAATAAACGGGTATTTTCTGCTGTTTTGGTCGCACAATAGATGAAGGTCGTTCTCAGCGACTGTTGAATAGTAGGGCCAACGATAAGGGATTGATATACATTCCGTTCAATGCTGAAGTTGTCCAAAAGCACAAGAACCGGCATAATACAAGTACAATATACAGTATAACTGTCATAAACATCACAACTATAATATATTTATCATAAACATCATAATCATTTTACAGTAACTACAATTAGTTGGTACGTACTTGTAAATTACTTGAAACCAAGTAATACTAAGTACGTGCACCTATTGCATACCCATCAATAGAAACAACCTACTGGCCGTGAGGAACTTAACCCTAAAAGGTGCTTGATTAAATGCTCTCCAGTAATATATGTCGGGCTTCTCCACAGGGTTGCAGAGCAACTTCTAGAAGAAGTAACCAGAAAAAGCAAAAGACAGAGATCCAAGTCCGACTCGGCAAGCTTTTTTTACCCTCCCAACGTTTATATTTTTCTCCTAAAACCGCCCCTTCAGCCCTCAACTCCCCCAACGTGAGTTCATCATAGTCCAGGACAAAGAGCTCAATCTGCCATTGTGACCAATTTATTTGAGTTTTGGCTATCCTTTTTTCTTTTATTTCTACAGCATTCCGGCTGTCGGATGTCGTAACGTGATTTCGCTCCTACCTACAGTCGAAGGTCTGGGGATGACGACAACAAATCTCATTAGAGGAAATAATAAACGAAAACGCGATCCGACCAGACGCATCTGAAGCCGCGGAAGATGAGCACCCCCGCAGCATCGCCCCGCGAACTGAAGCCCCTCAAAGCTCAAAGCTCAAAGCTCAGCCTCGCCAGGCTTTATCTAGACGAGAAAAAACAATTTCGCAGTTAAAAACTTGAGTAAACACCGATATGGGGCTCAGGTGACAGAGAAGTTTAGAGTTTCAAGGCTCTCCATCACAAAACATCTGGAACAGCATGATTGGGGAGCTTCGGATGAGCCGGTGCCAAGACTTATCTCATGTGAATGCAATGGGTTGCTAAGGCTCACATGGCATCAACATCACATGCTTGTCAGATCTACTGTGACTCACTTGGTCGGTCGTGATGATACAATGATCGTTGTAACTGTACCAAGCATGCATTCCTGCATGCGTGGACCAAGGTTCAATGCGCTTATGCACGTTGATAAATATTATGGAACGTGGTGTTAGAGAGAGGGTAATTTTAAACAAAGGAACGGTCATCACGCTAATGTAGCATTAGTTTGAGACTACTGTAGTGGGGAGAGTATTTATGGCTGCAATACGAGTTTAGTACTGTAGCAGAAAGTTGAGGAACAAAGTCGTGATTTGAGTGGTTGTTTTTTTTCTCTCTATTTTAATTTTTTCTCTTTTTTATTTTTTTATTTTTTATTTTTTATTTTTTTTATTTTTTATAGTTACGTATCTCTCAAATCCATACCGAAACAAGTCCACAGCCGACTGATCTCCCCCCCCAATTGCTTCATGCAAAAGGGATCCCATACTGGCGCCTCGACGTAGGTTTTTCGCCGATAGTCACGTGATCTGAAGCTCCCTGGGGCTCCCTATTCTACGTCCAGTATGTACTTGTACGATACGATACTTGTACTTGTACGATACAACACCTTGTGAAAACTTCTACAGGTATTAAAAAAAAATTAAAAAAAAATATAAAAAAAAGACATCCTTCAAAGTCTCCAAGGTCGGCGCACATTTCTCTGTAACATTAGAAATACTCATACAAGGGCAAAGAACTGCTGTTCGGGGGAAAGTCCAAGAAGTTAATTACATTGAGGTCACGTGAGTTGATGTTGATGGTGTTGTTGCCCTCTTAGATCCTCTACTTCTTGTAGTTCTTTCAGTTCCTCTTTGATGGTTGTCTCTGTTATTTATTAATTTTTCTCTTTTTTCTCTTTTTTTTTACCCTTTTTTTACCCTTTTTTTACCTTTTTTACCCTTTTTTACCCTGTTCTTCCCGACCCCAAACCCTCGTCTCACTTTATTTCCCAAAACGCCCGAAATTTACAAATTAGCCGAGCGTGTTAGTCTTTCGGGTTTTGGCCCACCACCTAGCATTTTGTTGGGGAACATAGTCGATCCCACAATTAGAATTAATGGTTGCCGTTGGTCGCCCGTGAAAGAATCTACGAGCCGTCTATTAAAATTGCTTTTTGCAGAGAGCCTTGGGGGTTGTCCGTTTTCTAGTTAATTGTATTTCGATATATTTTTTTGCAGCCAGCTGTTGGCTTTTGGTTTTTCCCGTTTTTTTCCGAGTCGAGACAGCGGGCAAACGGCTGAAGGCCCCAGATGCAGAAATCCGCAGGGAAATGCCATCAATAACCATCGTGTGAGCATTTGAAAGTCCGGATGTTCCGCAGGGACTTCCATCGCTGAACCTCAAGGTCTGGAAGGCTGTGCAAACCGCCGCTACACTGTGACTGCTTGTAGGTGGAAAAAAAGAAATGCGACCCTGGAACTCAAACGTCCGGTAAATCGGATAGTAGTTTATGTCTATACCCTATACTGTAATTGTAGGAGGGGTTGCTATTGGGGGGGAAATGGGGAACATCTCACATTAGCTTGTGGAGTGCTGTGTCCACCAATGATCGACAATGGATATATCATGATTGACCTGAGGCTGGCTCAACAAGGGAAGCTGGGGGGCTGAGGCTTGTCAGTTGCCCCCGTTCCAATCTCTCTCTCTCTCTCTCCCTCCTGTTGCAAAGCCAAGAAACAATTGTGTTTGAAAAACACCCATCCGTTGGTTAACAGGCCCCAATCTTCTTGCTTTGCGCCCTCTCTCTCTTCGTTGGATTCCCGGCCCCTCTGCGGTTGGTTTTGCCCCCAAAGGCAGAAGACCTATTGAGCTTATTTTTAGGGTTGGCGGCTCCACTTCCGAATGTTTAAGTGACGCGGGAAAAGTCTAAGTACAAGACTCAGACCCAAAAATGAGGAGGGAAATGAGAGACATGTTTGTCAAAGACAAGCACAGTCGAGCCAAAGTGGCACGAAAAATGGAAAACCAGGGTAATGGAAACCCAGGGAAATGGAAACCCAGGGAAATGGAAACCCAGGGGAAATGGAAATATCAGAAAAATCGACAAACCAGACGAAATGACAAGACCACAAAACCAAAAGAATGGCAAACCACAAAAAACGGACCTTTCTGAATCCAATTGTAGAGTGTAAGACCAACAATAAATCGAGGGCAAGTTCCAAAGTACAACCTTCAACAACAAAGTAGTACATACCCTACTTCACAATATTGTACTTGTACTAACGCCAAATGGCACCACTGGACGGTGACTGGTGACTGGTGACCCACATAATAATGCAAGTGCTTTCATTTCATGTGGAAAACGAACCCTGGACGCTGTACGCTGGACGGACGTTGCATACCTTGCTTCGGTGCCTCGACATGACCACCCTTTGGTATGATTACAGTAACACTTTACTTTTGATTTAAAATGTGCACCAGACGTGGTAATTAAATCATAATAACATTCCTGAGAATCGGGAAAAGGACTCTCGTCTCAAAAGATGACAGATAACGGCCCCGATACTTCTGGGAAACGCTTGGCGAGGGCTCTCGGCCTCGGCTAGACTCTCTTTTGAACTGAATGACACCCACAATTTCACGGAGGTATAATGGCGTACATTATCTCCATCAAGGGTATGCCTATCGTATGCGAAGCGGTGCAATGGCAAGTTGTTGATTAGAAAACCAATTGAGGACATGCGACGTCATGTGTCGTGGTCGCAGAGTTCCAAGTCAACTCTTCCAAATATAGACCACTTTTCGGTGCAAGCATTCAATGGCCTGTTCGCTGCAAGTACTCGATTGCCTGTTCTTGTGGAACGTCAAGCGGAACCGGGGTATTAGTCATTGTGCTTTGGTCAGGTCGCTCTCGTAATCAGCTCCCCATATTTTCCCCGCCGCTCTTCAAGAGTGCAGCATTACAGAGAAACGAAGAGAGGCGACGCTACCGAGTTCGAAACATGGGGTGTGATACACCATTACTTCTGAAAGCAGCATGGCTCACGCTTTCCAAGGCATAAGACCGCTTGGGGATCGACAGGGGAATATCACGTGACACCGGCAAGTTTGACCTCAACTGTGCAGCTGGGAACGCAGCGAACACGCACCCTTATGCGCCCCGATTCCAGCCGTCATTTCGGAGACATTTCGGCCCGAATATGTGCGCAAAGGGAAAAAAGAAAAGGAGACCAGAGGAATCGAAAAAACGTCCAAAAAGGGCAAAACGACAACTCATCGCCTTTGCATGTGCATCTAGATTGCCGAGGCCACTCAGGGTTGCGTGGCTTTCCGAGCCGCAACACTACACTCTGTCCCGTGAGCACACCTGTGTGGAAGCCTGTCATCTTAGATTGGGTGCGCGATTTAATACTGCGGCGCAACGTGTTGTGTTGCATTACATTTCAACATTCATGTCGAAAATGTTTGCTCAACCCCTTCGTTCTGACACTGTTCCACCACCAACAGCAACTATCAACACAGTTTTTTTAGAATATGCCCTGAGACAAGTCGGAAATCCAAGACAGCATGATTCTACAGTAACCACACAGCTGTTTTGTTTTGCCTTTGTATATATAGACAAATAAAAAAACCATTCCTCCCCCCTGGTGTTTCATTTGGGGACCCACTGATGTTCATAAAATGCCAAGCCTCGAGAAGATCGTCATCTCTCGCGTAAAACTGATCGGCGGTTTCTGGAACATTTGGCATGTTCACTCCTGATGCATGCACAGTAGCAGTCTGTTTGTTGTGGCAGACGGACAAATGAGCGCTCTAAACAACTCCTGGTAAGATTGATCTAATTTCTATATACATTCAATAATAAATAACTGTCCAAACACAGATCTCACGCTTTGATCTGCTCCCGTGGTCGAGGCCGGTGTCTCTTGCCATTATCATCCTGAGACCCGCTTCCACCCCCTCCTCCATTGCTAGACCCATTAGCAGGCCCCTTGTTGTTGTTCTTCTTCTTATTAGGACGCCTGGAGCTCTTGCTGGGGGTTCCCCTGGGACCTCCTTCAGGACCCCGGCTCTCCTCCCCCTTGTTACGTGCAACTTCCGCATCCCACCACTTTTGGAACATCTCCTCCTGCTGAATTTCCTCAATTGTCTTAACATTCTTGGCCTTCTGTGTGCTTCGCTCCTGTCGTTCTCGAATTTCAGCAAGAGACAGAGCAGTAACAGGCTGCGAGGCGGCATAAAAGTCAGATGCAAAAGAAGAAGTGGCAGTAGCACTGGAATTGCCAACAGTGGAAATACCGACACCAACATTAGGGCCAGGAAGCCCTGCTCTTGATGGAGCTCTGGGTGGTGCTCTAGAAGGAGTCTTGGAAGGCGTCTTGGAAGATGCAGGACTTGAGGTGGACTCAAAAGGAGAGACACCAACAGGTGCCTTCTTCTTGACCTTCCAAGGGCCCTCGGCGGCTTGCTTTTCCTTCTCTTGAGCACGCATCAACGTCTCTTCTTGCTGCTGTTTCAGCAAACGTCGTCGCTCCTTCTGAGAAAGCTTGCTGGAAGGAGGTGTCACGGAAAAGAGATCCGAAAGTGCGGAGCCAGCACTCGTGGCGGAAGCGCTCGGGGCTGATGCGCCATTGGCGCTGCTATTGCCCCAGGTAGAGGCTGAACCAGCACTTCCAGGTGTGGCATTGGACACTCCAGCTCCCTTGCCCCAAGGGGTTGAAGAGCCACTGGGCGTTGCCGACGGTCCTGGACTGCCTCGGGGGTGACTTCCGGGTGTGGCGCCCGCAGCTCCCACAGATCCAGCTCCACCAGGGCTACCCAAACCACCTAGAGTGGGCCAGTAGACTGCATCAGAGTCTTTTTCAATCTGCTGTTTGAGATTGAACCGAATCTCTCCTGGTGTCAGAGGAACACCTGACGCTGCAGTCGCAAACGAAGATCGTCGCCGGTCACCAGAAGCGTGGTTAGGCGAAACCGACAGAGGTGATCCAGCCATGGGAGATTTCCCGAAAGGAGAGGAGCTGAACTGAGCAGTTCGAACGCTGCTGCCCGTCTTGACTTCTCTCCACTCACTATGACTGCATCTTCTATCGTCGTGTCGACTATCGTGACGTTTCCGTTGTTCGGCGGGGCATTCATCCAGCTCGAATTCAAACACGTCATCTGTCTGATTATGACCACGCAAGTCAGGAGAAGACATTGGTGAAATACTGGGACGAGTCTCTTCGCTCTTGGAGTTGCGATGGAGAGCAGCAAAAGACTGTCGATGAGGGGTGAGAGCAGCAGCAGCATCTGGAGCCTGAACAGACCCTGGGGCGACACGACAAAGAAGTTCATTATGTCCATCAAAATCGCTGAGAAAAGACTCCACCCAGCCAGATGGACGAGAAGCGAGTGCCAATGTCTTTGGCTTCACTTCCTCTTCCACCTCCTCCTGCTCAGCAGCATCTTCAGAAATGCCCTCTCCGAGCTGAGTGACACCCACAACAGCAGATGACTCAGGAACCTCTTTGAGCACAATCTCTCTGCCTGTCATCACGCGGTAGTGGTGGTCAATAGCACCAAAAAGCTCTCCATCAGCTAGGATTGCACCCAAGAAGCCTCCTTCAAGAAGACACTCCATGTTAACACAAATGTAGCTAAACATGAAGGTCATCAGCTTGTCACAGTTGTAAGCAGAGGCGAGGAAAAGCAGAGAAGCTGCGTTCTTGACTGTCACAAGCTCGCTCAGAATCAGCTCACAAAACTCCTTCAATGGTGTCAGAAGAAGCTCGTCGGCAGTACTCAGGAGCTGAGACACCGTGGCAATAAAATCCTTGCTTGACACTTTAGAACTGACTTGGTCAAACAGGGAATCCAAATTGTGAGTATACATGAACCTCAGACAAAGCCGTACAGACGCGGCCGGAAGATGGCATAAGTCAACCACAACCTTGGTATCGTCGCTCCATCGCTCCGACAAACAAGACTGGAAGAACTCACTCTGTTGAGTGAGGATGAACCGATGAGCATGTAGAATCTGTCCACCATCAACTTCAATGGCAACATCACCCGTATCGCTGGAAAACAGTTTCGCCATGTCCACAGGAAGCTGGTCCGCGGTCTCTCCAAAGGAAAGCTTGCAGACTAGAGACGAGAGTTCAAACTCCTTGGCAAGTGCCAGCAATTCGGCCTTGGCTTCAACGTACTCTCGCGGAATCGAACAACCTCCGCTTAGTGTCCAGACACTCAACACGTTGTCATTGTAAAGGTAGTGGTGTAAAATAACGAGAGTAAGGAGCGAACACTTGAGAGGACTGTTCTTCGCAACGGCCGCCTTCAGATTGCTTGATCGTAGCATGTAGCTATGGCAAGGTAGCTTGACAGTGGAGTTCTCACAAACCAGCTCACAGTCATAACCACGGTGCGGGTCACTCTTATTCATCTCGACGGCCTTGTACATGACAGTCTCTTCGAAGCGGTTCAGACCCATCATCTCAGCCTCCTCTTCAAGTCCGGTCCGCTGTGCAGTTCCACTCACCACACCCTCGAACGCTTCGACAAGCCAGTTCAGCGCGCCAAGGTTGGGCGAGTCCTCAAACTCCTCACTGCTCTCCTTGTCGCCATCGAGGGTGAAATATGCCATCTTGCGGTTGATGGCATGTCGCTCAGCAACATCGAACTCCAAAGACTCCATATCCACGTCGATGGCATCCACCTGAGTCGCATACCGCAAAGCAGCAAATGATCTGAAGAGGGGATCGCATGCAACCCTGTAAGCATTAGTCACCTTTGGAATACGCGAAAACTTGTACTCCTTCAAGGTGCCACCACCCAATCTGTTTTCCTTTCGTTCACGCTTCCAAGCAGAACCAGATGAAGTGCAGATTATCACTGAGCCATCGTCACCAACAGCAGCGTGGGTAGCCACCATGTAGTCCCTTCGAGGCACCCATAGAGCTGTAACGGGCATCTGTCGAGCCACGAGGGCAGGCTTGACATTGAGAAACCTCTGCAACGGAAGCTCGTAGACGTGTCCAAGAGAAGAAACGCAAATAGTGGGTCCTCCAGCCGAAGCGTACAGCTGTTGGGGTCTGTTCACCAGCAGCCGTGGCTTGAAAACATCAAACCCAGACTGACTTTCTTCTCTTGCTGTGCCACCTGGCGCAGGCAAAAAGACTCTGAAATGACCACCGTTCATGTACACCTGAATGTATGACTCGTCGATAATACAGGCCGTGTAGTAATCAGAGGCACAGACAGCCGAAATCTTTCCAGGCACAAGAGCCACCATGGTGGGGATTGCACAATCTTGCCCTGGTGCCATTCCTCCCATCTGGCCATTGTTAGCACCCCACACGTACATGTCTGAGGTGTTTTCACGCCAGCAAACAGTGTGGACGTTGGAACATGTAACGTGGGTGATGTGGGCTTTCTTGAGAGTCGGTCCGCCCACTCTTCTAGGTGATATCTGAAGTTGCTCCTCTCCTGTGGCTCCTCCTGTTGGGTAGCCTAACTGCGAGTCCCTGTTGCATCCCCAGGTGTAAACCACACCCTTGGCAGTGACACAAGCAGTGTGATCCTTTCCCACTCCTACAGACACGATTTTCTCCGACGCCAACGACGCCACCAATGTTGGTGTGAACTGGGTGGAAACATGGGGGCCCAAGCCCAGACGACCTCGAGAGCTCACGCCGCAAACGTACAAGTTTGCTGTCTCATCTGAGGTGAGAATTGCAGTGTGGTAGCCTCCAATGGCGCAATCCACCACCCGGACAGGTGCCAGGCTTGATCTGATGTCTGTAGTGGCTGGTCTTAGTACCTTGACGGTTTCGGGGGTCTGTCTGTCGTCTGAGTCCGGAAATCCCAACGTGTGGTTTGTGTTGGATCCGAAGCTGAAGTACTCGGAAGGCAGTCCTGGGTCGGTTGTGTGCCACTTGTGGTAGTAAAGAGCGGTTTCGAAAGCAGGACAGCCGTCACGGTCCTTGAGTCGTAGCAGTTCTCGCGAATGCTTGATGAGCAGCTGAGCGCAGTGCAAAGAGCCCGCAGCTAGAGCCAGATGAAGGGCGCTGGAACCTGACTCATACTCCACCGCCGTTACATCCACGTGGGGATTGGCCAAAAGTTGCTCAACAGCCTGGGCATCTCCACAAATGCACGCATTATGCAGAAGCGTTCGCCCAAACATGTCCCGCCGGGTGGCAAGGGCCCGATCCAGAGAGCTCAGGCTATCATGATCTGTGTTGTTGTTTGCGAGCTTTTGTTTGCCATGTTTCATGTGTCTGTGTTAGTCGACTCGTTTTCGTGTCGCTGGAGCCGTCTTGCGTCGTACTCACCAAAATTCTACCTGTACTTGGTAGACCAAATCTGAGTGGGTTGTGGGTGAGGATTGAGATCCGAAACGCGTATTTTTTTTGTGCCTGCACGGTGTGTTGAGTCGCTTCACGCAGTTAAATGAATATGCATGTCGGATAACCTAAAGCGCGGTGATGTCAGAAGGACCAAAATTCGGACCACCTATGAGGGCTGCCAGACGGTGTTTACAAAGAATATGAAGACAAAAATTAATCCAGATGCCCCTTCTCTTTTGATTCCCACACTTTCAAGCTAGAAAATCACACTGTTACCCGTTGTTGGGTCCAGCATGGTCCTCCCAGATAAGAAACGGGTCGAGGTAATTTCTGCTGGATTTGGAAATAAACAGTTGCTAATAATGAGGGAACAGGTGGTGCATTCGAAGCGACTCTACACCGTGGTTTCCACTGGTTCGAGTATACGATACTTATTCCCTCAAAAGAGCAAGTGTCCGTCCGACTGCTGGGGGGACCTAGCGCCCCTTCACTCCAACAACTACGGTGCTTGTTACCGTACAGTATGTACATACCCCAGATTCCCAATACAGGGTGCTGTGGTGTCGCACTTTTGTGCCTTAGCAACTGAGCTATGAGCAGCCGCAATGAGCTGTCTTGACGACTAATTTGGACACTTTGGCGCTCTCGAGAGCGTTATTTTGAACCATCGCTGGTCTGTCCACGTGGTTGGGGTCTTTATTTTGGCTATTGAGAGCAACAACAAGTGTCTACAAGTAGCAGTCAGGTTTTGCCACCACCAATACATGGACCACAAGAGATATGCAGGCCACGGTTCAAATAATCAGATTCCGACCGACAGTTCGCCACCAAGGGTCCCCCACATGTTCTTGATTTAACCTAGATGCCCTAACTCAAAAGTGGTGCTGACCACTATGGTTATTCAGTAAGAGCACGATGAGACAGAGCATGGTTGCTGAGCCAATGGCGGTGGCGAAAATTCGACGGAGACAGAGACGCCCGTCAGCCGTCTGAAGATGAAAAGCGCGTTCAATTCCGCAAATCCCACTTTTCTCGGTCCAAAACCACGGCCTTTTAAGTCCTTTATTAGCCCTCTCTGGCACAACCAATAATATACCCCGAAGGTTAACGTGGTGAATTAGACACTCTCAAAGCTGGGGTAAGGAATGCAAAGGTGTGTCTCCATTCCATTCACGACGTTCAACACGTGCCGGAACAGGTATGAGTTCGAGTACTGTACATACTGTACATGCCGTGAAAGTACATCAAGCGCATTCCGTAACAAGACATTGAAAAAGACACAACTGGCGGCCATCGAACTGGACCCGAGACGTATAGGGTCTGTATGGTACCACGTCTTCTACTGTAGGCCAAATAGTTGTACCATTACAAACACAAGTAGGAGTACAAGCAGCTACAATACAATACTCGTACTGTATGTACTTCTGCTAGAGTGCTGAAGCCTCTTGGTTCGTGGGAACTCGCATAACGGTATGTTAGTTTCCAAGTCGCGAAACGTGAAATGGAACACACATGTTTGGCTGTATGGACACCGGTAAAAGAAGTTGTCATTTGTGTTGTTTGTGGTGGGCTGTGTCAGGAGGTGGTACAGGTATTCTTCAAGTTCCCCACAACATCCTTTACGTGTGAATCTTTCATTGGCTAAGACCAACCCTTTAGATGGTTCCAAGAATACATATGCTCGTATCTTTAGTTGAGTTGAAATATCTGAAGTAGTTAAGCTGTGTCATTAGTTTGGTAGCTTTTACTTTAGCCTAGAGAACTGTCTTCAACAATTCCCGTTTCATTTTTCGAGCATTGGTGTCGAGAAGGTTGATTAAGGAAATGTCCAAGAATCGGAAAAGTCGTATACAGTGTACTGTAGTGAAGTTTCTGTCACGTAGTCACCTCCCTCCGGAAGGAGCGGGCTTACCCTCGGAGAGCTCGGGCTTGGGCTCGGGCTTGGACTCACCATAAGGAGCGGGGGCAATGGTGGAAGCATCGGTCAGTGTCTTGGTGATACCCTCAACGATGGTGACCTTTGTGGTGAGGTCGACGGAAGCAGAAAGAGTGGGGGAGGCAGCGGGAGCCTCGGAGGTAGGCTTGGGGCCCTCAGAAGCGGGGACCTCAGTGGAGCACTCCTCGGTGATGGTCTTGGTGACACCCTCAACAATGGTGGTTTAGGTGGCCAGAGGGGCGGTGGGAGAAGGATCAGCCTCGGGGTTCTTGGTCTTCTTGTTCTCGCACTCTCCGTCACTCCTCTCCAATATTTCTACAACAACCTCGAGTAATAAGTCTTCATTCATGGGTATACGTTAGTTATAAATATATGGACTGTTGTCAATGTCCAGCACTGAGAGTACGTTCAAGCAATAGAGCACGTCACCAAAACAAAAGAGAGGCTCAAGAACATCACGCTGACACCAGTCCTAGAGACAGAGTTAGTCTGAGCGACAGATACAGCGCTGGTCGGGTTGGCAGATGCTGTAGTTGCGGGAGAAACACTGGACGATAAGGTAAAAGGAGTAACGCTCTGGGTTGGCTCCACATCTTTGGCAAGGTAGCCAGAGGCTGAGGGGACCTTCAGGCTTCTGACGTTGGAGATAATAGCATTCTTGGCGCTGGCAAACATTGGAGGAGTACCAGTGGCCAGAATCTGAGCTCGACTAGAAGAGCTGGTTGAAGTCATACTTTTGGTGGTTGCAGCTCTTGAAGAATCCACCGCTTGGGCGGTCTCGATGAGCGTGACTGTCACTACTACAGCTGAGACTGTAGAGACGTAAAGAAGAAGTGTCACGACGTTCATGATGGGGTTGGGGGGAGGCTACGGAACTGGCAGGGAGATGTTCAGCTCTTTAAAATACCATCTTTTATCGCGTTTCAGCTTCATTCGGCCTCTCGGGTTTCATATTTCTTCCAATCTAATTCCTCGGCGGCTCTATGCCAACGCGGCAGGATGCATAACTTAATGTGGGCTCGGTGGAGGTCGATATAAAACGCAGTATGAGCCAAGTGACTTTGATGAAACTGATCTTCAGGGCATTGTGAACTTCTAGCAAGTATCGCTTCATCGGTAACTGTTTTTTCTGGTCAGGGGGAGGGCTACACGGAAGCATGAAAGTTTTCTACAAAAGGGGCAATCGTTAATACCAGTAGAGGAGACTTCGACCTGAGAGTAAAGCGTCTCTATCGAACAAGACGTTTGAAACACTCTACACACTGTATGTACAGTACTGTACTGTACCTTTGTATGCTTTCAACAATGCCTGATTCTCAGTAAGCACTCCACATCAGTCACTCCTCCAGATTCTCTTGGCAGTATGCAAGGGGGATGAGACGCAGTAATGAGACATTCAGGGACAGAGGCGTTTCAGGAACGAGGCAGTGTCGGATTATGGGAATCCCCGGATATCGAAAAACGTGTGCTATTGACAGTTTCAAAGAAATATCTCCTAAAGCAACGGGGACTGGCTGCAAGAAGATTGACACACATTTGTTTCAGACTGAGCCCATACTCACAATTGTACCTGACTTCAACCACAATTCAGGTCTGGGGAAAAGAAATCTGATATGATTAGTTGCAAAGCATTCCTGATAGTAGTACTTCTCGTTCGATCACAATAGCAGCCCATTATACGTCATGGTTGACTGTTGTGGAATAGGATTGTCTCTCCACTCACTCTGTTTCTAGTGTAGATCAGATCGTCCTCGATACCTGAACAAGCGATATTCCCTTTCTCGGGCTAATTCATTCAGTCAGAGTCTAGAATGAGACATTCAATTCTAGAGCAGCCTCTGTCTTGTAATTATTATATATGGCTGCTTGCTTGACTGAAATCTTTGAAAGGTGGAGACAGGGAAACATCGTGAGATTGTCGCATACATGGTGATTCCGTGCTGGGAAACTAATATTTTTGGCCATAGTTTCCTCTAACGTCTTACAATCCATATTAGTGAACTTCTGGTTCTTCCAACGAAGCAAATTGTCAAAAAATCAGTTTCCAGCATTGTTGGAACGTCTTGGGAATCGGAGACAGGGACAGGAAGACAAGAGAGATAATAATTTCTCACCTGAAGATACATTTGCAGCATTTTTTCGGGCATTATTCACCTTCAACTGTTCTCTTCTAGTTATTATTCCCTTATCATGCTGTATTGTTGTCTGATGTTAGCTCTGAAAGCCAGCCAGAACCCACTTGTGGTCTAGGACATGTTCATGAATATCCTTACAGATAAATTTCATATATACTGTCTAGTCAATGCTTTTCCCATGCTAATTGTACTCCATGCCGCAGTAATATCGTCGGCTATGTTCCTTTTTTGTCGTTTAGAAGCCACATGCCCCAATGCCCATCTATGCTATATTCCAATTTCTCATCCGGTGTGATCCTCCCCTAGCTTCTGCTCTCCAGCCTTGACTGTCCAATGAGGCTCGATCAGAGGTAGTTCGACCCAGCCCACAAGCTCCTGATGCACCGCGTTCCACACTTCTCTGTATCCTGCCGAGTTCAGATGGACGCCATCAACGTAGAAGTCGTCATCTTTGCCGCTTCCCAAAAGATTGTACAAATCGATGCATTTGACGTGCGGATCTGGTTGGCATTGTTCCCGGAAAAACCTGACCACGATTTGGGCGTATTGCAGCGCCAACTCGGGTGTCCTTGCTTTGCCGCTGTCACTCAGGGTACTCACCTGCAGTTGGGTCATGTTAATGGGCGCCGGAGTGAGAAGCAGAAGATTTGCTTCGGGGAACGTGCTCAGCAACTTGGCGGTGTACTTCTTGAGATTGGTGAGGAACTCGGACTCCAGCACATGATGTGGGTTTCCTGGGATCACTGAGTCGTTGGTACCCAGCCACAGAATGATCAACACCACCTGACTTGCTGAGTCTTCAAACTCCAGGCATATCCTGTCAATCTGGTCTTCGAGCCACACAGAGTTGTAGCCACTCAGCCCTCGGTTGTAGACATCGGCTCTGCGGCGAAAGTGGTGGCTCAGCGCAGACCCCAGGCCGAATTGTGTCGGGTCGAACGACAGCTCCGTCAGACTGTCGCCTATGAAAATTACTTTGCTGTAATTGAGCATGGTGGTGGTGGTGCAGCAAAAGGTGATACAAGTATTGGTACTCGTACGTAGTGAACTTGACAAGAATTCGGATTCGGTTTGCGCGACTCCTCCAAGTCATGCAAGGTTGTTAGAGATAAACTCAATGTACGCTGCATTGCGAAGTCAATGAGCAACCCCAGATAATGGAGGACCTGGTGGAGACGGTGATGATCGCATGGCATCATGTGAGTAGTGGATCAACAAGTACTAAGGAGACACATTATTCAAGTCCAAAAAAAGCGTATTCAAATCAAGACAAAAGAAGCAAAATACAGCCGTTTGCAATTCTGGTTGCCTGCATGAGAATCGAGCTACTGCGCAGACTTGTGTCCTGTCAGTCTGATCGATATTATCTGCACGTCTGTTTTTGGGAGCTTAAAAGAGCTGTTTCGAAATACCGCCGAATCTCAAATCTCCAGATCCAGCTCGTCGTATACTCTCTCCTCGTACAAGACACATATGGGACCGTTGGCATCGTGGCTGTGTTGGCGTGCCTTTTATGCATGTCCCTAACCCACAAGCGAATACGATTGTGGGTTAGGGGAGTAGCGTGCGATCGTGTGATAGTAAGGCAGATGGTGGTATCAACGGTGTATCGGGAACTTTCCCTTGGAATGGCGGCAATAACTTGTTGGGTGTGGAAGTTCGTGACTACAGTGCTTGCACTTGTACTTGTAGAGTAGTTGTCTATCGACTACTGTACAATATGTACATGCTTGTATGACAATGGTTTTGAACATCAGGCACTATCAAAGTCTGTAAATACTGTAGCTACAGTACCTACAGTATATACTTGAACATCCTCGGTTGGCCCCTTGGTTGCAATATCTGAATTCTCTCCAATGTCCTTTTCACAGTGAAGCTATGCCAGGTCAACTTGGAGTGGACAGATCGATCCAGGAAGTGATTCTTCATGCTGACAAGAAAATTTTCCACAAGCGGTTTATTGGGAGACAGCAGATGGAAGGTACAAGTACCTATTGTACTGTATTGTACCCTCAAGAGAGTCACTGGGTTGGTGGAGGCAATGGGGTAGACAGGTAGGGCAATGATACTCATGTTTTGACTGGCGCTTCTGGCAAACGTGCTAACCTTGCCATTCATGTTAGTGAGAGAGTGTGTTGTGGTAGCTGTGAGATTTGTGCCGACTCACTGTAATTATCTTTGGTATCAGAGCTGATTTGCTAGCTCCTCTTTCGATTGTGCTGTTCCTTACCTGTTCTCTTCGATGGATTTCGTTCTGATGCCGATGGTTCAGAAATATGGCTGCGCTGGCCATGACCACTGGACCAGCGGCGACCAGATACCCTTGGTCAGTTCGTAGCTCATTAACGAGCCGACACCGAGCAACATGATGGCTGCCAAGATCAGCCAATCGCGGTCCACCAGCAGTAGCACGCTAGCCTGAGTACGGTGCCGTCTCCCTCACCAAGCATGACGCTGTCTACCAAGTACCATCCCACTACTATTGATCCAAGCAGCAATAGCATAGACAGTACTCCTTCCGCCGTATCATCACCTTTGGTGATGTCTGTTTGCTCCGTTCGTTTTGGGACTCGTGTCGCTCGGCGTCCTGCTCGTTCAGCCGCGACTTGAGCTCGTCCAAATTGCTGCGCCGCAGCTCCAGCTCGCGCTCCATCTTCATTCGCAGTTTGGTATCTTCAGACATTTGGGGTTCAGTGAAGACAAGAGCAAATCGCTCACTTGCATGAGACAAATTTAAGCGGGGTATCGTGTGTACCAAACGATAAGAGCCCTAGAGAGTGAGTGACTGGGTCCTCTAAGATGGGGGAGAGAAAGAGGGTATTTCGCTTGCACTCAACCCATTCTCTCACGGCTACGTCCATATGCGAACCATACAACATGCCAATTCATAACTTATATACAGATTTTTTTAGAATCGAATGTACTGACGAAGCTTGCCCAAGAGAGACTTGTCTTCGGGTGCTCCGATATCCTGCACCAGTCGACTGTAGTACTCGGGGTCCTTTGGTGGCTCGAGAGTGACGGCTGTCAAGGGGAACTGTGTTAGTATTTAAACGGAATAGGAGAGCCTAAGGGATATCGGGCGAGCCTGAAGCAGCTGCAATAGACGTAGGCAAGAAGCAATTGCAGTAGAGATTCTGTACAGGGACACAAGTCCGCAGCTGTATCTGTAGTATTGTAGTCTTCCTCTTTCTCTCACACTTGGAAGCATGAGGTATTCAGTCAGAGAAACCATTGAGATGTTCCGATTGCCTGAGACTCTCAGTTAGGGCACATATGGACACAGAGCACGCAACATCGGTTTTTTGCAGATGCCCAACGAGAAGCTGAATATGTCTACTGAGTCCTGAGTCGTTATAGAACCCAAGCATACCCAGATCGGAACACTCTCATTCACAGCCAGAAGTATCATTGGATTGCCATTCTCACAGAGAAACCCTTGTCGGTTCCCGTCTCATCCTCTGTCTGCTCCCTGTCTGCTCCCTGTCTGCTCCCTGTCTGCTCCCTGTCTACACCCTCCTGAGGGCCATACTCACCTTCTTCATGTATTTGTCGCTGAGGAGAACGCCAAAAGCCTCGTTCTGCTTCTCCAGGAAGGCCTGCTCGGTCTTTGTGGGGGTCTGGTTGACCATGGGCTCGTAATGCTCAATCATGGTGTCTCGGAAAGAGGCATAATGCTTCACAGAGTCCATGGGCCACTGATCCAACTTCTTGAGGATCTGCTTGACGACTTGGTTGGACATGGCGAAAGATGGTTAGTTGGAAGAGCCGTTAGAATGCCACACGCACGTGTACCAAGGTATCGTTTCCGGATGTCTTGTCTGTCGTGACACTGATTTTTCCAAAACCTTGAAGGACCGCCCGAATAGAGTTTCGACAAACAACGTCAGGCCGATTACTAACTGAGCCCTGGGTGGCTGCAATGAGGTAGTTTGTGGGTTCGATTATGGGTTGAGTAGATTTTCGACATATTGCATTTTGGAAAGGTTCGAGCTGAAAAGGACCTCAAAAAGATGAATGAAATGAAATAAACACTTATGAAGTGGCTCAATTTCATTTTATCAATAACTATGTACAATTTTGACGCTGTCGTCAAGGGTCTCGTTATCTGAAAGCATTCTGCTCCTTGTGGAAAAAGTCTCGGGCCTCATCAACAGTCAGAAGCTGACGGTCCTTCTTACCAGGCTTTTGGACAGTCACCTTGCCCTCCTGCATCTCCTTATCGCCAATCACAGCAATATAAGAGTATCCCTCGTTTCGAGCCTGCTTAATCTTCTGGCCCAGTGTCTCAGATCGAGTATCGACATCGCAGAACAAAGTGCTAGCAGACAGAGGAGTGGACTGATCTGTGATGGAAGGAAGGCCAGACAGCTGGGCAGCTACCTTCTCGGCAAACTCGTTCTGAGCCTCTCCCACGGGGAGCACCATGCACTGTCGAGGGGAAAGCCACAGGGGCCACTTACCTTCGTAATGGTCAATCAGAATAGCCAAGAACCGCTCGAGCGAACCGTACACTGCCCGGTGGACCATAACGGGCCTCTGGGCGGTCTCGGATGCATCAAAGTACTTGAGCTGGAACCGCTCCGGAAGCTGGAAGTCGAGCTGCGTAGTAGCGGTTTGATGTTCCTTTCCATGCTTGTCCTTAACGAGAATGTCAATCTTGGGACCGTAAAAGGCACCATCGCCAGCGTTCAGCTCCCACTTTCCCTTGGAAACAGACCATGAGTCCAGCACCGAGGTCAGAGCCTTCTCTGCGTCGTTCCACTGCTCAATATCTCCAATAAATGTCTCGGGACGGGTAGAGAGCACAACACGCGAAATCTCCAGCCCAAAAGTGTTGTAGGTCTGCTGCACCAGTTTGAGAGCTCGCGAAATCTCACTCTCAACCTGCTCAGGAGTGCAGAAAATATGTCCATCATCCTGGTGGAACCGTCGAACACGCGTAAGTCCACTAAGAGCGCCGGAAGCCTCATTTCGATGCAAAGGCGAGAAGTCAGAGTATCTCAGAGGCAGCTCTCTGTAGCTTCGTTTCAGACTGTTGAACAGAAGACAATGTCCAGGACAGTTCATAGGCTTCAGAGAGAACTCTTCCTCGACAGAAGTCTCTTCATGACCAGGCTGCACTCTGAACATGTCGTCCTGGAATTTCTCCCAGTGGCCAGACTGCTTCCACAACGAATTTTTGTACATGATGGGAGACGAGATTTCCTGAAAGCCAAAGACCCGCAATTGCAGTCGCATGAACTCGCCCAGTCGGCTGTAGATTCGCTGGCCATGGGGCAGGAAAAATGCCGAGCCTGGAGACTCAGGGGAGATCCAATATAGTTGCTGACGGTCCGAGATGGACTTGGTTTCGGCTGTGAGGGTGATGGGCTGGTTGGCGGACTTCTGGCACTCTGTTCGAGAGCACAGAGCCGGAAGGGAGGTTGTGAGAGTTCTTCGAGGCACCCGGGAAGGTTTGGCAGCTCGTCTCAGGGCCGTTCTCAGCATTTTTTCTCGTGTTCGTTTCGGGGTTGGAAGGGGTGACTACGATTCGTAGCTGTGCGAGGATTCTGAATCTAGGTTCGGCGGTGCATTAACTCGAGAATATGATACAGAAGGGGAATTGAACTGACGAGGGTTACATCAAGAGTATTATTACGAGTGCAGTTCTTGAAAAGGTAAAGTAGCTAAAATATATTTCCCTAAAATATATATATATACATTTCTTGTTGGTTTTAACCTGAGAAATTGAAAAAAACAAAAAAAAAAAAAGAAAAAAACCAATTAATGCTACTAAACTGTATCGTTGATGAGTAAAGCGATTTGAATCTTCATTAAGCCTCCCAACCTCGAGCCGGAACTCAGTTTCCCTTATTGGCAGTCGACCAGGGTATGAGGACAAAATGCCCCCGTTTCAGTAAGTGTTTCAGGAATTCCGAATACCGACTACTGGAGATATCCATTTCAGCTGTCGAACCCCCCGATTTGGACCTGGGCTAGCCCCCAGATTGCTGCCTTAGTCTTCTTCGTCTGGTCCCAGACAGTGTCCCAAACCGTGGCTCCCAAACGGTGTGGTGTTTCTGCAAGTAGGTTCCCAAACGGTGTCGAGTCAGATCAGTGAGGCGTCTTAGCGGCGTGTTTTGGCCAAAGACCCTACAAAAAGACTCGGCGAGACCTAAACGGAGTGGAAACATGCGGAAAACATGCTGTGGGACATGACCTGTGGAACATTTGGCTGAGACATGCCTTTTTTCGGTAACGTCTGAGGTGTTAACGCGTGTCACAGGTGCATTTGGTGGGCACTTATTTTAGCGAGATATTTAATGTGAACACGCACTATCCAAGTAACTAGAGGTAGCGAAGACAAGAAAAGACACGCCACGCAGTGCTCCTGTCAATGGAAAATCCCTCTTGTGCTTGTAGACAGAGCCAATGATGCAGCAATTAAAAGCAGCCGCCACGCCGACAATCCATGATCACGGAACGATACGACCCCCAAACCATAAGACAGCCCCTTTGGGATGTCTAATTGGATCCGAAAGTGGAAGGGGGATTTTCGTTTCGCGTTGGCTTGCGGAAGCATTAAGCATAATTGAGAATTATGTTGCCTGAAGCGTGCGGCTGGGGGGTGCCAGTTGAGTAGCAGCGAGCACCTTCAAATAACACCCCAAGCAGCATTGAGGCCCAGCAGCACGTCTTTCAGAAAACTGGCTTGTTCCTCAAAGGAGCCACCCCCCGACCACCCAGACGCGTTCGTGTTCTCGTCGCAGCTCCAAAGGTTTGTTGTTCTGTTCTGTTTGGTTTTTTTGCTCATCGTCGGCAAGCTCCAATTAGCTAATGGACTATGCACTCGCCTCGTGCAGTAACTACGTAGGCTCGTGCCACACGGGGTAAAAAAACAAAAACCCCAAGAAAGTAAACGATGCAAAACTGAGTATTGCTCAAGTGTACAATATATAAAAATTTAAAAAAAACAAGTGCAAAGTAGCTCATCGTAATTTGATAATATTTGGTCGGTTGATAAAAGCTATAACTACACGGTTCAATATTAGCAACCTTGAAACCTGGCTTGAGGCGTTTATTTTCGGCGATAGTCATGTTCATTTATTTTTTTCTTGCGATCAATAACCAACACTGGGGCGCACCTATCATCAGCTGCAGTTTTTGCGTCTCCATCACTGGAAAAGTGCTATTGTACTGTATCCAGAACACAAAAAAATAAAAATAAAATAAAAAGCTGCCCCAACTCAATTTCTGCTTTGGTGTGAACGGGAGACCTGCATGTGTTGACAATATCATTTTTGGCCAAATGGGGTGCAACCTAAACGGGGTGCAAGAAAAGAGAGGTGGAGGTTTAGACCGTTGAAACGGCGATATATAAGGGGTTGGTGGTCCCCATTCTGGCCGGGAATAATTCACCGCTGGGGGTTTTACCAAGATATCTCCTTGTTTTTTTCGCCACCCCCCAATTTCACCCCCTAAGTGGCCGACGGAGATTAGCCCTTTGCTCGTGGTAGTGCATATAGCAAGTATCCAAATTGATACTCGAAATTGGCACCTCCACTCGACACATCTCGTCTCGACCAGTCAGTGAAAATGGACTCCTCAGGGTCAATGGTGTTCAAAGTGGACCATTTCGTGAGTCCAATTCGACGGAAAAAACGCGTCTTTTATTCCAAAGACCTCAAGGAGCTCATTCTCAAAATCTCAAGGGCCAACATTGAGCTGTTGGAACGCGACAAACGGTTCTTCCACGCCAAGGTGGCGGCCCAGCTGGAGGAAAATGGCTACGACATTGGACGCCAGGCGCTGGCCCGCAAGCTCCGTGAAATTCTCGACGAACCGCCGCCCAAAAATGACTCGGAATACTCTCAACAGTTTGTCAGCGACCTGCAAGTGGTCCGAGAGGCGATAGGAAAGAGTAAGCAGGCCCGTGTCAAGGACGAACGGCTGCTATACAAGGGCGACACGGTATTCGACAGGCCGATCCAGATGCATCCACCCACACAACAACAACAGCAGCAGAGTCCCTCTACACCTATTCCCGGAGGGGAACATACCATGTCTGTGTCTCCTCAGAGTGGGCCGATGGACTCATCCCTAGGAACGAACCTGAACGACCCCCGGAGACCCAACGCGGGAAAAACAAAATCAAAGGACAAACGGCTGCAATACAAGGGTCACGTGATCCACCTGGACGAGTGGAGGAGCGAGGAGCCTGGAGGGGTGGGTCGGCAGCGGCAGCATCAACAACAGCAGCATCGGCAGCAACAGCAGCCTCAGGCATCTTCCAGTGGTATGGCAGGGATGGTTCAGAGCATGGGCCAGGGGTTGGGACAAGCTGGTCAGGGACACGGTCAGGGACACAGTCAAAGACAGAGTATGGGTCCAGGTACTCCTGGTGGACCTGGGCAAGGGCAGGGCATGGTTCAACAAGGTTCGCCGGTTCAAGGCCAGGGTATGGGTCAGGGAGGAGGGCCAAGTATGCCTCCTGGGACTCCTGGACAAGGGTATGTCTCGGGGCCCAGCAGTAGCGGCCGTCCTAGCCCCAACACTGCCAGTACACCCAACCCAGACTTTTCCGCCTTACTTTCGGACGATATCGATACAGATCTGCAGGCTGATCTCGCCCAGGAGCTGAATCCCATTGGTCTGGGATTGAGCAACGTGCAAAGTGTTCAAGGGTTGATTGATGCTGTTGGCCAGGTGAGTCAGGGAAACGTAAGTCACGATTTACTCAAGCGTTTGGTCAACGAAACTGAGGGACTTCGCAACACCATGGAACGGAGTCTAGCATGGGAGAAGGAGCGGGCTCAACAGGCGCATGAGCAGCGGCGACAGCTGATTGAGCTTCAGAAGGAGCGGGTCGAGTTGGTGAGGCGGTTGGCTGGGTAAGGAAACAAAAGCTGGCTTTTGCCTGAATTATTTATTGTTCAGTAATATTATTTATTCGAGAATACAGGTCGTGGGCTGTACTATCAATAAGCTAGAGGGGAACCAAAAACATATCATATTCAGTGTATAGCAGCAGTTATTCAATCTGTAGGGCCCCACCTCCTTCTCTTCTCTACTTGCACAGTTGATGAACAAGACTCTTATCCTGTCGTATTTCCAGAACAGCATGATCAGCGTACAATCTCTATGTCGGAGCCCGATGAGTGCAACTTCAAGTAGATGAAATCGTGTTCGCATGATGATAGACATGGGTGTTTTTGAACTCTGACAATTAGTGTCTTGGCTACAGCGTCTGTCGTATCTCATTCCTTGGCCCTGTCTGTGGACTCATCGGTGACATCTGGACCACATTCTCGAATCAACTATCATACGAGCAATCAAGTGCAGATGCTGCCTCTACAATAGGTCCACCTCAGGTAATGTCAGACCCACATTAGCCGCGCTTCGAGACCGTTGGATGGATCCATCGTCAAGCTTTCCCAACAGATTTGACAGCTGACAGATGACAGTTCAAGAAGAGTCGTGTGAGGAACACCTCTTGGTATCAACGGTGGGTCCAAGAGATCGCCGTAACTGCCGTTGTCTGGTTACGTATCAACCAGGATGGTAGTCTTGAATCAACAGCCATCTCAGGCACAAACTTTTCAGGGTCCTTAATGGGGATGCTAATCATCTACATTTTGATTCAGAGTGAAACCAAACAAAGACAAGGGCGAGACAGTCGGATGATACAAGTCCTTGCATGAGGACGATGCATTTCTTTTGACAGGGAAAATTCTTTTTCTGGTTCGCGTAGGTTCGCCCTCTCGCGATTTTCATGTGACATAAGTCAACACCGAATGTACAATACTGGACTCGTACAAGTACTGTAGCTGGAAACTCATTGGTGGTCCTAAACAGGCCTTTCGATTTCACCAGAAAAGCCCAGAGAAGCCCTTCTACTACAACAAATCTACCAGCTCATGAAACTTCGCTTAATCCACCAGTGCACATCCGGTATTCCGGCCCCGAGAGGCGCGTGCCTTGTACAATACATGTAGCTTAAAGTTGTTGGTTTGTTTTTTTCCCCCGAAGGAACAACAAAAAATTAAAAAAAAAAGAAGGCTCAAAGGCAATATTGCGGGGCTGAAGTGTGGCTCACATGTGGCTACGTTCGCAACAAGTCCGGGGTAAGCGCGATTTATGACTATGGTGTCACGAATTTTCGATTTTGGGGGTTTTCGCCCAGTCTCTTTGTGTTCCTGGTCGGATTAATTTGCATCTACTGCGGAGCAGAGCCGAAATCCGAGTTGTTCCGAGGCGTTTCGGAACGTGTCGGAATAACGTGTAAGGTTGAGTTTAGTGCACGAGGTTGATCCGGGGGTTGAGTATGACAAAAACCCGTCGTCTGAGCACGAATACACCGAAAAGTACAAGAAAAAATAAAACCAGGACAATATCATCTTGTCGACCACTCTCGAGGTATCCACATGTCTACGACATTGATGGACAATCGGTGCAACAGTGGGGTACAGTACAGGAGGTGTCATGTCTAAACTTCGATTATGTGCCCTTTTGGGAAATGCACCCCGCAAATGGGCTATTGGTACGTAGTACTCATTGAATGTATGGCAAATGCAGTCTTGTTTTCTCTTGTTTGTGGAGGCGTTTCGCTCCTGTGTCTACTGGGGGCGCTATTCAGGTTATCAAAGTCGGTGCGCAAAGTCGACTATTGTACGCCAAGAAACGCTTCCGAGTAGAGCCAAGAGGGCCAAGATGACCAAGATTCCCCCTCTATGGATGGCACATCACGTCATGGTCGTCTCCTGGTCGCCCCAAGAGGCCTGGGGTGTCAAAAAAAGGTTCAATTTTCGTCCTTGCTTTTTTTTTTTTCCCTCTGATATGCATTTGCAGAAACTGGGGAATGTGATTTTAGACTTGTATTGATGTACGGCTTTCGCGGAGAGGAGAAAGGAGCTATACTTTCTAAATAGTTGGCTACGATTGTTAATGGGCTACAAAAGCCTTAGCCACAGCTAAAAAGACAAATCTGGACCATTCCATATCATCCAAAACACACCAATATCACCCCTCATTCCCCATGTTTCATTTTTAACCGACTCATTTCGCCCTTGTCACCATGCAATGCAAGTCTAGTGCAACCCTACCGGAAACCGTATTTTCTCCGGTATCACGGAAGCTGGGGTATGAAAACAGTATAAATACTTGATCAGCCGGTTCTACCATGGACTCCATCTTATCACACTCGCATTCACCATGACCAAGATCGAAAACTCCCACGTGGAGTACACCAACGATGACACTGAAAGACGACTCAGCACAAGCTCGTCAGTCAACTCCAAGAAATCTGAGGTTATCGTTTCCACAATCACAGCTACCTTGCCTCCTACCCTGGCTTCTCTGAGTCAAGATGACATTGATGTTCTGGAGAAGAAGTTTGTGCGACGAATCGATATTCGAATGCTACCCATGCTGATGCTTCTGTACATTCTTAACTACCTGGATCGAAATAATATCGCTACTGCCCGGTTGGGTGGACTTGAGAAGGAGCTCAACTTGCATTCGGTGCAGTACCAGACAGCTGTTAGTATTCTGTTTGTTGGTTACATTCTCATGCAGATCCCCTCTAACATGATTGTTTCTCGACTCGGAAAGCCTGGTCTTTACCTCACTACCTGCATGTTTATCTGGGGTACTATCTCAGCCCTGACTTCCACTGTTCACAGCTTTGGTGGCCTCGTTGCTTGCCGATTCTTCCTGGGTTTTATTGAGGCCGTCTACTTCCCTGGATGTCTCTTCCTCCTGTCTTCCTGGTACACCCGAAAGGAGCTGGCTCTTCGAACTTCGATCCTGTACTGCGGTTCTCTGATCTCTGGTGCCTTCTCTGGTCTACTTGGAGCAGCAATTATGGAGAACATGGATGGTATGCGAGGCATTTCCGGCTGGAGATGGCTCTTCATCATCGAGGGATCTTTCACGGTTCTGGTTGTTCCCTTTGCCTACATCGTTCTGCCCGACTTCCCCCAGACCACTTCTTGGTTGAGCCAGCAGGAGAAGGAGCTGGGTATCTGGCGTCTCCAGCGTGAGACTGGTACTACCGACATTGACTCTGAGGAGTCTGCCTGGCAGTTTGTGAAGAAGAACATGCTTCTCGTGCTTAAGGACCCCAAGGTGTGGCTGGTTGCTGGCATCAACTTCTTCAACGTTGCCGCCGCTGGTGTCACCAACTTCTTCCCTTCTGTTGTTGAGACCCTTAACTTCTCCAAGACCATCACTCTTGTTCTCACTGCCCCTCCTTACCTCATTGCCACTGTGTTGGTGCCTCTCAACTCCTGGCACGCAGATAAGACCGGTGAGCGGTGCTGGCACATTGTCCTTCCCTTCTGTGTGACCATTGCCAGTTTTATCATTGCTGCTGCCACTCTCAACACTGGAGCTAGATACTTTGCCATGTGCATCATGATTCCCTCCATCTATATGGGTTTTGTGGTGACCCTCACCTGGATGAGTAACACCATTCCTCGTCCTGCAGCCAAGCGAGGTGTTGCGCTGGCCCTCATGAACTGTCTCAGTAACACAACCTCTATCTGGAACTCATACCTGTACCCCAAGTCTGCTGCTCCTCGTTATGCCCCCGCCATGGCTGCCAACTCCGTGTTCCTTCTCGTCGCGATTGGATGTGCAATTGCACTATCCATGTTGCTCAAGCGAATCAACAAGAAGCTGGACCGAGGCGAGTATGACATTGTGGCCGAGTTTGGTGAAAATGATGACGATCCTGTTGTCGTTCACCAGACCCAGAGCTTCCGATATGTTTATTAATGGTGCTTTCTTGCGGTATCGTTTTTAGTTAATGATAATGATTTATTTATGACCTGCGCTCAGGGATAGATGTTACTATGCAATAGGAAGAAAGGTGTTTGTAGAATAGCAATGTCCAAGTACTTCAATAAGTAACAGCATAGTATAGATATCCACTGATTGTGAGCAGACCTCGTGTTCCTGACATCTCAAGGGATACCCGTCCCTACTTGTAAGTGGAGAGCCCACTCCAGTAAAGTCCATCAGAGCAACACATATTATGACACTTGACCTGTACTGAAGTGGCGGGAGTCACTGGTCAACGGATGAAGTTCATCTGATCACTTACTTACGTGTGCTTTAAATCGACTTGGTATTTGGAGATCACGACATTCACTGGCTCAATACAAGTACACACAACCAAAAAGTACCAACAATTCTGATCAGAGGATTTTAGAGAAATCAGAGAAAAGATTAGAAAGGATTAGAGAAAATGGACTGAAATATGTTGGACCACTATATCCAATAAGTTCCAATCAAGAGAATTTAATTTACCAACAGCTGTTCATCGCCTACATTGACAGCATTTAGATTATGCACTCTCTTGCATTATCTCAACCTTATATATATCAAATCAGGACCTATACTGTATTTCTTACAATACATACAATATTAGGATAAAGAACATATTCTAGGAATATGCATCGTATATATTTTATATGTTTTCTTCCTATTACGGTAAAACGACTAACAAAACATACAATTAAGGTGGAGAGCCACAACATTATATCACGTCTGTGTAACATCTTCACCTTACCTTATTCTGAAGATGTTTGTGGCCTTCTATTCTCCTTCCTCATTTCTCCTCACTCTACGACATCATCTACACATATCATTCGCGACACTTCTACGACATTATCATGACACATCTTCTACGACTAGATAAACGGACATCGACTCAGTCCTCTTCATTCTCATCAGGTCGGCTTTTGGGTGAGTTTTCACAATCTCTAGCTCTTTGTGTCTGTGTCACTTCAGGTGAGCAGTCAAAGAGACATGTGCTGATTCCACGTAAGCCTTTGAAAACTCTAGAGCGATACTAACACAGCGGGAGGTAGCTTTTGGTTCCCCTCCATTTGGCACATAGTGCCGGTGGAGGACCCACTCTGTAAGGAGGTTACAGAGCCAGGGCCGCAAAGGAGGTGATGCAGCGTTGGGGTGGTGGAAAGTTCCTCCCAAGGCCCTATAGAGCAGCCTCGTTTCCGTTCCTTGGAGTCTACCACGGATCAGGGTCGTCTCAGCTTCTTCTGGCAGTTTTGAATAGGAAGAAACGTCGTGAGGCTCGATTGGGAAGGGGTGTCCCCATCCCTCTAGTGTCTCAATTTCCTTTACAGAAGATTGCTCGAGGCGGTGGATTCTGCTGGACCTCCGGAAACCGGAATCTCGCAGAGATGCCACTTTTCTTACCCTTCGACCACGCCCCCCAGTCTCACGTGGTCAAGGTCTGACGCCTCTTTCCAGTGATGCAAGTAAGTCTCGGGTGCCCCCCAGTGCTCTTTTTTTTCTTTCGGGTGTTGGCTCTATTTGCGGTGTTGGCTCTTTTTGCGGTGTTGGCTCTTGTTGGGATGTTGGCTCTTTTGCGGTGACGGCTATTTTTCAGTGTACAAAACACAATGTCAGTTGTGTGGTGGGGTGTCGGATTATTGCGGTGTGGGCTCAGTGGATTTTCCACTACTTTTTTAATTGCGCGTCAAGCACAACGGGGGACTGGCTGCCCTGATGAGACCAAACCCATGACTAGCGTCGAAACACCAACAGTGGGGGCTGTTGGTGTCGGCAGCCACTAGTCATAAACTTTGACTATTCTCGAGGTACCAGCAGTGGGGGCTGCTTGGTACATTGGAAATAGTCACACAATATAGATATTATTGAATTAAATTGCAATATACGAAGTTATGGTGTAGAAAAGTATTTTTTCCAGGATTTATGCAATTTAAAACGAGTAATATATTACCGAATCGGGAAATTTCCATTGTTGATATTCAAAAGTTTATATATTTCAGTAATTATATTTTTGATGTTGAATTTCTAATAATACATGAACTAATTTTTTTATTAAATCAAAGAAGTAGAAGAGGATTAATGTGAGTACACTGTGACCATTGTGTCGTACTCGTGCCGGCACTTCATCTACACACACAACGCAACTATTTTTACAGAAACACACCAGATAATAATTCGGGTGGGACTTGATCATCCAATATAATATATTTACCCCAAAGGTTCAGCTAAATGCTGACACCCTCTCTTCTATCGATTAAATGGTTAGGTCCCGTCTACACCCCCGCGACTTCCTACATCCTTTTTGAACGCGAATCTTGGATCATGAAGATCAATATCCGGCCGCCTTCTGAGTTTCTGGCTCTTAGTATCTTTCTCTTTGGCTCTGGATCTCTCTGCTCTTATTTGCTCTGGCTTGGTTCAGCTCAGGCCCTATTGGCATAGCACTTGGCTCTTATTGGCTCTGGCCGATGCTCTCAAGGTGCTGACATTCTTCGCACTCGCCGATCTCAGATTCACCTTGAGCTGATGTCATCGTTTCACATTATCAAGTGCTGGAGATATGAGAAAGATAGAGATACCGTTGGATTCCTTGAATCAATGTGAGTTGAATGGTATGTTCAGATTTCACAATGACCGATGTGAGGGCTGATAGATAGATACTGTTCCTTCTCTTGACAGTTGTTATGATTGAACGGCTAATTTATGCCGTGCCGATTGTCGTTTCACGGTCTAACTTTCTAGTAAGACTTAACAAATATCAGTCGCTTCATCATCTCCTGCTCTGGTTGCTGGTTGAGTTTCGCCATTGTCCCCCAGGTAACTTTTCAGCGTGTCATTGTGTTTTTATTGGGATTTGTCGGTCGGCGGCTCTAGTCCTGGCTCGTTGTGGCTCATCTCGGCTCGGACTGGCTCGCGGCTCGGACTCGGTGTCAGCTGTTCCATTGAACGTGATTCCTGGTGTGTTAATAGGAGACATGTCACTGTTCAAACGACTGTCCATCACTCTAGGCATTCAGGGTTACAGTGAGGCGAGTAACATGAGGACTTCGTGGGGGACCGTGTGCAACACATAGTGGGTGAATGGGGTGGCAATGTGGAGCCGTGCTTAAACATCAGCACAAGCCAGGGGGTTGCACCCCAGGGAGCTACCCATACTTTCGGAGCTCATGGACAATGTTTCGTGCTCGTCACAGCTTCACATCCATGGAGACAGGATTCTTGAGGGCCTTGTTAATCCCCCAACTCGTCATCACCCTGCGTTCTCTTAGTGCATATGCTAAGGGGATCCCATTCACTCGACAGCTTCGTAGCTTGCGCTCAGCTTCACGTCTTAGTTAATCGCTCACGCGTTCTTCTTGCACGTTGTTAATCGGTCTCAAAAGTTGCGCCGCGAAGCTCCCACTCAGCAACTTCTGGAAGACTGTCTTGCGAAAGGACCCGTGGAGCAGACCCCAAAGCGTAGCACTGGCACTAACAACGCGTTGACTCAGAGCACTAGCTCGACAGGGGTTTATGTTAGTGCGCGGTTGGCCAAACGGGGGATCTGACGTGTTCTGTTACAGCATTGTTCTACCTGACGTCGTAAAGTCGGTCTATGAGAAACAAGGAGGGAAAAAAATTCACTTTCTGCTCCTCCATGTCAGATCATCTCCAACTCTATGCTTTTTCATTGTTTATACCGTATCCCCGCACAGACTACATACGTGTAGCATGTGTGAGAAAATAAAGTGCTTTGTGCGTACCAGGGATAGGGTAGGTAGTGAAATCTGAGTTAGTACATCAACTCTAGACGATGGGCGTCGCCTGTGTAGAAGAACAATAACTCACCCGGTAACTAACACTATTTCTCGGTGGTCAATGCGTCAGAAGATATCAAGACGGTCCGTTTTGCGTTTAAGCCGAGTGAATGTTGCCTGCCGTTAGTAAATTTATTATGAAAAACCCCACTATGAATACATCAGCCTATACTGATATACCAAGAAGTGCAAGGGAGGTGGTCCTGTTCCACCTGAACGCGGTTCCCGACAGGCGGCGGTACTGAAGGGCTTTGTGAGAGAGGTAACGCCGATTCTCTCTGCAGTCGTAAGACCCAGGTGGTGTGTCCGAGGCAGTATCGCTTTCCCAACTCTAGTAACCTCGGTAGTGTGAGACACACTACCCCTAACGGTAGGACAGCCGGACGACGATGGCGCAGCAATTGGCGAACGCTGTTATAAAACAATTCACTTACGTGCAATGAAAGTTGTTTGGGCAATAAACAATAAATGTATTAGAGCCAGACGATAGACAACAATCCAGCAGATGATGAGCAGGAAAATTGAGTAAGATCGACGTCGCAAGAAGAGTTACAGTTACGCAGAGTTAATAAGGTGTTGGGAGATTAGAGTTACCCTGTCGGATGACTAACTCTCCAGAGCGAGTGTTACACCTGCCCAGGTCTAACGGGGTTTCGTCCCGAAGCCCTGGTTAGAAGAATCAAGAATAAAGGCCCTGAGCAAGGAAGGAGCCCTGAGCAAGCCCAGAATCAACACGAGCGAGCTTCGACCGAGAAGTAACTCTAGTCGACGCAGTGGTAGCTGCAGAACGGACGGAACGAGTAGCCACTGAAGCCGGGGGAAGAACATGTGGAGAACAGGCAGAAAAGCGGCCAGGAATGGCAGGGAGAGCAGACTCGCGGGACTGATGTTCCTTCATGCGGTCCTGGAACTCAACGATGGAAGCGGGGTGGAAAACCTTGAGGCGGTTGCGGTGGATACGCCGCGGGTTCTCACCGTCAACATCGTTGACAGTGTACGTGCTGGTCTCAGGGTGACACGCGGTCACGATGGAGGGACCAGTCCAACGAGGAGTCAGCTTGTTGTGGGGACGGAGGTCGTGAACAAAAACGAAATCATTTACGGCCAAGGGATCTGTATCAGCTGTGTTGTGATGTTTGTCGTAGAACGCCTTTTGACGCT